GTGGGCAGTGGAAGAGAGTTAATGCTTGGCATTTTAATTTGTCAGATTTCCGTCACCAGTTTCCTTCTGCTCCCACCCTTTTTTTCTTTGCTTTCTTTCCTTCCTTTTTCCTACAAATTATTACACATTGCACAAGACTTTCGATTGGTTGAAGAAAATTGGAGAGACACTCCTGAATGATCAGCTCCAATTTTGTTGGGACAAAGGAGAGACCTGCCTGATGTAGCCAAATGCTATAGATCTTGTCTTTGCTCCTCTTGTTTTATTGATGTCTGTACATAGATTCCCTGGATTCTGCTGGTAACTGATAATTGCAGATACCAGAACCAAATCTGCACCATTATCGCACCCGAAATCCCCTGGAAAAAGGATCCCCAAGGCCGTCAATTTCCCAATATTCTCTTAACATGTCAGCTTTCTTAACTATATGTAAACAGATGCAAAAATCTTTCGAGTCGCACTTTCGCCATTGTTTTCGCTTTTTCTTTCCTTCCTGGCTGCTACCTTTCCTCGATTAAAAGATACCCTTTAAGCTAAAGAGACTTTAACTGGACCCAAATCAAGCATGTCCGAATGATGGGATTGGGAAGTATTTGGCGCATTTCACGCACTCTCCGTCTTTCGAGTCCGTAACAAAGCAGAAAGTTGGTGATATGATCACTTTTTCACTTTCTTTACTTCTCTTTCTTGTTTTGCCTTGTTAAAGGTAATGATCCATTTGCATAACAGACAAAAAAAAAGGTGTACCATCAGATTTTCTTCAAGATGTAAATATAAAAAAGATGGAAATCTTCAAATTTTACGGTCTTTTCTTTTGGAGAATATAGATTAGGGAGGTAGATTTGATGCTTAAATCAGATTCAGACGTCTGACAGGCTACGACTAGGTAGGAACCATCCTTGGTCGTTTGTACTCGGGGGATAAGCATCGTTGTTTCTGTCAGGAAAAGGCACTTTCAGGATTTAATGGACGATATGGGGTCCTCAAGGAATTGCTTGTGTGGATCTCCAGCCTGATGTAAAAACTCTTGACTTGTCAGTAACGATGTATCTTCTTACTACAGTTATGGCTTTTCCTGCACCTTGATGTCGGGAATGTGTGGCAGTTACCCAGAGATAGAGAAGTTCAGTACGAGACCGGCATGGGAGTAGCATCAGATGATATAATTCCGCTCTGAGATCAACAAAAACATCAAATCCTCTGATGGGTAAAATAGAAGAGAGAGGAGGAATTAAGAAGAAGAAAACTTGTGGGCAAAACAAAAATCAAAGTCATTACAAGCTTGAAGAATTAGCATAGCTTTTAACATATCATAGCACAATTGTCAATATCAACTGTGCAACGGAATTCACTTTTCAACTTTTGCCCATCGGTAGTCTTTCAACTATAGGTGTGATGCATACCCTTCTTGCTCCAATTTATAGCTTTTTTACTTCTTCAAAATTAAAAAAAGAAACTCTGGGTCGTGTTAATTTCAACTCCATACTTCTTTCTCAGAGATAAGATAGCTATCATTGAATTAGTTTCTTGATCAACTACACAGGATTTGAATCATTTCCTGGTCATTTGGTATCATTTCAGAAACGTTATCAGTCACCTTCAAGGGCGCTTGATCTTGGAAAACGTTCTGAGCTTTGAAGAAGTGTAAAGCTAACATATATTTATATATACGCAGCTTCTTTAAGAAACTCCAACAAGCGTAAACTTAACCATCTTTATGTTGGTTTCAGAAAGGAAGAAGCCCGAATTGTATAACAAGTTTTCCACTTTCCACAACCATGGGTGCAAGGAATAAAAGGATGGAGGCCTGCTGTTTCTGTTGATCGAATGCTGTGTCAAGCTAGCTTCTTGATGAAGAAGAAGCTTATGAATAAATTCATTGGAAGAGTCCTGCATGCCAATAAGCATATGATTTTAATGTTGCCCTGCATGCTGCAAACAAAGGTATTCTAATTGGTAATTAAGTAATCCTTTTTGCCTCTCTTCCAAATCAAAATAAATAAATAAAAATCAATCAAATTTTGATATTAATTACCTCCTAAATTATATATATATATATATATATATGTATATATGAAAAAAGGGTGAACAAGCATTGGTATTTCCTGAACATGACCTAAAAGGAAGTGCTATTATTGCCTTTTATGAGCGAAAATGAAATGATTATTTTTTAGGAAAAAATGGTCATGTGAGCCCTCTCTGTCTGGGAATCAATGGCAATAATTTGGCTAACGTTTGAAGTGAACCTAATGATTTTGTTTGGCAAAGACACAAAAAATATATATTTTTTTATTTGGAAACTGTTTGTTAAATTATTAAATCCAACAAATTTTGAAAACCCAAATTATAAAATCCTCTTATTAAAATCATAGCCTAATTAAAATATTAATTTCTCTTTTAATTAGTTTCCCTAAGCTTGACACCTCACAACAATTTTCAACACGGTTTAATAAAATCGAATGAAATCTTCTAAACTAATATATATATATATATATATATATATATATATTACTCATAACATTTGATCGAAATCTTCAAAGAAAAAGTATATACATATTCCAATAATTTGTTACATGATTTACATATGTGCATCTGCATTGTCCTATATTAATAAGGAATTTTTGTCATTCAACTGGTTTGAAAATTACCAATCCAATTATATGAAAAACAAATTATATTTCTTCAAAAATAAATAAACAAATAAAATAAAATAAAATAAAATAAAGGAAAATATTCATCGACCATGTAAATGGAATAGATGGAAAGCATGTCTCGCAGAAAACATGCGGACCACTACAAGAAAATATTCATGCCCGCGTTATCTAACATAAAATAATAAATAATATTTTGATTAATAATAATTAATTAATTATTAATTATAAAAATTTATTTAATTTAAAATAAAAGTTTAAAAACTAATTTGGTTACTATTAATTTAATTAGGGTCGATTAATGGAAAACATATAATATTAAAAATCAAAATGCTGAAATTACATTTTCTTTGTTCATTACTTAAAGAATTAAATTGTGAAAAGCATAAACCATCAAGTACTGAAAATGATTGTGGCCCTTTTAGTGCAATTATATGATAAAAAACAATTACACCTATAAATTATGAAGGCACACCTAAAACTAGACTCTAAAAACACTGATTAGTCACTGAGGTTATATATTTTCTCACCTTTTTCTTCCTTTTGCTCCATTCCTCAGTACAATCAATGAAAGTAATCTCACATCCAAATCAAAAGGTCCATCCACTCCACTAATTTTATGGGAGCAAGGTTTTGTTTCATAGAATTGGAATGAGCTTGATGATTTAGAATTAAAGAGTTTGGAAGATTAGGGCATCAGTCTAGAAAAGGAAAAATTTGAAAGAAGATTAGGAGGAATGGGGATATCCATAAGATATAAATGCAAAAGCTTCCAAAACCATTGATTGGCATGAAATGATGTATAAACCCAATTTTATCCTTTCCTGTTCTCTTTAGTTCAACTAATTATCTTTGGGGTTTAGATGTTCTATATATCAAAATGGTTAGGGATTTGGCAATATGCATGTGGTTGAGTACAACAACAAGTTTTACTTTAAAAACCCAAAGCAAGTTGTGGGTTAAATTTTGGATTTACTGCCCAAATTTAACACATCTCATTAAAGAGGTAGATGACCCAGATTAAACCTCATCATGATTTTTCTAAGCTGGTTAATTATTTTTTATGTAATTAATAGTTCATTAAAATATCATGTGCCATGTTAAACAATGGGAAACATGACATTATTGTTATCTTTTTAAGCCTTAAACCTAACAATCCCATTTTCTCCACTTTAATATATTGAATGTATTTTCTTTTTATATATTTTAAAATTATTTTCAGAGAAGTTAAATTACTGTGCTGACTCACTTGAAAAATTATCTAGAACGTTTGAGGTAATTGTGAATCTATTGTTTTCCTATTGGTTAATTTGTATTTTGTTAAAATCAAAATTTGAAGTTCTAATTTCAAACTTAAAACATAAATTTTAACTCAATAATAATTATATATATATTAAGCATAATATTTAAAAAAGTTTCTAAATTGTTTAAAAAAATTTAAATAAAACTCTTATTCTTTTATTATATTATTCAATTAAGTTTTTATATTTATATTATTATATCATATTAACATGTTACGTCATCATTCATAATAAGATAACAAACCTCTACCCCTAATTTTTAGGCATAATTTCATACGAATATATTAGTATTAGAAATAGACAGTTCGTCTCAAAAGTATAAACACTGTTAACAAAAAATATGAAAGAACTAAAAAGCTCTTTTTTTTTATTAATTTTAAAAATTATTATATATAATTTTTTTAAAAAAAAATTCAAGGAGGTGCTTCCCTTTCATGCGGAGCATTGATTTGTTTTTTGTAAAAAAAATATAATAGTAATTTTTAAAATCAATAAAATATAAAATTATCTTTTTAATATTATCATGTCATCAAATTAAAAAAAACATTAACGATTTATTAACGACTAGATTTATATGTCTAGTGAAAAAAATTTTTTGGATAGAATGCCTACTTCAAAAATTATTAAACACGTATGAAATTTCAATTAAAACTTAAAAATAAGTGTATTTTATTTTTTATAATATTATTTCAGTATGATATATTAACACGACGTAATATAAAATAACAAGTGACTTTTGATTAACAACAACTAATCAATAATAAAAGTTTATTTAATTTAAAATAAAAATATTAATATTTAATTAAGAAAAAAATAAAAGTTTATTTAAATTTTTTAAAATATTTGATGAGCTTTATCAAATTTTTAATTAAAAAATCTAAGTTGGGATTCTTTTAATATTCATTGATGGGTAAGTGGGTACTTTTAAATCGATGATGAAATTGAAATCAAAATAAAAAACATAAAAGTGACAGCGGATTTTCTCTGTTAAAAATCCAACTTTGTCCCATCTCCTTTATTTAAGAAAAGCTTTATCTATTTGTTTTTTTAATTTATTTTCAGGGATCAACAACAAAGTAACAAGAGCAGGGGCAGCCAAGAGTGCTATAAAGAAGAGGATGAAAACGCGTTTGACCTTGTAAAACTCGTCCACCATGAAAGACTCTTCTCAGCTTTCATCAACCTTCTTCACGCGTCCACACCCTGCAACAAAGCCCAACCCAAGATCCCCGCAGCACCGAAAAGAAGCAGCAGCAGCAATTAACTCCGCAAACATTTCCCCCTAATCAGACACCTTCAACTACCCCACTTCCTCCCTCCATTTCCTCCGCTCATCAAGCCTTTTACGAGACAAGAAACACCCACCAAGACCCATCAAAGATCAGCGCTTTCTCTTAAGTTTCATTGCTTTTTTTGATCTGATCAAGGTTTTCTGTTTTGGGTTGTGATGGCGGATATAGTGAAGCAAATCTTGGCGAAGCCGATTCAGTTAGCGGACCAGGTGACGAAAGCGGCGGATGAAGCAAGTTCGTTTAAGCAAGAGTGTGCGGAGCTTAAATCCAAGACGGAGAAACTCGCTGGCTTACTCCGACAAGCCGCGCGAGCGAGTTCCGACCTCTACGAAGTCCGACGCGCCGCATAATCGACGACACCGAGCAAGTCCTCGAAAGAGCCCTTAACTGGTCCTCAATGCCGCGCCAACGGCCTTATGAAGCGCGTGTTCACGATCATCCCAGCTGCCGCGTTCCGCAAAATGTCTGCTCAGCTCGAGAACTCAATCGGCGATGTCTCCTGGCTTCTCCGTGTATCAGCTTCTGCTGACGATCGCGACGATGAATACTTAGGCCTCCCTCCGATCGCTGCAAACGAGCCGATTCTATGCCTAATTTGGGAGCAAATCGCGATTCTTTTCAATGGTTCACCCGACGGCCGGTCTGACGCGGCGGCTTCGCTTGTTTCGCTAGCCAGAGATAATGATCGGTACGGGAAACTAATTATAGAAGAAGGAGGGGTTGGGCCGCTATTGAAGTTAATCAAAGAAGGGAAAATAGAAGGTCAAGAAAACGCTGCCAGAGCTATTGGACTTCTGGGCCGGGATCCGGAAAGCGTTGAGCAGATGATCCACGCCGGCGTTTGCACGGTGTTCGCGAAAATCCTGAAAGAAGGTCCGATGAAGGTTCAAGCTGTCACGGCGTGGGCGGTATCGGAGCTGGCAGCTAATTATCCAAAATGCCAAGATTTATTTGCCCAGCATAACATAATCCGACAACTCGTTAGTCATTTGGCGTTTGAAACGATTCAAGAACACAGCAAATATGCAATTGCTAGTAACAAGGCAACATCGATCCACGCGGTTGTCATGGCGAGTAGCAATCATTCGAATGTGAGAAATGTTGTTGATGAAGAACATCAGACTCGGATTCCGCATCCGATGGGAACGAAACTCCGAGTCAGATGCACAATGTGGTTATTACTACCATGGCGATGAAAGGAGGGGCGAAACTGCCACAAAAGCCGAGTAATAATCATGTTAGGAGTAACAGTCAGGGCAATGTCAAGCAAATCCATCAAGTTTATTATCAACATCAGCAGAATGTTTCGGCGAATATCAAGGGAAGGGAATTGGAAGATCCTGCTACCAAGGCTTACATGAAGGCAATGGCAGCTAGAGCTTTATGGCATCTTGCAAAGGGGAATGCCCCTATTTGTCGGAGTATTACTGAGTCTAGAGCGTTGTTGTGTTTCGCGGTTTTGTTAGAAAAAGGAACCGATGACGTGCAGTTTAACTCGGCCATGGCATTGATGGAGATTACAGCTGTGGCAGAGCAGGATACTGATTTGAGAAGGTCGGCATTTAAGCCGAATTCGCATGCTTGCAAGCTTGTTGTCGATCAGCTGTTGAAGATCATAGAGAAGGCTGATTCGGAGCTCCTGATCCCTTGTATCAAGGCTATCGGTAATTTGGCAAGGACGTTCAGAGCGACGGAAACAAGGGTGGTTGCCCCATTGGTTAAACTTCTTGATGAGAGGGAAGCTGATGTTTCTAAGGAGGCTGCAGTTGCACTTACCAAGTTTGCTTGCACAGAAAACTATCTACACCTTGATCATTCTAAGGCAATCATCAGTGCAGGAGGTGCAAAACATTTGATTCAGCTGGTGTATTTCGGGGAACAAATTGTTCAACTCTCAGCGCTAGTTCTCCTATCCTACATTGCCCTCCATGTACCGGATAGCGAAGAACTTGCCCATGCTGAGGTGCTTACAGTGCTTGAATGGGCATCCAAGCAATCCTACATGACCCAGGATGAGACAATAGACACACTTCTGCAAGAGGCCAAAAGTAGATTGGAGCTGTATCAGTCTAGAGGCTCAAGGGGATTTCATTGATTCAATCGCCTCTCCAATTGTAATTTCTTTGTTGAAAAAACTATTTCCCATCAATTTGCTTCCCAATTCATCATTCTATTTTCGAGTGTACATACAGATAGTTGATCATAAGTATTTTCAGTCATTTTGCACAGTTTGCTGCCTGCTTCTTTTCTGTGTTCACACCAATGTTGCATGTCTGGTTGTAAGGCCACAAAGGGGGTTTCCCTGATTAGTTCATCAACATTTGTCGGGTTATATGATGTGTTCCACATATTTTTTGTTCACTTTGGAAATTCTTCCCTTGGGAATCACAACTGCTTGCTGGCCTATAAAATTAAATTTATTTATATTTTTCCAAGAAGGATAGTGTTTGCTTTATTGATACTAAATGATGTGCTGGTGACAACCTTGGTTGGAACACCTCCAAAATGAGGTAGGGTAGGGAAAAGTTAGTCTTAAAACATTGCTTCTTATCAGGAAGAAGAAAAATGGGGGTTATTGTCATTGACTTAAAGGTGAAGTGCTATTGGCAAGCTTCTGTGGCCCTGAGGTTTTTTGCTTCTGGCTTTTAACCACCATGAAAGAACCATCGACCTCAGACCTCAAGAGACTTGGACTCTTTCAAACCGACTGGTCTGAACTGCTACCTTTTGTTGTTCTTTCTGTCACGAATTTGATTTGGACTCTTTCAAACGTCCGATTAACCTACCCTGCAACCTGCAGGAATTTGACTCTGCCATGAATTTTCCCAGGGCTGACTGCATCTAACACCTTTTAACAAGTGGCTCTGAGAAAAAATTAAGAATGGGTAACGTGTGCTCACATGAGAAACGTCCATTTCTTTGCTCCCTCTGTTCCTCTTTTATTCAAAAATTGATGTTGCCAATCCGGTTACGCTTTCTAAGAGCGCAAGACAATTGCTCAAAAACAGACCTCCCATTTAAACAACAAAAATATTAAATTTTTAATAAAATAATAATGGCAACTTAAACTGCTCATTAATAGGTTCATCACTGATCAATAGGTTGAAAGCAGCCTCACAAAGGCTGGGTCAAACTTGCCCTGTTCCAAAATATAAATTAAAAAATTCCTAAGTGGAGAAGTATCCATACTTGGCCTAATCCACCCACAAGAGCAGACTGGATTTATGCCTTCCCAAAATACTATCTAGTCAATTTCATGTTGCCATGAAGGACAGTTGGGAAGAATCCCACAGTTGATCTGTTGATATTCATGAACAATAGAGAGTCAAAAGCAGATATTTACCCAAGCTTAAATGACGGTCAACAAATCTTGAAACTCATGGTTATTTGATTTGTGTTGCTTCCTCTGTCATCTTCGTGTATGCAAAATGTTTTGCAGATGGCGAGTCTGCCCTTCTGCGCTGAAACATTTTTCCGGGAGTGGTGCTATGTCATGCGGAAAGTGGATTGCACGATTCTTTGTCCCCATTTGCAGTCTGCCTTACAGTGTTGTCTCCTTTGAGATGACATTCTTTCTTTTTAAAGTTTTTGTTAATTGGGGATCGAAATCATCTTTTTTAAAAGATACACTTTGAGTTTGAGAAAAAAAAGTTGAGGTGCTAAGCCATAGGTTCACATGAAACACACATCACTTTCGAGTTTAAGATTCACATGCTAATGTCCTTTCCAAATACAATTATTGAGCTCTAACTGTTGATGCCTCAACTAAATATCTTGTGATTATAACACAACACGACGAATGAACAGGTCCAGTATGACTTACCTAATATCTCTAGAATTGCTACTATTATCTTCTTGTTTGGTAACCCCATTTGTGTTGCAAGCAAAGAATCAAATCCCAAGCCCTGCAATCCTTCTGCATCAGGGCTGTATTATGCCATGGACAGATGTCAAAATGATAACACCTATCAGAATGCCAGGTGGTCATGATGAAATTTCACCATATTTCAGAAAAGGTGAATTGCTTACTACTTTCTCTCTTTTCCATCACTCTTTCTTTCTTTCTTTTTAACAATCTTTTCCACCAGGTAATTGTGCATGTTACCCCAAAACTTTGGGTTCTGTCCTCAGAGTAACTGCACACAGAAAAGACATGAAATTCATCACTAATAAGAGCTACGGTCAATTCACCAGCTGGCAATACTATTTCTAGTTAAAGCTTGCCCTACTTAAAAAACAGATGATGGGTTAATCTTAGTTTCAGTGATAATCAAAGATTGAAACTGATAACAAATTTACTCTTTTTTTCCCCATCTACTAGTCAACTGTTAATAATTTATGGTGCAGCTTCCCTCTAAAACAGGTCAACAAGCCCCCCTCATTTCCACACCTATCACCTAACTCACATCATTTGCATTAATTCAGTGTTTCCATCTGAAAGTTATCTTGGATAAAATTAAGATGCATCTTTTCTCAAATGACACAAGAATCGTGCAGTAAAGGTGATAATTAGTGCTTGTTTGCTTCTATCCTCCGCAATACTTTTTTGCTTTTCTTATTCCAGAAACCTGAAGTCAGGCCAAAGAGAGGTCGAAATACCAACTTCTAATCCGTGAAACATGAAAAATAAACTCATAGAGGTCAAAAGCTAGGATTCTGATAGATGCTTGTCTTGCCGGGAGTTAGCTATTGCACGAAGAGCAGTGGGCTTTGAATAGGCCAATTTGACTGATTGCTTGGGCCATGACCTGTTCTAATCAAACAAACTGGACTTCCCCGATGGGGCAAACAGCTTGCCCATGAATTGCCTTGGTGGACTGAGATAAGGGAGCCCAACCTTTGTTTTGTACCCAACTATCAATCCTTTGAGATTCATTACTTCGAATCAAGTTGTCTAATTGGCACTCTAAATTCCCATGGAGAAAGATGTGAAATATATATTAATCAATTAATTACATTATTGTGAATATTTTGTTGGAAAACAAGATCCATATCAACTTCTTATAGGCATTTTTATTTTTAGTGAACCATCAGCACTATTTCCATATGACAAGGTGAATCAAAAATCAATGAAGTTTAGTGGCTTAGAAAGGAATTGCCTAGAAAGAACTCATTATGGTGGTGTAAGAGTCATACATTTACACATGGACTTATCCTCACAGAGGCCACTGCATTGCCCATCAAATCTCCTCCACCCAATTCATGATCCAAAACCAATCAAATACAGAAAAAAATCACATCCTTTTGTTTCCTTCACCTCACTTCTTCACTAACAAAAAATCATCAAGCAGCAATTTCTACTGTACTTTCTTCTTCTTCCTTCATTATCAAAAACATGGCTGCTGTAAATGCTGCAGTCTCTTTTCCTTCTACCAAGTCCACCTGTCTTCCTGCTAGAATCTCGATCATCTCTCCAGAAAGACTCACCTTCAAGAAGGTAAAACTGTCATACTTCTAACGGTAAAATATATGTGTCATCTTATCTCAATATGTTGAAAGTTTTATCAGTTGCTTTTGGTTTTTTCAGGTTCCTGTTTACTACAGAGATGTTTCCAGTGGAGGGAGAGTGGTTTCTGTCAGAGCCCAGGTTACGACTGAGGCTCCTGCTAAAAAAGTTGTAAAGGAATCTAAGAAAAATGAGGAGGGTGTTGTCGTGAACAAGTTCAAGCCAAAGAATCCGTACACTGGCAGATGCCTTCTAAACACTAAGATCACTGGTGATGATGCTCCTGGAGAGACTTGGCACATGGTCTTCAGCACTGAGGGTATCCAAACTACTTCTGCAGTATTCATAGTCTAACTTGAAAAGATAGTTCTGCTAAATTAAATTCTTTAAGACAATTGCACATAACCCATGTGTAATGAATAAGAGAAAATATTGGATGAATTTTTTATTTTGTTTTATGCAGATATAAAATTTTATACATGTAAATCAATGTATGAGCATAAATACAAATAACCAGGCAAGAATTTGATAAAAATATTGTCATTGGGGTATTCTGTTGTCTGCTGGGATTTCATTTTCACTGTTCCAATGCTATTTTTGGTGATCAAGAAATAAAGTGTTTGATGTTCTTGAGATATTAATTAGCTGAAGCTGAAAATACTCTTAATTTGTTAGCTGACTGGTTGGTTGGATTTGCCCAGGAGAGGTTCCCTACAGAGAAGGGCAATCCATTGGGGTGATTCCAGATGGCATTGACAAGAATGGGAAACCTCACAAGCTGAGATTGTACTCTATTGCTAGCAGTGCCCTTGGTGATTTTGGAGACTCCAAAACTGTGAGTGTACCTTCTGTAGGATCATGATTCATATTCAGATTTTGTTTTGTTTTGTCCATTTAAGATGCAAAATCAAGTGCCAAATTTTCTAGAATAGGCTTTGGGCTACTGCCAGAATCTATAAATATCATTGTAATTTTGCAGGTGTCCCTATGTGTGAAACGGCTGGTCTACACCAATGAGAATGGAGAACTTGTTAAAGGAGTCTGCTCCAATTTCCTGTGTAAGGATGCAGGACTTTTATGTTGCATCATACTATGCTTAACTATTGTTTTGAACCACTCAGTCAAAAGATTTTAACCTTCTGTTTTAGTTGTTAAGTGTATTTAACTCAAATAGTTATGAAAAAGGTAGAAATAGCTTTCTGGAGGATGTATGAGTTATTTTGCCCTACCGGTGCTAAATATTGTCTTCTTATGTTCAGGTGACATAAAACCTGGGTCAGAAGTTAAAATTACAGGGCCCGTTGGAAAGGAAATGCTTATGCCACAAGATCCAAATGCCACAATCATCATGGTGTGTATACCCAAAGCTGTTAACACCACTAGATTAAATTATCTGGCACTGAATGGATCATGTAGTGCTGCTCCAAAACAAGAGGTTTTCACACTTTGCTTCTTCATTGCAGCTTGCAACTGGAACTGGAATTGCTCCCTTCCGATCATTTTTGTGGAAAATGTTCTTTGAGAAGCATGACGAGTACAAGGTAGAATGAAGCTATATCCACATAATGCAACCAATCTGATATTGAAAACAATCATGATAGATAACCTGTTAGAACCTGTGGCGTTAGCCCATGAAAGTTGATTTAAAGCATAAATAGCATCTCCGAGAAGCAGACAAGAATAATTCCCGAACCAAGTAGAGATAGATATCATCAAATCCTCATTTATCAATTATCGACTTTACTTCTGATTAGTGACTTAACTTCTGACGTGTTCTGTAGTTCAATGGTTTGGCATGGCTCTTCCTGGGTGTCCCCACAGGTAGCTCATTGTTGTACAAGGAGGTAAGCTAGAAAAAGGAATTCTTGACTGATCTGATGGTTTGCTTCTTAACTTTCCAGAGCCAAATGCTGAGTTTTTTTTGGCTGTTGAGATTGTCAACTGGGAACCTCAAATGTTGTGTAACAGGAATTTGAGAAGATGAAGGAGAAGTACCCTGACAACTTCAGGCTGGACTTTGCTGTGAGCAGAGAGCAAACCAATGAGAAAGGTGAAAAGATGTACATCCAGACCCGAATGGCTCAATATGCAAAGGAGCTATGGGAGTTACTGAAGAAAGATAACACCTACGTCTACATGTGTGGGTTGAAGGGAATGGAGAAGGGAATTGATGACATAATGGCCTCACTTGCTGCAGAAGATGGTAAAAATAAAAAAGAACGCCAACTTTTCTCAAGACAAGGTGGAGCATTTCTATGTATAATTATATCTCTAATGAATGCTGTATTTGCACAATTTTTTCAGGTATTGATTGGACTGAGTACAAAAGGCAGTTGAAGAAATCTGAGCAATGGAATGTGGAAGTCTACTAACTGGTTGATTACTTGTACAAATCCACCCCTCTTGGGTTCTCCTCTCTATTTTGAGCAGCCTTATTCCCACTGCACTGTGTAGATAGGGAGTGTCTCTTTTTTGGAGCCTATATTAATGAAACAACAGTGTTTTATAGCCAACCTCATAAATTTTTGTTCTTGAGGGGTAACCAATCAAACTTCCAACTCCAGCCTGCTATATATTAAATTTGAAGAGTATGGCATGTGGTAGTTTTGTATCTCTGGTTATCTTTAAATGGACCAAACTCTGGCAGAAATGACCATTCAATGCATTCCCACACCTATTTTCAATGCCAATTCACATCTCTTCCCTGGCTATGTGATCATTGGTTTTCAATGTCATTATTTCAATCATTAAAGAAGCACAAATCATAGCGGCAAACATTGGTTCTTCTTTCAATGCCACTGCTACCTGAGTCCTCTTTATGGTTGGGGGGAAATGATGCTGGTCAAAGACCCACATCTCTCTTATTTATGCCCTGCTCCAACTAGCTTGAATTGGAGGGCTTCACCTGCAAATCCTAGAGTAATTAATTAGAAATAAACATGCTTACCCACCCAAAATTAACAACTTGAAGCAAATGCCATTTCATAGTAGTAATTAACAGTTAATGATAACTCATTCAATGATAATTGCATTATTATTTGCTTTTGTTTTTTTCCCTATTTTCGCTTTGGTTCCATATAATCATTGGTGTTATTGTTGATACTATTTAATCACATGAAAATTTACTTGCAATGGATTCTAAAATTTATTTACTACTTATAAAATAGGTTCTTTTCTCAATAAAAAATACACAAAAAAAAAAATTAACAAAACTTGGGAAGTGAGGTCCTTGGCATGGCCCAAAGAGCAAGAAATGAGAGCAATACTAATTAAGTATCACAAAGGTTATTCAACTACGTTTATTTATGTAATTAATTTTTTTATCTTAATTAAATTTTGATATTTTTATTTGCATTTACAAAACTCTTAATTTTAATAAAAAATTAATAATTATTAAATTTAAAATTAAATATTTTATCTAAATATAAAGGTCAATATAATCATGTGATAATTGACGTGTAAACTAACGTGATCACTTAACAGTTGACATAAAACGAGCCACGTCCGAATGCCCGAATGCTGTAATATGTTAATTAATATTGAATTTGATAATTTTAGAATAAAAAATAAAAACTGACAGGAATTTTTTTTTTAGTATTTAAACTAAATTAATAGAGTAAGAGAGAATGGGTACAACAGAAAACCTAGAATCCCCTAACCCAAGTGGTTGAGGAATCAAGTCGGTGGTGCACTAACATAAGTCTTAGCGTTCCTTTTTCTAGGGTTCTAGTTCCGCAATCGAGACTCCTCCTATAAATTCCTCCTTACTCTTCATCATCAAAACCCTAGAAAACAAAAGAATCAAAAGTCTGTTTTTTTTTTAATCCCAGAAATTTTGACCGACTCACTTCAATGGCTGAGCAACAAGAAGAACGGCAGCAATCAAGATCCGCTGGCAAGGTGCTCTGGTTCAATGACCAAAAGGGCTTTGGCTTTATTCGACCTGACGATGAGAGTGAAGATCTCTTCGTCCATCAATCTTCAATCAAATCCGACGGCTATCGTAGCTTAGCCGAGGGCGAATCCGTTGAGTTCACTGTCTCCCAAGGCAACGGCGGCAAGACCCAGGCTGTTGATGTTACTGCAATCGGTGGCTCCCCTATCAGTAAAAGGGACCGTCGCGGTGGTGGTGGAGGAGGTTTTGGTGGAGGCTGGAGAGGCGGAAACGAGCGGAGGAACGGCAACGGATGTTATAACTGTGGGGATTTGAATCATCTGGCTAGGGATTGCAGTAAGAACGCTAGTAATTACAACGATAGTGATAATTACAATAATGTCCCCAATGGCGGTGGCGGAAGCAGTTATTGTTATAATTGTGGCGAGGCGGGGCATTTTGCAAGGGACTGTAAGAGAGATAGTGGCGGCTTTGGTGGTGGTGGAGCTGGGAAGTGTTATAACTGTGGGAAATATGGGCACTTTGCCAGAGAGTGTAATAGAAACATCGGTGGCAGTGGGAGTGGTGGCGGAAGCTGCTTCGTGTGTGGAGGATTTGGGCATTTGGCGAGGGATTGTGACAATAACAGGGAAGTAAAATGTTTTAATTGCGGCGAGGCTGGCCATTATGCAAGGGAGTGTGCGAACTCTAGTGGAAAAAAAGAGTAATAGTAAATATTTCTCTTTTTTTATGTTTTGGGTTCTATGAATGTTGGAGGTTATACATAAGAATGTTTTGGATTATTCAGTTAATCCAGTTTTTCTGAAAAGAAAATTTTCCAGTTTTGATACATAGATGAGCTGGTTCGGATAAGTTGTTTTGTTGTTTTGGTTATTGTCGATTGTTGTTAGTGACTTTGTTCTAACTCTCAATTGAGCAGCTTCTACTTTTCAAGTGTGAATTAATGTTTTCTTTATGCTCATGTGTGATGTGAATTTTCTTTTAAAATTATGATGATGCCGCATTGATCTTCTAAGTTTCGGAGGAAGTTAAGAGTCATAATTTGGTGGTATTCATGATCATTTTGAGCATGAATCTTTATATTTCGGTTCCTGTAGATTATTGTTGTTTTGGGCATTAATTATTGGCTCTTTGCTAATGTTTTTGCCTTTGATATGAGATCTCTCCAGGGTATCTTCGTAAAAAGAAGATTGTGATTGGAAATTGAAGTGCAGCATTTCTTTAGTGGTTTAGTCATGATGGTTGTCAATTTGATTAAGTCTGGCCAGGATTTTAGTTTCATGAATTATGGTATACAGGTGTATCCTTCCTTTAGTTTGGTAATGGCTATTGATTTTGAAGTGCAGCCTTGCTTTAGGGGTCTAGTGATGATAGCTGTCAATTTGATTGAGTATGGCCAGGATTTTAGTTTCATGAATTATGTTATACAGGTGTCTCCTTCCTTTAGTTTGGTAATGGCTATTGATTTCAACAACTGGTGGGAATCATTGATGAAATAGTTTTTAAAATTGTTGGTGTTGCTTTGCTTTAGCTTGTTGATGCAAGGGATCCATGCATGAACTTGATGTCACTGGGTTTTGTTGTAGTCATGATGTTTACCCAGGCTTTGTAAGCTGCCTGTATTTTGCCATATTTGATTAAAGATGTTATAACCAGATGCTGAGAATCAGAATTTACTAGAAAAGTTAGTTATTATATAAGCTGGTTCCTAATTGCAAGTAATGCTTCCTTCTACTTCCTTAGCTTGGTTGTCTGTACAGAGCATATATAAAGGGTTGTAGGCTCATCTTTCTAAATTTCTGATGTTCCAGCTGGAGTTATTAATGTTGTCTGGGTAGTGGCAGTTGTATGCATTGGTGTTGTGCTTTTGATGCAAGGAGAGGGATGAAAGGGTGATAAAGCTGTTTGATATCATATATTTATGATGGGTGGTCATTTTGGGTTTCATGTTGTTCAATACAGATGTTGAGGTCATCAATAAATGGTATGACTATGCCAAAAAGATTATCATACCATGACTTTTACAAAATTAAGTTTATATATGATGCATTGTTACTGCTTATGCTGTTTGTAGGACACACTCTGTGAAACGCTTTAAAGCTGTATGCATCAAACAAAAGTTTTGGCCATATTATGTTCATCTTTCTGAGGAAGGATCTGCATGTTTCCATTCCATTAACAGCTATATACAACACAAGCAGTTGACATCATTCAAAAGGCTGCGTGAATGCTCATCTCAACTAATTGGGACGCTTGCCCCATTTGGACCAGAGGTTATACGAGAAAACAGGCGAGGATTGCTGATCTATGCATAGCCTGCAGGTACGGGCATGCTCCCTTTTTGACTAAGAAAACTCAATTTTCATCATGTTCCCCCTAAACCCATTGTGAAACAAAAATCAAGGAAGGCAACCATGCCCCAGAGAACGGCCTAAGGACTATTTGAGATTGTTGAAAGTATGAAAATTGTTCCGACATTGACGTCTGTTTCCTCAAAAGTTGTCAACTGTTTATGTTGTTGATTATTGGACGAGAATGAGCCTAGCCTATCATTTGTGCAGTCAAATTCCGATTGGAAAAAAAGAAAAACCAAGTTTATTTATTAGTTTGAGCTGACAATTTCGCCTTTGTCACGTTTAGGATAATACTAAAAAAGGACATCTAGTTTACCATTGCCGTCAAGTTGCTTTCTTGTGTGTGTTAGTGAAGGGTTTCTATTGATCCTAACCCTTTCCACTCATTTAAGGGCCGCATGAATCAAGACGTAATACTAGTTCAAGGTCAAGTGAGCTGAATAAAGGTCACCACCAGCCTATTCTTTATATATTTCCTTCTTTTCTCGGCTTTAATAATATTCCAAAGTTGACAAAGAAGGCCCAAACCTATTAGTATCGGCTAGATTCTGTACTAAGTAGAACATATTGGAGGTAGATTTTGGGCTGGGATTAGACAGGCTCCATCAAACTCAGATTTGTAGCCAACATTCTCAAGTTACCCAACAATATTAAAATAGTAACAAGTTGCACAAATATCATCCCCTGCCTACCCCTCGATAACTTGCTCGGTGACCACTTTCTGACAACTTGCATAGCAGATAAACAGCAAAGATGAAATTATGTTGGCATTCATTGGTTAAGAAATCACGAGACTGCTTGATTCTTGTCTTTAAGTTTTGATCTGTTCAAGCAATTTGAAATAACGTATCAAAGTCGTAGCCGATGGACTTTGTCCTTTGTTTCTCAATCCCTTTGTATGCAAGTTCAGAGCTGGTCAAGGGGAAGAAACTCACACAGCAAGCAGAATCCCAATGCACCCCATGCATACTTCCAAAAGCCTGTTTAACCATTGATGTTTTCTATTTGTATTTTTCTATTCTTTCTGTTGCTAACGTCGGTTCATTGCGACAAATTTTTTTTTGGGCATTTCCTAAGTAAGCAATGCACTAAATACACTGGACAGTAATGGCCGAGTTAAAACTGTTTGCAGGTTGAGCGTGTGCCTCAGCATGCATGCGTCCTGGCCCTGCCCCACCTCCCATACCTCTTCTATAACACATCACGTGGTACCCACATCTTTGCTATTTTTTGAGGTCCAAGGACTGATATGTTGACATACATCCTATATAAATGCTCTCAGTCCAGCCCCAATCTTTGTACTAAATCTTTTCCCACCAAGTGCTAGCAAATTTGTTCAGTCTTCTTTTAAGTGCACGTCTTTTTTCCCTCCTTATTCGATGGCTACTCTTCAGGTTTCCTTTGTGTTGGTTATGTTCTTCCTTCTGTTGTTCTCAGGTCACAATTCGTTTACTGATTGATTTCTCATTGTTGTTTTGCTTTTTTCTGTTGCTGTGTTGGTTTTTAATTTGTTTTCCTGTTTTTTTCCCAGGCGCTCATTCATCAACGTTCACAATTGTGAACAAATGCAGCTATACAGTTTGGCCAGGGCTGCTGTCAGGTGCTGGAACCCCGCCAATATCACCCACGGGTTTCATTCTTCAACCAGGCGCGTCAACAGCTGTCTCTGTTCCAACATCTTGGTCAGGTCGCTTCTGGGGTCGCACTTTTTGCACTGAAGACTCTTCGGGCAAATTCTCTTGCCTCACCGGAGACTGCGGCTCATCTGCACTAGAATGCTCTGGCAGTGGAGCCATCCCTCCTGCAACCCTTGCGGAGTTTACACTGAATGGTGCTGGGGGATTGGATTTCTACGATGTTAGCCTTGTTGATGGCTACAATTTAGCGATGATGGTATCCCCACAGGGCGGAACTGGAGGTAACTGTACATCCGCTGGATGTGCTGCGGATTTGAATGGCGACTGTCCTCTCGAGCTTAAGGTTGTCGATGGGACTGAAGGGGTGGCATGTAAGAGTGCCTGCGCTGCTTTTGGGGACCCCAAATATTGCTGCAGTGGAGCTTATGCTACTCCAAACACATGCAAGCCCAGTTCTTACTCAGAATTCTTCAAGACCGCGTGTCCTACAGCTTATAGCTACGCCTATGATGATGGAACCAGTACCTTCACTTGTGCTGGTGCTGATTATGTTATTACTTTCTGCCCTACCCCTTCCACCAGGTAATAAATGCACCAGTGCTTTTACCTTTTGCAAAGCAAGTCCCTTGGCTTTTTCTGATTACTGTCAAATTACCAATTTCAATATGATCGTTTTTTCCCCTTCTCCATGTACATGCCACTAAACAAATCAGAGTCAACCCAAATCTTGTAGTTGAAACTTCTCTGTTCTCAAGGTGTTAGTTCCCAACAGAGTCGGTTGGGAGTCATATGGGGACCATAGATTCTTTAGTCCCAGATATGGCCTGCACGTTCCATTTTAAAATTTTAATCTTCAGGTGCTTTGAAGTCTAAGAAAATCAGCACCGCCCCATGGTGCAGAAACTGCTGTACCACCATTAAAGTACACGCAATCATCATCACATTTTGAACTTCTTTTAGATTTCGGCTGGCTGACGTTGATCGTTTTTTGTTTGCAGTGTCAAGTCCTCCAACCCCATGGCTGTTGACATATCAGTCGGCTACCGTCCTGTTTCATCAGCTCTCATTGGCTCTGCCATCACCACCCTGGCGGCAATCTGGCAGTTGCAGCATCTCTTTTGACAAATACCAAGTTGCAACCCAACAACATTTAGGAGCCATTTTCCATCTATATGTGGGATTTTTTAACTCCGTAATTGGGCCCCATCAACTTCGGCAATTTGCAAAACCTGAATGGAAATTGTGTGAACAACGAGAGTAGGCCACAATCGAATGATCTTACATCATCACCAGCCTGCCTTGTCCTTCTCCAATTTTCTCCAATTTGAAGAAGAAACAAAACTATGATACATACAAAAGATAGAAAACACATCACACATCACCAGCTACCTTTTCCCCTTCACTCCCTGACTCTGGAAGGAAAGAGGATGATCAAAGAGCTGGCAAGATGAAGTTTTAATTATCAATTTGATTTAGGCATAAATTTGTAGGACTAGACGATGATTAGTTGGCTCTAGCTGCGCAAATATTTTGCAACTGTCGTCTGCTAATGCCAATGGAGATGAGCTCAATTTGTCTCTATTAGTTTTGGCCCTTTAATTATTTTAATGCTTTGTTTTCTTTTAAGATATGGTGTGGGTTCTGCCGTCAGAAATTAATTATTTTACCAATGATGTTTATTATAATAATTGATTGCATCTGATGTTTTAAGTATTGTTTTCAATTCCTGGCTGGGGTTGATCTGAGTATAAGCTTAATGTATTTGCATGGTAAGTTTAAACAGTTAAAAACATACGCATGTTCGTCGTATGAAAGATATTGAAATTATTAAAACAGGTATTTGATTTAAATTAAAATCACTTGAGAATAATTTAAGATATCACGAATTTATTATGTAACATGAATCAATGTAAAAACGAAGGTATGATATGCATTTAAAACAAGAGGGTTTTTTATAACATTGTCAATGGCATCATGTTGCAGTTATATATATATAATGAGTTCTAAAAGTTTCATTGATACATTTTTAGGACCCAAATTCTTTAGATAGTACCTTTATATCTTTTCTATTTTCAAGAAAGTTTTCGCATTACCCCTTGAAAGGATTGCTTTGATTTGGCCTTTCCGGCATTCTTATTGTGTTTAATAACTTAGCTGGTTAAGAACAGAGTCAGGCACAGGCAGGAAATCGAAGCCTTTCTGTAGGGAAGCTATACGTAAATGGAAACAGAATCCTGATCACCTGTAGATTGAATAGATAGCTCGCAAAAACTGACTTTAGCATAATTTGTCAATGCCAATCTAGATAAACAATTAAATACGATAATTATAAAAAAATAAATAAATACATTATTTATTTATAAAAAATTTACATATAAAACATACTGCATATAAAATGAAAATCGCGAGTATTGATTTTCTTAAATTAATTACACAAGCCTTATCCTTTATATATATATATATATATATTTTAGTTCTATGAATTTGTGGAACACCAGGCATGCCCTGAAGTCAATGGAAGCACGTGCAGAATGGGTTTTAGTCATTCGACTTGCAGTGGAGACTATCATGGTTCATGGATCACCTTGGGGAAGAGAAGTGGCAAAAATTACAAAGCGCATCATGATCAATGATAATTTCTTTCTTTTTTCCAACAATTTTATCCAAGAATTTGGACGGTTTTTTATCACAATTCACCAAATTATTTGGTAAAGTGATCGAACTGCCAGCCCGCAAATGTGCTATGTGGAACAAGTTCACATCAGGCTTGTCCACAAGCCTACACGACCTGGAAGGAAAGCCTGGACCATCCATGAAAGTAGCTTTGGCCGGTTAGTTTTCAGGTATCACAGATATCTGATAGAACAAGTAATCACACCACAACCTGCAAAAATCTTTGTTTTCTTTTCTTCTTTTATCGTGATAAATGTGAAAAATAAAAGCAATGTTATATTACACGCATAATGCTTTTGAGATTCTATCAGATTTCAGAGATGGGATTGAAGTCAAGCATCCTTGTCATTCGGATGTGTCAATCCAAAAATTTCTTTTGGAATCATTGGGAAAATCAAAGAAGAAATCTCATGGTTACTTGGAATTATTAGGGAATACCGAAAAAGTAGGCCAATATTTTCGGAATCTTTCAGGGATTGTCAAGAAAGTAATCTGAAAGCTGCTGCAATTAGGGTAGTTTCAGTCTCTGTGAATTGTTTAAAAAATATTACGAAAATTTGACATCCATGCCTCAGAAATTCTCTTGATGATGCTTCAGAGTCATAAATTTTTCCTAAAGCAGCCGCAAGTAGCAAAACTGCGGGGTTCATTTTCACCTTGGGAAAGGAAAATTCAATCTGTCAACCTCATGAACACGTATTCGTGTGTTGTCTTGTTTGAATTCAAGGTGTAAAGCCGTCCTTTTTCGAACTCTTAATTTGATTAGCCCATCTGCCTAGCTCAGTTTGGTCGAAGATGATAACTTTTCCAGTCATGTAGGCAAGGAAAGAAGTTTGAGACCCTGTGGTGGCTGCAAATGGGTAATGTCATTAAATAGAGTTTGAACAAAGCATTTGCACTGTGGGCTGCGTATGTGAGCTTTTCAACCCGATTTCCACCTCAGCTTGGATGTTTTCTATGATGGAAAAGAAATCCGAATAGCTTCTTGATGTTTCAGGCCTACAAGGGTTATTTTCCTGTGATCCTGACAGGTTCCAAGCTCGATTAGCTAACCTGTGTGACTATTGACTCCGCCTTTTTGCCTGTCAAATTGTTTAGTGGTTAAAATCTGTTATCTGTCACATTTTCCTCAAGGTCCAGTTGGCTATGGAATTTTCTCACCTGGAAAATGGACTGCATGCTAACTGGAGATGGCAAATTCAATCTGCCCTTTTCAATTGGAAAGAATGAAACTAATGAACACCCAATCTTGCAATATGGATGATGCAGGGGTTCTGGCATTTCCACAACGGTTGAAAACTTGAAAATTACCCTGATCTGTCATCAAATTTTGGTATCGCCTTGAATTGATGCCTCATTTTGGTACTTTCTAACAGTGCTTTGTCCATGCTAATTATCTGTCAGAAATGCCCGAAAGCATTAAACTTTATGCAGATGTGAATGCATTCAGGTTGTTCAGTGAACCTTTTATTTTTTTCAAAAAAGTAAGAGTGATCTGATCTCATCCTGGAAAGAATTTGTGCTAGCAATGGAGGAGCAGACAATTTTTTGAGACGATCAAACACACTAAACAAAGCAGCAAACCAGGCTATGATAAATTAAAGAATTACTGAAAAAGCTAGCAGATCAAAGGCACTTTCAGCACTTCAGCCAAACCATATCTTGATAAGGCAAAACTAAAAGGGCATATTACTATACTTTTTCCTATTTCCCATGTTCCTTCCCTCCCTCCCCAAATTGCTGTTCTTAATTTGACCTTCCTTCATCATTTTTCATTTTTCTTCTGTACAAACTGTCAGCTTGATTACGCTCACTTGCGTGTCAAAACCACTTTTCTGCTTTGCACCATTACTCATATGATACAACCTTTTCCCACAGTAAGTAGTTTAAAGAACCAGAAAGCTTAAGAAACAAAGATTCGAGGGACCTTTTCAGAAAGAATGTTTTTTTTTATTTGGCTATCAAAATCATCATAGTGGGAAAAGCATGACAAGAAACTTTATTAAAGAACGATGGATTGCAGAAAGAAGGGTAAAAAAAAAACCTTATCTACACGGCATAGCGCACAGCCATGGAGGTCCCTAGATGTTGATGGAAGTAAGTAAAGGTATTCCTAGTCTCCTTATATTGATAAGCAGCTGGCAATTTTTTTAGTTCCCTTGATAAGTTTTTCCATCAAGTTATCATCATATATTAATCTGCTGCAGAGAGAACAAATTGACAGATGCACAACCATCTTCTTAATTTGATCCTAAAACCCATATTCCATGTAGAATTCGGACGATGGAGCTGTTCACCTAGTTCTTCTCTTTCTGGCATCAGAAAAATGGGGAAAAAAGGTGACTAATCAAATTTGAACAAGGAGATTAGATTACACCTCCCACTCGACAACTGCTTAATTTTGATTGCTTGGTCGCTTAATTTCACATCATAACTTCTGGCGTTTAGTGCACATCAGCTACTTTCACTTCACCAGCTGATAGACTTTTACAACAAGTTGTCAACAATATTTGGAGTATGTTAGCAGTTTTAAATTCTGGGTTTCAGCTGTCAGAAATCCCTGTTAAAGAGTTCATTCGGAACAGGGGTCCACTAGCTACTAAAACAAAGAAAATAAAGATGAAAATGGCAGAAAAGGGTTTGGAAACATCTACTCTCCCGCCCCATGCAAAGAATTCTGCACAATCAGAATATCATTTGGCTCGGGATGTTGACGAAATGGGGGGCCCTTATCTGTAACAGTGGCTCTGTCACTCGAAAAGATGGACAAAGCAATCTACACTGAAAAAGTTAAGGATCCCTTTAAAGCAGTTTAAAAAAGGAAACAACCAACGAACTTGCGATGAGAGTTGCAGCAAAGAAATGGGTAAAAACTCCCATGTGCAGCAGCACGACGACCTTTGCACATGAGATTTGGACAGTTGTAGGTCGGTAGTGGCCGTCAGGAGACTTGTCCATGTGGGATTATTGGACTCTGACACTGCAAGGTTTATTGACCATACTTTTCCTTAATTAATGTTTCACTTCCACTCATGTGATCTCCTAGACAAGTACGTTTCAAAGATTTGCATTCCAAAATCAAGGACAAAAAATGGAAACTTGCGATGTGATATGCTTCGCAAAGAAGTTATCCATAAAAGTTTGAAGTACCCAATGTCTAAATGAATGGTAATTATTGAATTTAGTCAGATGTTAGTAAGGAATAAACAACTTTGTTTCAATGGTCGACCCTGGTTGCATAGCATCCACTCAATTACCATGTGATTTGCCTCCCTTCTCTGAATCAATGTCGACCATGGCCAACATCTGGGAAATGCCAGTTTCTTCTTCTGAACGGGGTTTAGCTCCCTGATGACGCCGTCGTCGGAATGCAAAAAGACACGGGTTGGTCTTGTTGGTGAGGTTTCCGATTGTTGGTGAGATGGTGAGAAAAGAAGAGAGAGATGACGACGAGGGAAGAGAATCTGCTTTGATACAAGGAGACCGCACTTCGCCAGTTAGTGGACACGACAGTGCTACGTATTTGACACGTGGTGCCGAATTACACGTCCTGATCGTGGGTCCTTCCATGTCTGCAGGTGAACAGAAAAAAATTAACAAAAAAAAAGAAAAAGCTTCCCCTGTTCTGCAAATATAGGCTCAAATTTTGTTGTCAAGTATAGGTCAAAAAAATGGTCAGTCAATTGGACTCCCAATGGATTGGTAGAAAAGGCAAAATATAACTGAAATACCGCCGCAGAAGCAGGGTAAAACAGGGGTTTTAGCTATCATTGGAACAGGAAGGTGGGAGTCCATATTTTTTTGATTTATCTGGTTCATAATTACTACATCAAATTAAATAGAAAAATTGCTTTACAAGGTCCTTTTCATTGGTTCATGTCCTAATGAAGAATCACATATCCCTTCTAAGGAAAATTGTTTCACATTCAAATCTTCATGTCCTTAACTATAATAGAAAAGATTCTTCTTCGTTCTTTCTTTCTTTAATTCTAACAGCAAATCCATGGGAAATCCATAGGATCATTTTCAAGATGCTTTTGACATGAATAATAACATCTTAAAAGTAAGAGTTTTGATATGCATAGAAGAATGAGCGGTTGGTGAGAATGTGGACCTTATAAGCCTCACAATATGTATAGTTAAAATAGAAAATTTTTTTCTTCCAAAATTAGAAAAAAAGGTAGTATTTTCTTATAATAGATTTACATTTTTATTTAAATTATAAAAAAATAAAGAAGCAAAAAGAGGGAAGCCTAATTGCTAGGTGAGAGGGGCCAAAAAAGCAAACAAGTGACAGTGAGGTGGTCATTTGAGTATGCCTGGTACTGTCTTTGATTGTTTATTCAAGGGTGTTTGCCTTTATAAATAGGGGATGAAGGGCAGATTATTAGATTCCCCCCCACCACCACCACCACCACTCACCCTCAGCCTTTATTTCCATCCATTCTTTTCTCACAAAATGGAAAAGGAGTGAAGGCTCATAACAGATAGAGAAAAACCTTTGGAGTTTTATGGGTGGTAGTCCCCAACATCTTCTTCATTCTTCCCCTGTCTTGGCTACTCTTCTTCCTTTTATTCTTCTTATTCTTTTGGATACCCACAATTTGCACCATCTTCAACGTTAGCTTTACTTAATTTAAGTTACTTTTTGTCCATTGTTTCAATCACAACATTCCATTTTAGATAAATAAATAAAAAACAAAAACTTGAGAACTGAAACAGTCATTTAACAACAGAAACAGAGAGATATATGCCCCATGGCTCGGTTCTCCTGTCATTACCATTCTTTTATAACGTTCTTGAGCTTCATTCTCGTCTTGTTTCTTGAAGGTAGTGAGGATTTATGCTTTTTAAGAGACTTGGTTGTTCGCATTTTCGTTAAGTTCTAATCTTTTTGAGGAGTAAACCAATCTGACCCTCTGTTTTCCGCTCTGTTTCTTTTTTGCAGGTGTTACGGCTGCCACTTTCACATTCATCAACAAATGCGATTACACAGTATGGCCTGGGATTCTAGCCAATCCAGGAAGTCCAAAACTGGAAAGTACAGGCTTTGAGCTCACCAAAGGCAGCTCTCGTTCCTTCCAAGCTCCTACTGGCTGGTCAGGTCGTTTCTGGGGCAGAACAGGCTGCAATTTCGATGACTCTGGCCACGGTTCATGCGCCACAGGTGACTGCGGCTCCGGCGAAGCCGAATGCAATGGAGCTGGCGCCATCCCTCCGGCCACCTTAGCCGAGTTTACACTCGGTTCAGGATCGCAGGACTTCTATGACGTGAGCCTGGTTGATGGTTATAATTTGCCTATGATTGTGGAAGGAAGTGGAGGCTCAGGAGACTGTGCCACTACTGGTTGTGTGTCGGATTTGAATAAAAAGTGCCCCTCCGAGCTGAGAATTGATGGCGGTGGCGCCTGTAAGAGCGCCTGCGACGCCTTCGGGAACCCGGAGTACTGTTGTAGCGGCGCCTTCAATAGTCCGGCTGCTTGTAAGCCATCCATGTATTCAGAAGTGTTCAAATCAGCTTGCCCCAAATCCTATAGCTATGCTTTCGATGATGCCACCAGCACTTTCACTTGCACTGGTGCTGATTACTCCATCACTTTCTGTCCCAATGTTCCAAGGTAAATTTCAACAGGAACCTTCTTATTGGCAACATATTACATCATTTGATTCAATCCGTTCTTATTTGTTACTTGAAAGATTGATAGTTACATATAGATTTAACATAGGGTTAATCCCGATGCAGCTTGAAATCTTCAAAGGATCCTTCTCCAAAGACGACAGGAACAACAGATGAATCAGGGTCGGTCCCAGACCCGATGCAAGCGGCTGAGCTGGCCAGTCAATGGCTTGCAAATTTGGCTACCGGAGACTCAACCAGAACCCAACCATTTTCCCCAACCCAATACTGTTTTGCTGTCACCATTTTTGTTGTCCTCTCATTCCTGTACTTGTAGCCCCCCCAATGTCCCAATCCAAAGTTCCAGAGACAAAAAGGAAAGTAGGACAAATTCCAGATTGTAAAGTTTAGAGCACCCACTTCCAAATTATGACTATTTAATGTTAAAATACAGCTATTAATATGTAAAAAAAAAGGAATAATTTTCTTTTAGCAATAGTTTTTTTTTTGCCTTTTCTTCTGCCTTTTGGGATTGAATTTCTTACGGTTCACAGCTTCTGCTCTAAAGTGGAAATATTCCAGTGTAAAAGGAAAATAACTTAAAAAGGAGAAAAAAAAAGTGTTGCTTTTAATGTGAATCCGAATTTCGTTTTGATTTATGTGGAAGTTCGTTCGATAAGAACCGTCATTAATTTTTTTAAAAATTTTAATTATTAATCTACCACGACAAAATAAAATTTTTCATTTTTCTTTTGCTTTTAAACCCAATTTACAAATTTTTTTTAATGTAAACTTTCCTTACAACTTGGCAGAATCAAAAAGGTTTTATGAGAGTTTGTGATTAACTCTAAAGGTAAAGGAAAAAAGAAAAAAAGAGATTTTTTTTTATGGGAATTAAAGATATTTTCTTGGTGATATAAGATTCCACTTATATCAAATTTCTTAATCAAATCATAACCATGTTGAACAAATTACTTCAGCTTGGGAAACATTTTGCCTAGTGGCATCTTAGAAAGTCAAAAAATAAGCCTAAGATAAACTAAAGTTCATTAGGTTTTGATTAAAAAATGCCAAATTATCATTCCAACTATATATCAAAGTCATCATCCAATTCCTTTCTAACAGTAGATATCTATAGGAATACATCACCATCAATTTTTTTTTAAATGATTAAACTGAATCAAATACCACGTTTATCGAATAATTATGAATTTTTTTTTATATAAGAACATTTTGGTCTTGGGACAAAAAAAAAAAAGAAAGTAAAAAAAGCATGCAATATTCATATTTGCTATTACTTTTAGGGTAGAAAAATTCGAAAATCAATTACCTCGGTAAATATATTATGCATCAACTGTTGAATTGATTATTCGAGTACATTCAACGGTTTGCTATAAACTTTGTTTGGTTCATTGATAATTTAAAAACGACAAAAAATAAAGAAGGAATATGTGGTGAAACGTCACCACAGCTTTGATTAGATTAGCCAAAGTGAGAGGATAAGAAAAAATATATGTATTTTCTTTCTTATTTTTGATATACAAAACCCTAAAAATGTGTGAATGGTAGGGCAGCTTTGCCTGTGGCAATGCAAGGAAAAGTTTGGCTAGAAATAACAAGGGAAGATAAAGGTGCAGAAGCCAACAACACAAGTAACGATCCAAATTGCCGCCCATGGAACAATCAGATTCCTGTGGAAAATGATTTTCCAACCCCAACTTGTTTTGGGAAAGAACACCACCCGTGGCAATTTCACAAAGAACGGAAACAAAACTACTTTCTTTCTTTCATTCATATTTTTTTTCCTACGGAGATGAGGAGATTGGAAGTCCATTTCCCTATTGTTGCTTTGTCTTTCAACCTTTTGCTTCTTTATTTTCCCCCAAGCAATACCATATTTTTGAAAGCTTTGTATGGATTGTCACGACTCATTATCTTTTAAAGATTAAAACTAATAGAATATGTTGTACTTACATTTATAAGTTTTTTCATAATCTTCTAGGTTGTTTGATGTAAGATTAAAATATTTTATTTTTTTTGAAGTACTTAATATGACATTCTCTTTTACCCAATACGACAATGTTTTCATTGCTGTAAATCATCCTATCTACCTTTCATTTGAAAGTACTTAACATGAACTTGATTTAAGTTGAATCCACTCTTGTATTACTTTGTCACCGACCCTTTAAAAGGTTTGAATGGAAATTATGTACAAGTAGGAATAAAGATGTAAGTCAGGGACAGTGTCAGCGCTAACCAGGATTGGTTTATTTTTAAAAGAAAGACTGAAAGAGGGAAATGACATGAAAGCAACAAGCTCCAGGGAAAATGAATTTGGAGGATGATTTTGTAGTTTGATTCATGCTAAACCCAAGTCATTTTCAGCCTTGATTTTCCATCCTGAATCATCTGATTCGTGGCTACTCACTTTCATTACCTGTTCAGTGAATTCAAACAAAAGTTACTTGTAAGAAAAGCAGCCCAACAATTTGTTGAAGAAGATTGAAGAAAAAGCAGTACTTTCGTAACAACTAAGATTCAAGTTACATTCAGGGTGGTTTGGTTTTTTTTTTTTTTTTAATTATTGAAGAGAATTTTTCCAATACCTGCAGGGGTTCTATTCCTGGAGCTTCAAGTAGTTTAATTTATCTCCTTAGTTGGAGAGATGAAGTTATTGACACGCAAAATAAAAGCTTTCAAAGTGTAACTTGGTTGCTCAAAGGGAGATAAACGAATATTCCATGGAAAGTTTCAGTGCGTTCATCCATGTTTGCATTTAAAAAGGAAGCCACTATGAATAGAATAAATCAAAAAGAGAATATCAGTACACTTTCCGTTCCCAAGAGAATCATTTGGCAAATAGCAATTGAAATTCACTTTGGCAAGTGTATGTACATGTGAATCTCCGTGTCGTGCAAAGATAACCAGTATTCTACTCATGCCTGCCCACACCATGGGTCAACCGGCGTTCCCCAGGTACCGGTGCCTGGGATGAATACATTTTTTTTGAAAGTTAATGGATTTCATTGAGATGATGGGATGAATATGAGCTCCAACAGTTCATCGGGTAATTCTAATTAATAAAGGGTAGCAATGATCTTTTTCATAGCCAGGCCAGGAATCGTCACCATTCATGAAGCATTGATGACGCCTCAAGATTTCAGTGTCATAGCTCTCTGTTATGCTGAAAAGCAAGCCATTATCTTGAATTTCCCCCAGAAACTTATCCAATGAATTACCTCTTTTAGGGCTGACAAATATAGCTTCAGATGGTCCCACATTTTTCAGCAAGAGCTGAGTTATTCGAGCAAGATCTTTGTGGAATTCCTTGAAAAAGGTGCTGTTGAAAATCGGATGTCAGGCTAAGAATAAGAAAGACGATAAGCGCACCATAAAAGTGAGAAAATTACGTCACTGTATGCAAATGTGTCTCTGCATGTACCATGTATAGGTACTTTTGTCGACTAGTGAAGAAAACTTAGACATGCAGACATCCCTAGGCCACCAAAAATGCAGCCAACAAATAAGTTTTACTCCAATAGCCTTGCTAGATCACTTATAAAATGCTTGAGTGGGAAAGAAATACTATAGATAATGCAATTCTATGGATGTGGACGGGCAAGTACATGCAAAGATTGGACTGATTGTGACCAGCACTACAGTGCTATCCATAGCAAAAGGGGAGATATAATTTGCCAGTCAGAAAGCACTTAAAACACAGTCAAGGGTAGGGTGTGTAGTCTATCCAAATTTTATGATCCTTGTGGCTTTCATGCATGATAAAAAACAATGAGCATGATACACGAGCTATTGATAATACATGGGCAGATAATAGAAATTACCAATCACTTGCAACAATGACATCAAACGTGTGAGAGAGATTTGAAATTTCTTTCTGATGCCAGTGCAAGTTCATGGACTTCACTCTCGTGTCACCAAATGCTCCGGAATTCATGTTAATATTATGTTGAATATCTTCATGTTAAGGAACCTCAAAACATAAATTCAAAGTGAATAAAAGGGAAAGAAAAGGAAGTATGGGGAGTATCATTTCCTCCACAAATAATATAACACAATAACCCGGAATATCCCCTGTATCAAAGAAAATTACTAAATTCACAATTACAAAAAGATCAAAGATTTTAAGTCAAGAACGACCAGTTGATGCTTCTATAAACATGATCAAGTAACAACCATATTAACTCATTTTAATGCTAATTGTTTGAGCACAATAGAGAAAACAATAGTTACAACTCCAAAAATAAAACAAAAAAGAAACACATATAAGTTGGAGGGTAATGGTCCCATAGCTGACCAGTTTTCCATCAGGCTAGCAGATTTAAAAGCCCAAGAACCAATTAGTGTCACCATTAAAAACTTAGCTCGTCAAATAATTAAGCTGTAAAAAGTCAAGTTTACCATCATTACAATTTTCATGCATGACTTCCAATCCGTCTCAGACCATGCAACTAAGTTCAGTAGTTGTAAGTACAGGAAGAAAATGCAAAGATCACAAGAATGCAACTCTGTACTAACCCAATTCTCATAAGTTATTAAGCAATCAATACCAGAAACTTCTAGGTTTCACACAACAAGGTTGCTAAAAAATGGCTTGAAGTAAGACTGAAATCAAAACAAAAAAATAGTTAAACAAAAATCTCCTCGTTAAATGACTTCCTTTCATTTTGAGCATTAAACTAAGATTATTCTTTTTCCTACTATAATAACAGTTTACATGATGGAGTCAAAAGGATACAATCAACCACTTGAGGATTTCCATCTGAAATCACAACTTCTAATGCCTCTGTGGCTGCAGCAATGGCTAATCCAGCTAAGCCATAACCTGATCCAAGCTCAATAACTCTTTTAGACCTGGTATATCAGAAGAAGAATACAGAGACATTATGCAAGACTTGTAGAATAGAACAAGACAAGTTAATAACAAGCATTTTTATAAGAGGAGAGTAACCCTACTTACAAACCTGAACATGTATGCATGTGATAAGCAAAAATAGGCAAGGACATCTTCAGATGGCCACTGACCTGTTTAAGATGAGAAAGGAAACAAAATAAGTAAGAAAGACAAAAACTAACTGAAAATGGGCATACTTTAAATTTCCACGACAATCTTCAAGCTGGTCTAACAAAGATAAACTGAGAGGAAAAGTGTGTCCCATTTCCATCCCATCATTTCATTCATTTCCCAAAGATTTGCAACTAATGAGATACATAATACACATTGAGAGTGACCACAAGCAATTAGAATTCATGGCAATAATGACAGAAATATAGAGAAATTTGTTATATTTGTTTTCTCAAAACAAGTTTACCATCAGCAGCAGGGCACTGAACTTCAATATGACACAACATCATAACCTGCATCAGCACTTAAAAAGATTTAAGCCTTTCAATCAGTTAGCACAACCAAACCACCTTGCAATGAAACAGACAAATTTTACTCAACAAGGATGAACCTTGACAACTCATGCTCAGAGGCAAAAGTTTGAATTTTAAAACTACTAAAGATAAACAATGAGTGGAACAAAGTAAAAAAATGATGAAAAGGGGGACTTACAGACAAGCCCGGTATTGTCAATGTTGTATCTGTTACACATCTCAAAATCACTGAGGTCGGCAGTATCATCCACTCTCTGGCTGCAAAAATTTTCAAAGACAATGAACATGTTCAATATTATCATACTTCCATTGATTCTTGAACTTCACTAATAAGCAGATTAGAGAAGAAATATGCACCAGATTTTAACTCTAGAGTAAAAAAGATTGATTTTTGAGACCCAAAATCATTCCAAAATCATTTGCACCAAGTGTTCGAAGAAATGGCGACAAGAAACAATAAAACCCGTTAAAAAACACGGGAAAAGAAAAGAACTCTGATCCATAAAAACTCACGTTAAAACAAGCTTGGGAGATCCCTGAACCGGCAAGGTGTAGCAGAGTCGGGCATCTCGAGCGTCGTGATCATGGTGGAGCAGCTGGCACGGTATCAAGTTGAACCCTTTTGCGGCTTTTCTGGAAATGCGTTTCATTCCCAATTGAGACTCATCTTATACAAAACGATTAAGACTTTAAGATCGATAATCAGAAACAAACACTGTCATTATAAAGAAATAAACGTCAATGGATCAAAGGGTACCGGTATTTTTGGCCCGATGAAGAACAGCTCGGCGAAGGATTTCCCATCTCAGCGAAGAAGCTGAAGCCTTCGAATTTGAACTGCTATTGTTAGTTTCCATTGAACTTCTTCCTTTTTTTTTTTTTTTTGTTTGTGCTGTTTAGTTTGCTCTCTCCTTGGTAAGGCCTGAGAGTGAGAGACCCTCTGTCGCTTTAAGTGCCAAATTGTTAATTTTGAGATTATACCAAGCTATAATCCTAATTTTAATATAATTAACGATGATTAATATTAATTTTTTATTAAGTGATCATGCTATTGTTAGTTGTAGCATAGGAGCTTGACTTCTATTAGAAAGTAGAAAATGATATTCAATGTAAGGCTTTTATAAGACTGAATCCATGACATTATAATGTAAAAACAATAATCAATCCAGTTTTATTGGGTAATTGAAGCCTAAGAGAATGATACAGCAACTGTTCTTATTTACAATGTCCAGGGAAGTGAATCAGTGATGGATACCTGGTGACAAACTAAAAAAATTTCTATACAGAAAAGCATCTGCTCAGCATGTTGCTGATGAAGAATGATCTGTAGTTTTTGTAGCAGTAATGGATTTTTTGCTCTCGTGAATCTTGGCATAGACAGTTCTTGTTCTGACAGCCAACAACATGTCCAGGCCCAATCCAAGGATACATGTTATGGCCATGATGACAAAGACAAGGCGGTAACAATGAGCCCCAATGCAGGTGTTGCCTCCTCCCGCATTGGCGGTGGCTTCGGCATCGTACAAATAACCAGCAAGCAGGCCCGAGAACAGGAAGGATCCCAGAGGAAGGTTGAGAATGAGGATGTTGTATACAAGACCATAATATTTGAGCCCAAAAAGTTCTGATGCAACTGGGACTGTTACTGTCAGGCGAACTCCATAGCATATTCCGACCAAGATTGAACCAACATAGAGTGATCCTGGCAAGGCAAAGGCCATGATGACAAATCCAATGGCCATTAAAACTTGAGAAGCTGCATTCCAGAGAGGCCTTGGAGTCCCAAATTTCCTGCAAAAATCAAATAATTGTTTGAGAAATTAGATGGCATGGCAAGTGATTAGATGATTTTTTCAAAAAATTAGCAGGGAGGGAGAAGCAAAACTTAGTTACCAGATGTAGTATTCTGATAATAAACCTGAACCAATGCGTCCAAAGAAACCCCAAATGCTGGTGAGAGAAACGAAAATGGACACATCAGCGTAGCCAAGAGCTAGCCCCATCTGTCCCATGTTGTTCATCACACACATTCCAGTACCTACACCGCAAAGAAATGACACAAACAATATCCAGAAGTCAAATGTTTGTACCATCTCAATGATCGTGTGATCCTCCCCAATCAGTGGTCGTTTCCTGTCAGGATCCTCCAGCATAACACCAGCAGTTGTTGTCTCCAGCTTCTTTGATTGGTTCAGAAGCAATGGCTCCTTCATTGGTTGCTCAATATCAGAGTTTGACCTTGGTTTGGATAGAATAGAGTACAATGGGACTCCCAATGGAGTCGCTAGAAGGGTAACAAGTCCTACTGCAAATATCACTGACAAAAACTGACCATGACTTCCACTGATATCAAAGGCCAAGAGATAGACAGCTAATACGATAGCAATGCCATTGAAGATGTGGAAATATTGTGTTTCTTGTTGCAATTCACTTGGCCTTGAAGCCGGTGGGGTTTCATGGAGGAAGAAGACAGCAGCGAGGCAAACAACGGCAGGAGCAACCGCAAGAATGAAGAGAAATGTAGAAGGGTCAGAAGAGAAGAGAGCTGTGCAGATATCTGTGAAGATTGCAGTGCTAAGTCCAACATAACCCTTAAGGATACCTGAGACCGGGCCACGATTTTTAGGAAAATTTCGCATGCAAGTCACTAGAACTGCTGTGTTCATCCATGTTGTGCTGTTGCCTCCCAGACACAGGAAAATACACATCTGCAATAGGATATAATCCAGAGTCAGGTAATATCATACATACTGATAAAAGGACAGTGAAGCTTTGCAGGCACATGTTAATTTCCATTTTCAAGAATCAATGGAAATTCTATGTGGCTGATCATTAGCACAATTCTTCTGATGATAACATTCTATGTGGAAGCTTACCTGCCAGTATGGAAGAGGACGAATCCGCTGGCTGACAACAAGCCATTGAACTCCATATCCTATAAACCCTTCCAGTGATCCAATGATGAGTAGAACTGATGTTGGCAAACAATCGGAAGCAAAGCCAGAAAGAAGTCCAAAAGCCTTGCCAACATCTTTAGCGACTGAAAGATTGTTGAGCTCCAGCTGTGTAAGAGCCATTAGTGATTTCAATGCATCAGAGTAATTAGCAAATGTGTAATTGTTGCCACAAATTGCCTGAACCCATATAGCTGTGACCAATCCTAGCCATTTTCCAGCATAAGTAGCAGAAAACAAAGGACCCATATTATCAAAGAACGAAAGAGAGTTGAAATTCTTTTGCTGCGTATGAGCTATTATGGGAACTATTGGCCATAGCTATTTATAGTTTTTGTTTTACCTTCATAATGGCATTCAAATTATACAAAACCAACTGTTTATCGTCAGACCATGGTTTTACAATCCCACGACTAGAATCAGTAGTTTCTCTGGGTCAAAGAAGTAGCGAAATGAAAGAGCCCAAATATTAGGCAGTCAGCTTTCAGTGGGATGCTATTAAAATATTGCAATGTGTTTAACAGGAGCAAATGATGAGCTGGAAGGTCGAGTTGCTGCAGAAGAAGAATAAACAATTTGGCATGTCAAAATCAGCTGGAGTAAATAAGAATGGAAGTATGCTGGCTAGAGCTAGTAAACTGACTAGAAATACAGACTGAACCCCTAGGATTAAAGGCTCTCCCTTCTTCAGGTTTTAATTACGATGAGTTGTTGCTGTTGACCAGGGCGGCACATTGTGACAAAATAAAAATTATATTATAATTAAGAATTAAAAAAAATTCATGTCACAAATTACAAGCTTATTTGCAAATGTGCTATGAACAAAGAATTACACAAGTGATATAAATTACTCGAAAGGGCTTAAGCTGAACACTTGCTTCGCTCGGAAAACAGGGCAGCCTTTAACGACGATCCCTTAGGCGGTTGGGCAAGAAGCCAAAGGACATCTATCCGAATCACTTCCCCACCAGCTAAGGCTGACATGCTCCATTCCTAAGCACAAGTATAGCAGTACCGCCATGAAGGCCAAACCAGCATCAAGTGCGCCAGAGAGAACATAGTTATGGCGACTCCACCAACCACGATAGTATCTATAAGCAATAAAACCAGAGGCAAATCCAATGAGAACCCAACTGGTGTAGTTGACAGCAGTGGCTGGTGGCATGTTGACCGTCGCACCCAAGAGCACAGGCATGGTAATAAGTTTAATCCATGGCTTGTTTGGGAAAGTCTTAGTGGCAAGCCAAACAAGGACTGGAGCTACAGCTCCAACTAAGAAGAACCAGTTTATGGCAGAGTAGTAGCCAAGATCACCAAAAATTCTACGAGGTCCAATTAGCCCCCAGATAACAGAGGCGTCGTAGAACACATGATCACTAGGACAGGTCCATGGGCTGCCAGTAGGAAGCAATTCTCTGTTGCATATGTCTGGAACTGTAGCCATAAGCCACCATGCTGTTCCTAAATGCGCAAATGCTGAGATCATTGTACCACCCACCTGAGAAGAATATCACACCATGAAAGATGAAGGCTATTGCAGGAAGAAACACCTTAAAACATGAAGAGCTACTTTCTTATTTGGTTCTTACAGTAAGGAAAAAGAATCACGACGAGACGGACCTGAGCTATGAACATGGCCCTAGGAGGAATCTTCATGTAATGACCAAGTTTGAAGTCTTGCAAAAAGGTGATCCCTTGTTTCATGCTCATGTATCCATAAACTTTAAAACACATGCTAGCAACAGGATACCCTGGGTATATGTACCCGATTACATATTCTGTAAATATATTCAAAGCTGGTGTCTGCAAAATAAATTTTATCCATGTCAGAATCCTGAAATAAAACTAACAGAACAGATAGTGAAAACTACTAGCAGATTGTTATTGAAATGGAAGAATTAATCACACATGCAAAGAATCTACCAAATCTAGATAAAATTGGCGATACGCATGATAGGAGTAGAAGAAGAGGTAAAGAAGCATCCAACTTTCACCAATAATAATATTCATTCCAAAGCGTTAAGGACACACAAAATTTTTGGTAAAAAACAGTGAAATTTATTAAATACCCAGTCTATACCTGATTTGTTGTGGCAGCAATAACTCCAACAGGAAGAGTGAAAAATATGGCTAGACCACAAGCTAACAAAATACCCCACCATGGCAGCTGAAGTTGATCGTTGTAATACTGGCACGTTAATATGGTTGCCAAAATGTTTACGACGAGGATGCACGTGAACCACCATTCAGGTACTTGCTTGTATTTTCTCATGAGCTTGGTATGCACATCCATCTTCTTCTCGCGAAAGGCAGACTTGCTTAGCTGCCAAATTTCTCTACAACATTAAGAAAAGTGACTTTAACTTACTAACACAGACTAATGGTTCAAATCAGTTGGCAGATATCAGTTTTATGCCTTCTGTGCCTGATGGTATAATCTTGTCATACAAACATAAAGCGGGTGGGCTATATGGACATTGAGCAACAACTTAGAATACATGCACATGTGGGAAGCAACATCAACATGCATTCTAAAGATGATTAAGCTTTATATGGCAGAGAAAAGCCTCTTGGTCAAGTAATTGGAATCTAAGATTCATCATAATGAGCAAATGAGAGGGAATTGAATTATGCTTAATGGCTCAAGCAAACAGGTTAGCAGGCTTACCTCCCGTTAAAGATGATAACATGAACAACAGTGGCAGTCAAGCAAGCAAAGCCAACCCCATAAGACATGGCAAAGAAGGTGCTAAGATACAGAGGGCCCTCACGCTCATATGCCTCCATGTCAATGTGGAAGTTTGAGTCTATAATAGCTGAAATGTTATAACTCTCGCCAGTAGAAGTAAACAAGCCATCTGAGAATATTGGGAAGTTCTTGGCCTTGAAGACATTAAGCCAATAAGCAAGGGGGGTGATGATATACATGATAAGAGCGAAACCAGCAGCGATGTTGACAGTTGCAAACCAAGGGCTGGCAAGCGGACTTCCAAGGTAAGCGGATATGCTGGACCAATCAAATCCAATGGCACCAATTCCCAGGCCACGGAGTCCTGAACCTAACTGATGAGCTAAGATGGAAGTTGGGAATACCCAGCAAAGCCAGGACAGGGAAGACAAAGCTGGGAAAAGGTAGCCTGGAAGCACATAGTAGGCAAAGCTGCAAATGAAAGCTATTAGGAAAAACTGGTTTCTTGTCAATCTGCCCTTAGCTCTTTCCTCTGTCTCGTGTAATGCCCTGTTGATGTCATGGTGTTTGTTAGTAGAAGTTCAACATTAAAAATTCATTACCAAACAATAACACTCGGTAGATCGAACAAATGTAGTTGTAAACATGGTAAGAGTTAGATTAACATTTTCCCTTCATCATTAATCATTTTTTAATTCTTTATATTTGATTTTCAATATTGAATGATAATCTCTCCGCATGAACCATGATTTGATATTATTGAGCCTATTTATCTTAAATCTTAGTTTTTTTTGGTAAAAAGCTCCTGTAAAAAACGTGCAAAAGTTGGACTCAGAGAATCTAGGAGATACTGTCGTGATTCCATTAGTCAATAATTAAGACAAACGACAAATTTTATGAAACCGACGGGACAGCGTTAGGAACTTCGACAAGCACTAAGCAACTGCAAGAGCAGGTGGGAAGACACTCATTGCGGGAAACTTTGATCGTCTGATCAATTGTTCCAATTTTTTATAAGACGGTCTGAGACACGGAAGCTAACCGAAAAAGGGAAACTTGGACCAGATTTTGGGGCCACCACATGGCGGCCGGCTCCACCAAATAGCGTCGGAACACGCCGGCCCAGCCGAACCCCAGCACCTGCGTGGTAAAAACGACGAGCAACGCCACTAGAAACGACATCTCCTTCTTGTAAAAGATCTTCACGGCGCTGATTAAATGAATCGCGTAGACATTCCCGGCTCCGGAATTGGCGAAGATCGTGATCAGCACGTGCTCCTTCACGTTAAACGGCCCGGGATTGAGAGTGAACTCAAATTTCCCACCTTTGAAGAAAACTCTGTCGGTGACCATCGCCGCCATGAGGTGGCCGAGAGGGACCACCGCAATCTGAGCGGAGATGGAGGAGATGGAGAGAGGTTCTCGACGGTACCAGAAGAACTGGTTAAGAAACGAGAGATGGACGCAAGCTAGAGTGCCTAATATCCACGTACGAAACGTGAGAGTTGGGAGGGAAGGGTCGTCTGTGGTGGGGACCGTGAGAGCCACTTGCTCGATAGGAGAGTTCTCGAGATCGTCCGGCGACGACGGGATTGAACCGGAGGCATCGGGTTGGATTTGGTCGGACCGAGACTTTTGAACTGCGCATGAGTTGTTTGGAGTGGAGAAAAGTCACAAAGAAAGCGCGAGAAAGTGAAGGAAATAGTTTGCTTGAAAATCAAAACATAAAGAAAAGAGAAGTTTGCGTTTCTTACTGAGAGGAGCCGTGACTTCGTTAATGGCGGTTGTCATCGTAACGGTTGTTCCCGTTTCCCGGAATTCAAAATGTGGATCAAAGGGCTTTCTATTTTGGGAGTACAAAGCCCAAAGATAAGAACGGGCTGGACTTTGCCTAATCAGCTCTCATCCTAACCGTTGGTTTTTAAGGTGGCCTGAGCCTGAGGTCATTCATGTATCTGTCCCACTTCTAGAACAAGATACATTTCTTCATTAAAGATTAATTAGTTGGTAAAACTTGACTACAATATCCAGATATGGCCAATTGGGAGAAAAGGAAATGTTGAAAATGTAAATAAAAATGTTATTGTGTTATTTATTTTTATAATTGATTTAGTAACATGACGTCAATTTTAGTAATCTATATGGATATTCAATAACTTAACATTACTGAAATATTAGATATTAAATTACTGAAATATCAAATAGTTTAATAACTTTTGTCATGCAAACTCAGCAACTTAAGAGTTAATGAAATATTAGATACAGAGTTAGTTTATTAGTAATGTAAATGAATATTCAGTAATTTAGGATCACTGAAAAATTAGATGGTGAGATATTGCAAACATATCAAATAGTTTTATAGCTTTTCAGTACCCCTGGCCTGCAATATCAGTAAACTCAAAATACATGATTATTTTTCATAAATTTCGTCTCTATTTAATAAACTTCTATGGATATTCAATAGGATTCGTTACTGAAATATTAAATATGGTGTTACCTTTTAGTAATCTATACTAAGATTCTCAAATATCGGATAGTTTTTCCAGTAACCTTTGATCTGCAGAATCAGTAACTTCGAAATACATGCAACGTGAAGCATCGTTATGAACTCCCCACACTCCCCTCTCTGCGGTTATAATATGCATCAATCCGTCTGGCGGTGAGCAGGATCCAATACCAATAAGCATTGAAACAGGCAGCAGTTGAGATCGAAGAGGCGGAAATGCAGCAACATGGAGGTGATTCTCTGCTATAAGAAAAGTATTCGATTCTGGGAGAGAGAAGAAGGGAGGAATGGAAGCAATGAAGAACATTTCACCCACAAGCAAAGAGACCATGCTCTAGTAAATCAGTAACTAATGCATGGTAGCTACAGTTATATGGCTAACATGCAGCATGAGTAGTACGAATACATATAGCAAATTTATCTTTCGATTGATTTGAAAAGAAACCAACCTTAAACCTTTTTTTTGGGCCAAGTTGAAAAGATTTTTTTAAGATTCCAAAAGAAATACAAAAGTTATTGTAGAGAATTGAAGGAACCCGACCTTAAGTGGCCAGTTTTGTGAACTTAGCCACAAAAAGTCCACTAGTTTGTGATGTCAATGGATCAAAGCGTAGGGTCTTTGGTATCCTCCCACACTTACAGGGCCACCCTTCAGCTTCATCAATTTCCTGTAGTTCTGCAGGATCCAAAGGCAATGTCTCTACCCCATAAGATTGAAAGAGAAAGATAACAAGGCTCTATGTTGCAAGACACCTTTTTCTCATATGAGATTTTAAAGTATCAACACCCTTACCAGCAGAAGCATTTTCCTTGAGGAAGTGCTCTACTATGTCTTCATTCTGAGCAACTGTCAAACTAATTGATGTGGAAAAGATAAGAAAAGCAAACATAACATCATTTTGGTTCTTTTATGCGAGTATGTGCACTATAAAACCTACAAGCAATGAGAAATGCCAATGAAATGCACCTGCAAGTGCTGTAGACAAGCAAACCCCCAACTTTCAGCAATCTAAAGCCATTCCGTAGAAGTTTTAACTGCAAGACAACAAATATGCTCAATGTTAGAAGAAGAAAAGAGTGAAAATAAAAGTGAGAGTATTTAGTAGCCTCCCAATGGTAAACAACTAGAATAGTGAACAGGATGCAATGAATAATGGGAAGAACAGAATGAGCAGTTCTCTCAATCAAATATAATTTCAGAAGCCTAAAATTAAAAATATACCATATTGTGATGAAGAAAAGATATTACCTGAAGTACAGTTAAACTATCTGTTCTCTCTGCATCCAATACACGGCGTTGAAGTGTTCTCCAGCCCCAATGTTCAAATTTTTGGATGTGTCTAACTGATCCATCGTGAGTGCACTCTGCATCCACAAGCACCTGAATTAAGTTGCAAATATTTATTAGCTTGCATTTGCGAGATAGAATGAAAAAATAACATTTTAAATTGCCAGCTGATTTTCAACAAAATGCAACTTCACCTTGTCATAACCACAGCTTGAAACTTCAAGATCAGACATGGTTTTATATAGTTCATTTTTACTGAGCCCAACTACTCCAGAATGCCGTCCATAAAAGATAAGTTCAGGATTTTCACTCACTGAAACCATTTGTGAAGACTTGGCTTCCCTTGCTTTAGCAGCTCTTTTCCTTTCTTTCCAAGGTCTCCTGGGAGTCCACTCCCTAAATTTGTCATCCTCAAATGCAGATTCACCTATTTAATACTAGATAGAGGAATATGTCATAGCACATAGACATGTATGTAAAGAGTTCTTGAAAAAAAAAGAAGAAGATTTATTACATGATCTAGAAACTGAATCAACCCTCACAGGAGCAAGAGAAAATGTTGTTCCATCAGCAACAAATAGTCGGCACCGATCACCCAAGGAATATTTCTGCAATATTGTTCTACAAGCTGCTAAACGATGTCTTGCAACATCAACACCAGTTACAGAACCCAAATCACCAAGAAGATCCAACATCATACAAATTTTAGCACCTGAAAGGCAAATGTGATAAATAAATTAGGCAAAGAATTCTAGATGAATACAACGTCCTATGCCGAGCTGAATCTACAAAATCACTTGAGAATTCAATCCTAGATACTTCTAAACCAATCTTTCCTGAAATAAACATTCTAGCTTCTTAATATTTGTCAGTCATAAGAAGAGGAAGTATACGCACAAATATGGTTCTCAGTAAAAATCAAACTAACAATCGAAGTATTATAAACAGAATCACAGACATAAACCCATCAAAGATTTGTGCAACACTTGATATTAGAATGAGCCATTCAAGATGGAAAACAGGCATTGCATTTTGCAGTTGGTTTGGACTATATCAAGTCTCCCATTCCTCTGACACGGTGAAGGGTTTGAGCAAATATACCAGACCAGTTGACTATAAATAATCACAGGAAGAAAAGATCAATTACCGGGAGCAGCACATAGATCAAGAACATGATCCCCAGGGGAGATTTTCAAAGCTGAGACAGCAGCTCCGGAAGCAGCGTCAATTCCATAGATCTGAAAGACCAAAACAATTAGTTGAAAATATTGAAAGATATACAAAAGAGTAAATGACTGACAATCATGAAAAACTGCCTAAAAGGACCAAGAGACAAACATTAAAGAGTGAAATTTCAAAACTACAAGCTGCAACCATCTCTTAAAACAGTTCTATAGGATAAGAGGGAATAAAGTGACCAGAATCACTTTATATATGCAATATCAGGCAAACTTCAAGACCTTATCACCATTGATTTAGTAAAAGCATAAATATCAAGGTTCCATCAATCAAGGAAACTAAGCTAGAATATCACCGCCAAGTATTGATATGGCTTCCATATTCCTCACCTTTCCATCCTGGTATGCCTTTGAATTAGCAATCTGAATATCAGGTGGAAGAGAATAAAAACCAGGTAACCAATCCACTTTCCTAAGCTTACACTTCATCTCAGCTTCAATTTCTTCAAGTTCAGCTTCACACCCAGGTTTCAACCTATACCCCAAACACAAAAAAAAAAAAAAAAACAAAATTACACAAGCAAACAAATGACTTGCAAATCAACCCAAGCAAGGCAGCAACAAATAAAAACCAACAATGAAACCAAATACAACCAAAGGCGTGTGCTTCAGCTTTACCGACGACAACAAACTTAAATCAAAGTTACCTTATGTAACGAGGGGTTGAATCAGAAGCTGTATAAATTGAAGGGTCGATTCCATTTTCTTCGAGAAAGTTACGGAACGCTTCTGGCAGTGGCAAGTTCGAAATTTCATCCATCACCGAACCGAAAAGGTTTTGCCTAAGAAGCGCCAGCGGTGGCAGGGTTCGGGAACTTGAAAGAAACGTAGATAACCCCTTCCACCGAATAACTAAAACGCACCGTGTTGAGTATTCGAAAACGACGACGTTCCTACGTAGAGCTAGCGCCTTCTACGGGACGCTTATTTTACTCGACTGTTCATCAGAAATCTGAAGCACAGCTGAAACAGGTTCAGAAAAAGAAAAAAAGAGCAAAGGAAGATAGCAATGAGAGAAGCTTGGCTTGGATTATCCTTAGTAATTATTGCTTATTTGATCGAATTAGCTTCTTCTACCGTTGTCTTGAAGCCCTTCTCCCTGTCCTTCGCCGACCTTCCCGCCAAATTCGGTAACTTCTCTTCTGCCTTTCTCCTGTTTGTTTACTAGGAAAACGCAGGAAAGCTTGAAAAAATAAAAAACAACCTTTTTCAAGCTTAAATTGTTTTAATTCTCTACTTTGAGCTAAAACTTCTAGCAAGAAGAAAAAAAAGTTAACTGCTTTTTCTTTTTCTGTATGTTCTTTAGCTCGTGGCATGAATAACTCGGCAGTTTGCGGAGCACTAGAAGTGGCGGATCCCTTGGATGCTTGTACTCGGCTCCGGAACGAATTCGGTTCCAACAGAACTGACTGGGTAAAGTTTGCTTTGATAATTCGGGGCGATTGTTCTTTCGAGGAGAAAATCCGAAACGCTCAAAGTGCGGGTTTTTCTGCGGCAATTGTTTACGATGATAGAAATGGAGGCAATTTAGTTTACAGTAAGTTAATTTGCTCTCTAATTTTAATTCAAAATTAGAAGATTATTTAATTTAATGGAAAATTAGCTTAAATGAGGTTTTTGTGTGTTTTTGAAGTGATGATGGACCCTAAAGGAATAGAAGTGCAAGCTGTTTTCGTTTCAAAATCTGCCGGTGAATTTTTGAAAGATCATGCTAAAGGGGAAATGGGAGAATGCTGCATCTATAGGCAGCTGAATGGAAGGGCGTGGACAGTATTTGCTATCTGTTTTCTATCACTTGTTGTTATAGCAGCTTTCTTGGTGATAGCCTTCATTGGCCCCAGAAGCTTGTCAAATTGGCGAGGAAGAAACTCAGTAAAAAGTGTGGATACCAAGATGGTCGAAGCTCTTCCTCGTGTCACGTTTAGTTCTGCTCGTTTGAGTCAGTGCTGCACTGGAGAAACTTGTGCAATTTGCCTTGAGGATTACAAGGATGGGGAAATTCTTAAAGTTCTTCCTTGTCAACATGGTGGGATTTTGCTTCTGTGGCTTATTTCTAGTCTTTATGTCACATTTTGCAGTGTATGTTTTACTTGTGGTGGATAATTTAACATTGTTTTAGCTCCAAGGAGGGATCTCTTTGCTGTGACAGGCTAGCTTGATTTTCATGAGGTTGAGGAGTTCGACTGTTTAAAATGTAGAAGCTGGAAGATACATGATATTTAGTCTGTGCTAAATTCTTTGTTGTGAAGTGTGCAGATTTTCGTGAATTTCAAAAATATGAGAAAGATTGAACTAGAGGAACTTTTTTAATTTATAATTCAATAGACCGCAGTTTCTGCTTTCATGCACATATTCAATCATTTAGTTAGAAATTGCTTTGACAGCACAATTTAAATGAATACTGTCCTTCTGTATTTTTAGAATTGTTGTTTGCAGACAGATGAATGCCACATACAAAACTTGTTTCCCCAATCATTTTTTATTTAAGTTGTTGTTTCCTTACTCTGGCATTCTGTGACTAGATATCAGTTAATCAACATGAAATTGCTTGCAGATTTTCATTCAAGCTGTGTGGAGTCATGGCTGACTAAGTGGGGAACATTCTGCCCTGTTTGCAAACTCGATATGACAACCAAAATTGCATATTCTGAGGTTAGTGAGCAAAGGCCATAGTTGTATCTTTGTGTTTAGTGGTGCAACTTAATTCCTCTCATTGAATATTCACATTCTACAGTTACATCCCCTGTCATAGGCATGCTTCTTGTATTGTGAGCTAAATTGTTTATAAGCTATTGTAGAAATGGAATCATATGTAATTATGGATTTACTGGAAGAACTTAAGGGGAGTTCTATAACGGCTTTTTGCACATGAAATGAAACAAACATTTTGCATGTGTCACTGTTTAGTTATGATTTTAAAACTGGCGATTGGTAACTTTTTATACTGGATGTTGCATATTCTATCTGATTTTATGGTCAAACTAAGCCCCCATGAGCATTTGATTAACTAAGTACATACATAGAAGTTGTTTATGAAAGTCAGGGAAATAGTTCTACGTATTTTTTTTTTTTTTAAATTCATGATATATTGAAACAGAGGGAAGTAAAAATTTTGATAGCTTATTGGTTATGGTATTTGCATAAATTTTGATAGCTTGTTGAGCATCAGCCATCTATTCAATTCCAATGTGATAAAAGTACATGTCAGACACATCTTTTCTTTTAAAAGCATGAATAGGATTTTCTGCACAAGGCTTATGCTTTTTACAAAAAGTGTGCATAAACTAACGCCTAAGCCAGCCTATAGTTAGCTTTTGCACTTGTGCTTTGGTTTTGGTCGAGGCGATTTTCCTTAGCAGTTTGAGATTGTAGGAAGTCATGCTTCTTCTTAATCTTGGTTATGGAAGTCTTTTTTAAGTCTAGCAGTTGAGGGACATAAATAGCAGTGGGGACGAAATGTCCCTATTGATACTAGAACTTGGTCTAATTGTGCAAGGATGGCATTTGGTGGTGGAAAATATTACTTCAATGGCCAGTCTGTTTAGCTTTGTTACATGTCATGAAGACATATTTTTGTCTACATTCTCACCTAAATTGCAAGATAAGAATCTCTACCCAAAATGTTTTATCATTACCCAAATCTGTTTTTTTTTTTTTTTCGTTTGACAGATCAAGCGGAGTAGCCGGGTTTAGAATCAATGATTGGGCATGATCATTTGGCTTTCTTTTCAAATTGGGTATGAAGTAAACATCCATCAAATGGATTATATGAATCATGTAAGCTCCTCTTTCCCCAGATGCCTCAGATTTTGTTTTCTTCCTAACGTTATGTTTCAGTGTGCTTTGTGCTCGGGAGGGACATCCCCATCAGAAGGTTATTTCTGCACCTGTCTCTTCAAAGTATAGACAAGAGGTCCGGGACGATGCTGATGTAGCCTCTTAATGTGAAGTCAGTAAAATTGTTGCAGTGTGATGTCCAACTAATCTTCTTGCCTGGCATCAAAATGAACCACGGGCATCTTGCCAACCAAAACCTAACAGTCTTGCCTGCACAAAATCCTTGTAAATGGTTCTTCAGCTTTAGTTCAAATGGCTGAAAGTTTTACAAGCCGTCTGCCATGCTTGTTTGTATAATAAAAAGCTGATGTTCCAAGATGGCTCATCCTCCTAGCAGGATTTCTTTCACTATTGCATGAATGCAGCTTTGGGGTAAAATATTAAAAAAGAAAGGAGAAAGAGAGAAAAAAGGAAGGCAATTTTCTTGTAATTCTTTTCTCAATCAGTGAGCACCTTGACAATAATCATTCATTTATTGACAATAATCATTTTCTTGTAATTGATGAAATACAAAAAGAAGAAATAAAGGCAATCATTCATTTACTGGCAATTTATTACTCTTTTTGGGTCCCCCTCGTTGGTAAAATTGAAAGGGTACAATCGGAGAAGCACCAGAAACAAACATCATGGGTGGGGTGTGGGAGTCTGAGTAAGTCCCGAGAGAAAAGGTTCGATGGTTGGTCGCACTTCCTTTGTCCAGATGACGTGGCACCATGTCACTGGTGCCTGCTTACTGGGAGTCGATACAGGTCGTTATCCTCACCCATCCCATAGAAATGGATGAAAGTGCGGCAACAATCAGCAGCAGTTAACAAACAGTATATCTTCTAGTAACTTAAATCAATCTCAGCCCACTTGTTTCCATCTTCACCAGGTTTTAGTTTTTCCGGCGGCAAAAGAAACCAAGGAAACAGCCGCAGGATCTGAGAAACAACGGCAGGAAGTCAGCAAAGACTTAACATATATAAAAAGCGAATTTCGTATCCTTCATGGGTTCTCTGGATAAAAGGTGTTTGTTTTTCCATTTTTGACAGCATCTGGTTTCTAAGAATAGTTGGTGCAGAAACTTTGATATGGGTGTTTCTTTGGTTGTCTTCCCTTGTGGGTTGTTTCTTTTTCTTCTTATCTTTTGCAGCTCAGGATCAGAAGTTGTTACCATTGATGTTATTCAAGCAAAAAGCTTGCTTCAGTCAGGCTATGGTTATATTGATGTCAGGTAGCAGGATTCTTCGAATCTTTTGTTCATCAACAGGGTTCTTAACTTTTAGTTTTTCCTTCTTTTTTTTTTTTTTTGAGTATTGAATTTCCTTTTAAGTTTGTGTTTTCGGATTCATTTGCAATAACAGGACAGTGGAAGAGTACAAGATGGGACATGTGGATGCAGAGAAGATCCTGAATATCCCGTACATGTTCAACACACCAGAAGGTCTAACCTTTAGTTTCTCACAACTGCAAGCTTGTTCTTCATCCTTAAAACTCTGTGGTTTTGGAGTTGGTGAAATCGTAATGAAGCTGATTGTGTACTGCAGGTAGGGTGAAGAATCCTGAATTCCTGAAGCAGGTTTCATCTGTTTGCAAGGAGGACGATCTTCTCGTAGTGGTAATTTTGAATTCATTGTTTGCTTTCTCTCTATAAATGGATGGAGTTTTAAGTCTTCGTCTTTCTTATAGGGCTGCCAAAGTGGGGTCAGATCCCTTTATGCAACTGCTGATCTTCTGACAATAGTAAGTTTTTTCAGTTAAAACTTTCAGACAGAATTTCCCAAGTCCTTTGATCAGGGGCCTTAGACCGGAGCTAATTAACTGTACTCATTGACATGGCAGGGCTTTAAGAATGTGAGCAACATGGGAGGTGGTTATCTTGCTTGGGTGGGTAATGGGTTTCCTCTGAAGATGGAGAAGCCTGTAAAAGTAGAAGACAAGCCGAAAGAAGAGCTGTGATTGTTGTCATGTAGTTCATGTAGTTTTCAACAGGGACAAAGCAAATTTATTACTATTATATCCCCTTCGCTCTTCTCCCTGTCTAGAAAAACCCTGTCCAGTTTGCCACCCAATGTTAAATTATTATTATTTTGTGGAAAACCCTGTTTGCACTTATTGGCTACAGTTGCTTTCCTTTGGCTTCTTGTACACTACCCAACAGTAATCAAATTCAATGGTTTAATGCTGCGTGCGACTCTATTTTCAAGACCAGAAACTATCCCTGAGACTAGACTCTGCAAAGCAATAAAAGCATAGGGACGAACTACTTTCAGAGATATTTGCAAACCCTAAATCAAACAATACAATCCAGTGCTTGGTGAGGGTAAGCCTAGTATGGTCACTGAAGCCACTTTCGGTTGTCTATGGATATCCCTTGGCACCACATCAGCAAAACAATCAAAAGAGAAAATCCTGACGGTCGACGTTCAAAATCAAATACTATAAACAAATCCGTATAGTCAGTATGTAACCAAGACTGCCCGTCCCAAGCACTGTTTAAAAAGAATATTCCCTGCAATATTTTGTTACTTTAGATTTGATAGCATAAACTAGCATAGGAATCATGATCCTTGTCTATGTTTAAACAATTTTCAATCTCTCAGTCGGAACGTGCCATGAATACACGTATAAAGAAGCGAATATTCTGTTTGAATCACGATTTGCAATTTTATATGATAATTAGGGATGCTTATGCAGTGATCATGACATGGAAAACCTCCACTTAGAAATTGCTACAAGTGAAAAGACAAAGTCACGTTGCGCTTTCCAAATTGGCAAATCCTAAGTGGTGAAGATCTCGGTTGCTGTGGCCCCGAGCAATTGAACAGGTTTGTAAACGAGTTCAACGACCCGGGCATGTGTTCTTAAATTCACTTCAGCTGGAACGGTCTCAAGTTTATGGCACAACCAAAACCCCACCACCAAATCTCTGCTATTTATTGAAAAGGCGTTCCTGAGCCTTTGTATATTCCATGTCTGTCGGGTCGTGTTGGTCCATTTATTCAATGCCTTGAAAGCAGAATTTGGATTAGTGTTTACCGTTTGAAGATAGAAATGGAGAAAGCAGAGACTAGAGAAGGGAAATCCTTGGAAGAAACCCCATCTTGGGCTGTTGCTACTGTGATCATTGTCATGGTTTCTTTTGGTTACCTGGTTCATCACTCTTTGAAAAAGTTTGGGGAGGTAAAAACTTGTCACCTGTTTTTGATTCTCTAATCTCTCATGAATCTTGAAACCCTCCAAGCTCCAAGTTTGTTTGTTTCTAATGTATTTGCATCTCCATATCACTTTCTTCAATCTATAGTGGTTGGACAAGACTAAGCGGAAATCTCTGATAGCAGCCTTGGAGAAGATTAAAGATGGTAAAGAATTGGTTTGAGATTGATTTTGTTTGATGCAATTGTTCTGGGAAGCAGAATTCTTTTGGTCTCATCATATCAATCTTTTCTGTGAGCAGAATTGATGCTTTTTGGAGTTCTCTCGTTGTTGATGGGTCATTGGATTACTTTTTTTGCTAAAATTTGCGTCAAATCATCGACATTGAATGGCCGATTCTATCCTTGCGCAAAGGTTGATGATCGATTGATGGTACAACACATGCTTGTTCCAAGTTCCAAATACTTGAACAACACGATTTCTAGAGAGCGGCAAACTGCCAGGCGGTATGACTATTGTCCTGAGGTAGCATCACTTCCTGCTGTTCGCTTTGAGTCTTGAGATGCTGGGATACTTTGCTGCTTTGTCTGTTTAGTAATGGAAGTGTTATGATTCTGTTTTCCATAAGCTGGAACAAATATTTTTCAGTTTACATTTGCTACTGCAAGGAATTTCTTCACAAACGTGCAATTTGTTTTCCAGGGTCAGGATTCTTTTGCTTCATATGAAAGCCTTGAACAGCTTCACAATTTCATATTTGTGCTTGGAGTCACCCATGTTTCTTACAGCTTTATTGCCATCGCGTTGGCCATGATTAAGGTTGATGCATCTTCTTAATAATACAAATCCTATTTTGCACCTTAATTTTGCTCTTAATATTTGCCCAGAAAGCACCAAGTTTACAGTCAAGTTTATGCAGATTTATAGCTGGAGAACATGGGAGAACCAAGCCAAGACTATGGCTATTCAATATGTACAAGGTGCAAACCTTTCCAGCTGATGTTAGGACTTTAATTCTATATACTCTTTGTTAAAATTTCATTCTAGAGAGTACTAATCTCATCCCTATTGCATCGTTTTCTGAATCTAGATTCCTCACAAGATGTACCAGATAATTTGAAAATGAGGCGATTGACTACTTTCATTTTTCACAATGTTTCCCATCCATGGAGCCAGCACAGAGTTCTTGTTTGGCTGGTAGTCTTCTCGAGATCTTGTATATTTTGCCACCTTACCAATTTGCTACTTAGTTATTTTCATTAATCTATACAACAAGCAGCTTTTTTTCCTTCCTTTTTTGTGGGATCAATAAAGCAATTGAGAATCTGCACTTCTTGTTGTCAATACATTGAACTCTCTTGATACTTCTCGACAATGTTGGCTGTATGTCACATCTATCAACAATCTTGTTTATATTTTCATGATTTTGCTGAAAGTTTCCTGTGCTTGCAACATCATCTCTCCAAGTTACCTCTAACTAAATGTAGCTTCAAAGATGGTTCTTTTCCTCTGTCTTTATTGCTGGTAATTCCTGCACAGTACCACTTACTTTGAAGTGATTTTAATATGTATTATCGTGCAGCTTTGTTTCAGCCGCCAGTTCTGGATTTCCATAAACCGAGCTGACTACATGGCTTTGCGCTTGGGCTTCATTACTGTACGTCCATTAGGTTCAACTAGAGGTTTAGTTCCTTAGATCTCTTTGAGTGTGAGCATACATTATTTAATTCATGGCATGCTGGTAAACCCTTGTCTGCACAGTCCTTCACTTCTCAGGATTCCCTTTCTTTTTAAGGAAGGGAGGCTGCCATGATCATATGAATGATAATTCACAGGGGTTTGAAGGACTCTAAAGAAACTGTTTAGAGCTAGGGAAAGAAATGAGCATGTGGTAGAATTTGAATGGTGAATTACTAATTTTCTTTTTTTTATTATTCTTTTTTTAGACTCATCAACTTCCTTTGACATATGATTTTCATAATTATATGGTCCGAAGCATGGAAGAAGAATTTCGAGATATTGTTGGCATTAGGTACAGCATCTACTCTGATACGCACATTGGTAACCAACCACTTTGAAATTATGAAATCAAATTGTCAAGCAATTATATATAGTTTCTTGCTGTAGTAATTGTTCTACATAAATCAGAAGCAATCTTTATATTGGTTTTTCTCCTTCTATAGCAGCAAGATTGATTTAGTTATATTGCATTTCTTTTGCAGTGTGCCCTTGTGGATTTATGCCATACTATGTGTCTTTCTTGATTTCCATGGTAATTTTCCTTCTGCTTTTGAGAAACTAATACATTCATAGGTTACCTGGGCTATTGTGGTGTTTGCACTCTGCTGATTCAGGTAGACACCACTTTTAGCTGCTTGCTGTTGTCTTTCTGAAGCTAAAACCAGTTAAATGAAACTGTAATGTTATCCGTCTTTTCTTGTCCATTGAGGTTGTTTGGACATCCTTGGAAATTGAACAGCTGTTTGAGGCCTCAACTACATTACACTTCTGCAATTTTCACTTTTTTTTTTCTCTGTTAACAGCTACCTGCTCCTTTAATTGCCCAAATTGTAATGGGATCAGAAACATTTGCAATTCTATGTTCATGCATCAATATATCCCTTCGGCTTTAATCATTGACAAATATATCTTGCTTGATGTTTGTCCTGAAAGGATTGATATTCTTTTGTCAGGAACCCATATTTACTTCTGGCTTTCGTTCCTTCCAGCCATTGTACGTCTTCATCATTGCATTTGACTTTTAAATGTTTACAGCGACTAACAAGTCACAACCTACACGTTCCTGATTTTTCTTTTCCTTCCATTGTGATGTATATAAAAGTTGATACTGCTAATTGGTACAAAACTGCACCGTGTGGTGGTGAAATTGGCTGTTGAAACCATGGAGCACAGTCCATGGCCGGGTTTTCAGCAGTTCAATCTGAGAGATGAACTCTTTTGGTTTGGAAGGCCCAGGTTTCTTCTATGGTTGATACAGCTTATTTCGTTTCAAGTAAGTGAAGTGATAACATCTTATTGCTTTCATTTGTACTACAAAGTTTGAGTTCTTGTCCATTAACAAGCACTTTGCTTTCAGAATTCATTTGAGATGGCTTCATTCATTTGGTCACTGGTAAGACTTTTGTACTGATGCTCATTTGGACTTGCCGTGCATATCCTTTTAGATGTAATTTAGAATTATACTGGGGAAGTGAATCTGTAATCATACCGCTACAAGATTTTTCAGCCCATTTCATCGAAAAAAAAAAAAACAAACAGAAACAGTTCTGGGAAACTCTGATGAAGCATTAATTACCTTCTGCCTTATTCTGATCAGTTGCAGATAGGTTAGAACAAGACAGGGTTTTTCTGGTTTTCTGTGTCTTATGATACAAGTCCTTTTGACAAGCCATTGTGTATGGTTCTGATTCTGAGTTCTGCTTTCAGTGGGAAATCAAAAATTCTTCTTGCTTTATGGAGAACCAAGGCTACCTCGTGACTCGTTTGGCATTCGGGTACTCTAAAAACACCATCCTGACATTATATCATTGTAGTGGTTTTCAACTGCTGACTCTCCGCTACTACTAAGAATCTCATCGTGTATTTGCTGGCTATTTCATGCAGTATCATCTCCCAGTGCTGGTGTAGCTTCATTACATTCCCACTCTATGTCATAGTTACACAGGTTTGAACTCATTGATCTTTCTACTTCTTCAGCTCTCTCCCTCTCCATCTCCTATCTCTCACACACACGCATTGGAATTGTGGTTATAGATGGGATCAAGGTACAAGAAAACTGTAGTTTCTGAAAGCGTGAGGGTCTCACTGTCCAAATGGAAGAAGAGAGTGAAGGAAAAGCATGGTTCCTCTGCTTCACTCCTCAAGGAATCACACTCAACCTCATCCCTGGACTCAACGGGAACTGACATACATAAAGCCTACAGCTTCGCCTCAAGCAGCACGGAACAAGGAACCTCGACACACAAAGAAGCTTATTTCCTGCAGCAGGAGGCCTTTGGCATTGCATCAGAGAGTTCAACACACGAATCATCATCGCCCAGAGGCAAGAAGCAGAAGGTTCAAATTTAGCTTTTACCTTGGGGATTAGCCATGGCCCTGATGATGACAAGCTCAATCATATTGAAGATGAAATACGTCTCGTTGAACCTTGATCCTTTGTTCTTGTTTGGGATCATATACTTATAAAAACCAATCTGAATTCATTAATTAGCCATCTCTAGTGTCTAAAAATTTCAGATGAATTAAAGGTATATAATTAAATTATATAATAAATTCATATAACTTTAAACGTTAATTCGTAAATTCATTTGTAAGTTGAGAAATATGACATGTTTTTATTATCTTCTCGACTACAATTTAAGATTTCGATATACAAAATAACTTTTTTCAAATTTTTGTAATAAATCTTAATCTTGAACTTAAATGAAAAAGTATAATATTTTTAAATTTTTACAATTTTTATTAGTTTTTAACCATTTTTTTTCAAATAATAAAACATAGTATAAACGTTTCTTCTATTCAATAATCCATTGTGCTTTCTCATTATTATTTTTTTCTCTTTTCCTTTAAAAGCAATGTAAAAACCAATAAAAATGGTCGAAATTTTAAATACTTAAAAAAATTTATTTTTATTAAACAATTCAAAGCATGGTTGTATTCCGTCCGATTGCATCTGGATAAAACGGCGTCCTTGCGTTTGTAGGACCTACTTTTTACGCGTGGCAGTGTTTCATTGGCTAAAAGAAATCTTGGCCTTTTCATAACCTATATATATATATATATATATTTCAGGAGCACCTGCTGTTCATGTCAAAACTCCGTCGTTTTGGAGTCAGCAAATCCGTCTCCTTCAAGTAAACTGTGAAGCCCCAAAGAGTTATTCTCTTTCTCTCGATCCTTCCTTGGTTTCTCATCTTCATCGTTTAACCATGGTGCTCGAGGTAAACCATAATCTCATTTCGCTTTTCTGTTCCCAAATTCTAGGTTTTTTTTTTTAATTTCCTCTCAATTCAATTAAATTCTATTCAAATTGCTTTGATCCTAATATTTTGTACACCGGACAGGCAACGATGATCTGTATCGACAATTCGGAGTGGATGCGAAACGGTGATTACTCTCCTTCTAGATTTCAAGCTCAAGCTGATGCTGTTAATCTTATTTGCGGAGCTAAAACTCAGGTACACAGGATAAAGAAGAAGCTTTGATCTTTCTTTAGTTGAAAATGAAAGAAAAAGATTTCGATCTTTTTAAACGTGTGGTGTTTCTTTTATTGTACGTGCATTTTAGGGTTTAGTTGATTTTATTGAATCGGATGTGTTATTTTTGCAGTCTAATCCAGAGAATACAGTGGGAGTTTTAACAATGGCGGGAAAAGGAGTTCGTGTTCTGGTCACTCCTACCAGTGATCTTGGCAAAATCTTAGCTTGCATGCATGGTTCGTTTCTTTAGGCTTATACTTCAGTTCTCTTAACATTGTTGACTCTGATAATATATGGATGTTATCATGTTGAAAGCTACTAAATTGGAGTTTTTGGTTATGCTGATTTAGGTTTAGAAATAGGTGGTGAAATGGACTTGGCAGCTGGGATTCAAGTGGCTCAGTTAGCGCTTAAGCATCGCCAGAATAAAAAGCAGCAGCAAAGGATTATTGTCTTTGCTGGAAGGTTTGCTTTTTATTGCTTTTGTCTGTTAATTAAGAAATGTTTTCTTTCTATGCTCTTTGGTTGTTATGTGCGATGATTGATTGCAGTCCTATCAAACCTGACAAGAAGTCATTGGAGATGATTGGAAGGAAGTTGAAAAAGAATAGTGTAGCTCTTGATATTGTAAATTTTGGTGAAGATGATGAAGGGAAGACAGAGAAGCTGGAAGCACTTCTAGCTGCTGTTAACAATAATGATTCCAGTCACATTGTTCATGTTCCTGCTGGTCCTAATGCTCTCTCTGATGTACTTATAAGGTTAGTGGTTTGGATGTTTCTGATTTGTGCATGTTATTGTCTGGATAAATTGTGTTTTTATTGCTAATACTGGTACTTCTTTTATCCATGGCAGTACCCCCATCTTCACTGGGGATGGGGAAGGTGGAAGTGGCTTTGCAGCTGCGGCAGCAGCAGCTGCAGCTGGTGGAGTCTCTGGTTTTGAGTTTGGTGTGGATCCCAACCTTGATCCTGAATTGGCCCTTGCTCTTAGAGTTTCAATGGAAGAGGAGAGGGCCAGGCAAGAAGCAGCTGCTAAAAAGGCAGCAGAGGAGGCATCTAAACAGGAAAAGGGCGGGGAACAACAATCTAGCTCACAGGATGCAACAATGACTGAACATGCCAGTGGGGCAACTTCAGAAGCTGATAATAAGAGAAACGATTTATCAGTTAGTATCATTAGCTTCTGATATAATTTTTCTGTTCTTTTTGTGATGCACTGCATTTGTAATGTTGATGGTCTAATGTTAAATAGTTTCTGATCCTTTGTCAGATCATATGACTGTTTGTAAAGACTATTATGTGTCTCATCATTACTTGGTTTGATAGGATAGCTGCTTCAAGCTGGATGAATGTCTCATAAAAGAAGACATGATTGGCGTTTCGATATTCTTTCATGTTCAGACAACTGACATTGAGTTGGTTACAGGACGATGACAATGCTTTACTACAACAGGCCCTTGCAATGTCCATGGATGAGCCTGCCTCTACCCATGATGTACAGGACTCAGAGATGTCAGATGCAGCTGCAGATGATCCAGAGCTTGCATTAGGTAAGTACAGCTGAGTCGTTTTTATTACTTCGAGCTGGATAAAGTAGCATATCTGTATCAACTATTTCCTTACTTTGTGAAAAAAAAAAAGCCCAGTTATATTGATGATAGGCACATTTCCATTCTTTTATTTTTAGCGGTTTAGGGTTTTTTGATGTTGCAGTTGATGGTGAATGATGACCAAAGAGTGTCCTTTTTGTCACTTAATTTTTTTGAATGATTCCTACAAGTAAAATATTCATACTATCTGTAGCTTTTCACTTAATTGTTTTGAATGATTTCTACAAGTAAAATATTCATACTATCTGTAGCTTGCTATGCAAGTTAAATCATCCCTAAGAATCAGTTTTCTTTTGTCTTAGAAACTTTGTGGATGTAGACCCTGGGTATGTTCTGATAATTTTACTTTCTTCTGCATGCTGATTTAATTTCCTATACTTCCAATTCTTGCAGCTCTTCAATTATCCGTGCAAGACAGTGCAAAAGATTCATCTAGTCAGGCAGATGTGAGCAAGTTGTTAGCAGACCAGTCCTTCGTATCCTCCATCCTTGCATCAGTATGTCTACTGCAGTTTCTGTTTTATCTTTTTCCTCCTCACAGCAAGTTCTGTGTTAAAAAATGAAGCTCGTGTAATGGTAAATAATTGCTTTTGCAGCTTCCTGGGGTAGATCCAAATGATCCTTCAGTTAAGGAGGTGCTTGCTTCCATGCAAAGCCAGTCTGAGGTGAGCTCATCAAACTTAGTGGTAGGTTTAAATGCTTTATAACATGAATTGAGATATGGTTTTGAGTGTTAAAGACTTGGGGTTAAATCCTGTTTTAAAAAGGGATTGGAGTGTTAGGTAGGAGAACTATTCTCAAATTGTAGCCTTGTTACTGGACTCAAATATGGGTTTTATAACATGAATTTTTATGTCTGATTTCTAATTTATATGAAAATATGTACTTTTTGTCATTAAATTTGTTTTCAATGATTTCTGATGATATTATGCCACCCTTGTAGACCCAGCAGAAGCAGGATGAGGACAAGGCACCAAACGAGGAGAAGTGATTTTTCTTTGAATTTCCTTTTCTTTCAGGTTTCAGTTTCAGATTTCACCTAGTTCACGATACACTCCAATTTGCCACTTCTCTTTGTAACCTCTTGGAGAGTTATAGTGTTTGGTGTGACTGATTTTTTTTTTTTTAATTTTTTGAAATCAGATTCCTTGTGCAGATTTGGAAGCTCCTGATTGCGGCCACTCGATATTCATGTAGATGGGTATTATTTGTTCTAAAGGCTTCGGAAGAGTTTCTGATATTTTCATGTCTAAGAATAGTAACATTGAAATGTATCTCTTTGATGTTTCCACTAGTTATAGACTGCACATATATATCCCCCAAGTACAGATTGAGAATGTCATCATGCATGGAAAACTTATTTGCAATGAGATCCAATCTTTTTTCCCCCGGCTTTCCAAAGGAAACAACGATTACTATGTTCATTTCTAGTAAGTTCGATTGGTTAAAATTTAGTTGCCATGTTTTTAGAATGAAAAAGTGGGGTATAAGGTTCAAATGTTGGCCACAGCCATGTCCAAATTTTGAGTCACATCTCTGCAGGTGCCAAATGACAAACAGAGAGGATGATTTTCTTCCATTTCTTTTGAAAGATTCACCCGTAAATATGACTCAACATCAGGTTAAGTTTGAATTCGATTACACGCAGCAAGGTAATCTCGAGTCAGAATCACCTTGAAAAAAAGACTACGAAACTATTCAATTTGTTTGTACTCACTCGGAAAAGGCCAACTCTGAGCCTTGGCCGGTCAACAAAATCCCAGAGCAAAACCCAAGAATTTTGTCCTTTTTGCTTTGGTTTTACCCCAATCTTATCCTTGGTTTTGACTTCTCTTGCATCTATGAATTGAAAAAGAAAAAGGACTAGGTATAGCAAGTGTAGTTCTAGAGACATAGAGACTTGGTCCATCGTTGTTTGTTGATGGCGGCTGCGTGAAATACTAAACAAGAAGAAAAATTTGGCACTCAAAGCTGTATGTTAATATATGTTTTCCACATTCAAGTGATGACATTGGGTCCTTCTAGCTGAAGATTTCCTCTCCAGTGATAAGATACGCCTTCTCTAGTTGAAAAGTCCAATGCATACCAAAATGATAAGAAAAAGGCTTACTAATGATAGGCCTGTTATAACGAAGTGCTGATGCACGAGCACCCATACATTCAAGAGACCAATCCACATTCAGACAGGAAGAGTATTGCTTTCTGTGTTGGCAGCATAGATTTAACTCCAAAGGCCTAAATGTCCCATCCTTAATTATCCTATAAAGCTTAAACCTTTTCTGCAGCAATCAAATGATTCAAATCCAATAAGAAGGGGTACTTCTAATTATAGTAAAATCTATGTCAGCCCTCCAATCATGGGAAAATCAGGCAGGGTTGGCTCCTTTACAACATACCAACAAGGGGAAGATCTCCTGCTACTACTAGTACTTCCACAGTTTGCTCCACATTGACACCAACGTCCAACCCGTTGGATTCATGTACCCAATAATGAGAGACAGATCCAATGGCCAGGATCTCAACTTGTTAGTGGGGACCTTACTGATTCATTTGCTGACTCTTCCTGAGTTCTGACATGACCCACAGACCAGGCATTAACTTTAGAATCCGTTGTTCAACATTTTGCATCTTTGACACTAACCAATTACCATCATTCTATGGAATAGTGAACTCTTTATAGACAATCCATTTAATCCCTGTCAAAACTGCACCAAAAACTGAGCTTTGGCCGGCCCGCCATCCAGCAAATGCCAGAACAAGGTTCGTTTGTCTTTTTGTGATGGTAATAAATAATTCTTGGCATTGACTGTTCCGGGTCTATAAATGCAACAGGTTGACAGCAGTGCAGAAAATGAAATGGTATTGCTAGGTGAAAAAAAAAACTGAAAATGAGAAAACGTGAAAGTTGTTTAGCTTCAGCTTTTGTTGTTTTTGTTGTTGCTGTTTGTTGTCTGAATGTGAAATCAGTTAAAGGAGTGCACGTGAAGTACAACACCGGAGCTGGGATTGTTCCCGGAAAGCTGAACGTTCATCTGGTCCCACATTCACATGATGATGTTGGCTGGTTGAAGACTGTTGATCAGTACTATGTTGGATCAAACAACAGCATTCAGGTTGATTCTTATGTTATTATTATTCAGCTGTGGTTCCACTGAGGGATCCTGGGACTGATAGTGAGCCTGGAGTTGCAGTCTTTGATGATGAACTTTGGGGTTTTTTTTTTTTTTTTATTGCAGGGTGCTTGTGTTCAGAATGTGCTGGACTCAGTTGTTGATGCATTGCTTCGCGATTCAAATAGGAAGTTTGTGTTTGCTGAGATGGTAAATATACCCAGTTGATTACTGTTGGATTATATTTCCTTTATCCCATTATTGAGATTGATTGTGATTGTAAATAAGACAAATTACTGTAATATGTGCATTGAACTGCCTCTTGGGGTTCTTTGAATTCCTGAAATAAGTCTAATCAGAAGCTTGACAGGGTTGGATTTCCTGTTAGAAGAATGATTGCCATAGCATAGTAATTTCAAACTTTTCATCTGATACTAACTTGCTAGTTGCTACCGTCATCTAATCACATAGTTTGATATCAATTGTAGGCTTTTTTCCAAAGATGGTGGAGAGAACAAAGTCTGGAAATACAAGAACAAGTGAAAAAACTAGCAGATGCTGGTCGATTGGAATTCATGTATGTTGATTCTTGAGCAACTTCAAATTTGAAACTTTGAGTGCTAGATTATGTATGTAACCTGCCTTTTGGGGATGGATCTGCAGTAATGGTGGTTGGTGTATGCATGATGAAGCCACAACACATTACATAGACATGATTGATCAATCAACTTTAGGTCATCGCTTGATAAAGGAGCAATTCAACAAGGTTCCTCGTGCTGGGTGGCAAATTGATCCTTTTGGTCATTCTGCTGTGCAAGGTTACCTGCTTGGTGCTGAGGTGCATAATTCTATCAAATTGCTGATCAATCCATTTCCTTTTTCAGGATAATTACTCTGTTCACAAGCAAAGCTTAACCAACTCTCTCCAGTTAACTAATTTTCTCAGATATTCAAGACTCATTTTGTTTGTCAATAATCTGAAGAAATGACATATTTTGGTTAATTACATTGTTCCTGCAGCTAGGTTTTGATTCAGTGCATTTTGCAAGAGTTGATTATCAGGATAGAGCACAACGCAAGAATGATAAATCTCTGGAGGTTATATGGAGGGGGTCCAAAACTTTTGGATCTTCATCTCAGGTTTGGAACACAAAATCCTGCAATTTTAACCCTTTCACTCAGTAAGGAGTTTGGTTGTATTAATTCTTTACCTGTTGGTCTCTCTGCAGATTTTTGCCAATGCTTTTCCTGTTCATTATAGTCCACCTAATGGTTTCCATTTTGAAGTGGATGATTCTGACTTGCCTGTCCAGGTTCCGATACTTAAGAAGAGTTAATGTCACTGTCATCCATGTATTGGCTGTTGTTCACAATTAGTGTGGCCTCATGCATTACTTTTTACGACTGCAGGATAATCCTCTTCTATTTGATTACAATGTCGAACAGCGGGTTAATGATTTTATTAATGCTGCAATGACCCAAGTAAACTATCTGCTCCCTTTTTCTATTTGGTTGCTTCTGGAGTTGGCCTGTTGTCTTATAACTTCTAAAAGGTGTACATTTTAGCATCTTCTGCAGCTCTAGGTGAACCATAAACATTCATATGATAGTTGATTTTCCCTTCATTCTGTATAGGCAAATGTGACAAGGACAAACCATATTATGTGGACAATGGGAGATGATTTCCAGTACCAGTATGCTGAATCTTGGTTCAGGCAGATGGACAAATTGATTCACTATGTTAACAAGGTAGTTCAAACAGAAAAATCAATTTAATTGCTGATTTTTCAAGCCCTTGATGCACAACAGGTTGTTTAGGGAAAATCTATTCATATAATTGTTCTATTTTCCAGTTTGTCTTCCTTTTCCAATTTCATTATTATTTGTGCTTAATTTTCTCAGGATGGTCGAGTGAATGCCTTGTATTCTACACCATCCATCTATACTGATGCAAAACATGCTGCAAACGAATCATGGCCACTTAAAACTGATGACTATTTTCCGTAAGCACTACATAATCTTGTCCTTCTCGTCCTCCTTTTGTTTACCCCTTTTGCTTTTCCAGTTTACTAACTTAGACTAATCTACGCATATGCTTGCCTGATGATTCTTGGCAGTTATGCAGACAGCCGAAATGCTTATTGGACTGGATATTTCACAAGTCGGCCAGCCTTGAAACGATATGTTCGGGTGCTTAGTGGATATTTTTTGGTATGACATCACAATTACTCCTATATTTTGGGCAGAAATGTTGAATCACAATGAGATAAGGAGGAACTCTTTTCCTCATCCTGTATAGACTACATTTGCTTGATGGTGCAATTGATACAACCCCAAACCTACCCTGAGACTCAACTAGTCTATCTGATTTTTGTTCAAAACTTCCCTTCTAGTTTTTGTTGTGACAACTGATTTGCCATGTGGATAAAGGGCAGTTCTCAACGGAGTCTCTTTGTGAATGTTGTTTATGGTAAATTTGACCTGCTTTTCCCTATGTTTGAAATAGGCGGCAAGACAACTTGAATTCTTGGTGGGCAAGAGATCCAATGGTCCCAATACTTTTAGTTTGGGAGATGCACTAGGTATCGCACAGCACCATGATGCCATCAGTGGTACTGCCAAACAGCATACAACAGATGACTACTCAAAACGGCTTGCTATAGGAGTCACTGAGGTTGGCTGCGAACTTCCTCAATTTGACCCTCTTAGTTTGTTTTAATATCTTGTAATATTGCCGTTCATGTATGACAGATTTTTATTTCTATCCTTTCATATTGAACAACCTTTTAATTAATTTACAGGCTGAAGCTGTTGTATCTTCTGCTCTCTCATGCCTAACTAAGAAAAATCCTGGAGATAAATGTGAAGAACCTGCATCAACATTTAGCCAGGTAAGGCATTAAGAGGTGTTAATGTTTCCTTATCTGGATGAAGAGATAGTTCTTTGATATATTCCACACATCCAAGAATTCTTTTTCAATGTTCACAATATCTTTGTTTCTTATTTTGTAGTCTACATGTTCATCATGCCTTTCGAACTTGACCCTGCAAAAGAAACTATATATTTGCTGCAATTGCTGAAGCAATTTATCAATAATTAGTTTCCCTTCTTGGCCTAACACTGATCCTTTCGACCATTTCTAACAGTGCCAATTGGTCAACATCAGTTACTGTCCACCAACAGAAAACGATATTCCAGAAGGGAAGAGTCTGGTAATTTTTCTGCATTTTTCTAGTTTTGCTTTCAATAATGCATTGTTGAAGTTTCATTCACTTTTTGTGCCAAAAGGAAAAGAAGTAAAGGAACTTTCACTCACCTTTTGTAAATGGTCACTTTCAGGTGGTGGTGGCATATAATCCTCTTGCATGGGATCGTACTGAAATTGTTAGAATTCCGGTCAGTACCTTTAGGTGTTCTCTTTATGGAATTGTAGATCCAACAATGTCTCCATAACTCGATGTTGTGAAATGATCATGACCTCAGTCTTTCTTTATTGCACATAAGACTCAACGAGCTTTTCCAGGAAAACAGTTGACCGGAAATCAGAAAGTAAAATGGATATTGAAAGCATTAATTAGGATTTTTTAATGAACTCCAACTTGTTCTCTGCAGTTTAATCAGTAAGGCTACAGCCACATTCTGGGTTATGTTAACTTACTATAGTGGTGTAACTTTTGTTTCCTGTCTATAACCACAAAGGACTAATATATCTATGAATAATTGCACTTTTAATCTGATTTGGAAGTGATACCTTTTATCAGGTTAATTATGCAGATCTTGTTGTCCAAGATTCATCTGGCAATAACATTGAGACACAATATTTAGCTTTGGATAATGTTACAAGAAATGTAAGGGAATTCTATACAAAGGCTTACTTGGGACTGTCATCAGATACAGTTCCAAAGTATTGGCTACTCTTTCAAGTATCTGTACCACCACTAGGTTGGAATACTTACTTTGTTTCTAAAGGAGCTGGGAAAGGTAGAGTACTTGGCTGTTGGTGTTAAGTTTATTTAAGTTAAAACAATTCTGAACTATTGAAGTCAATATGCAAAAAGTGAAAAGTAGATTATGTGAAGCTTATTTTCTTACTTGACCGGTTCTATCTTTTTGTTTTCCAATGATATAGGACAACACAGAGTTGGAATTATATCGGCAACAAGTCCACAAAATGAGACAACTGAAATTGGAAATGGAAATCTGAAAATGTCCTTTTCTACAAGTTCTGGCCAACTGCAACGGATGTACAATTCTAGAACAGGAGTAAGTTGTTTCTTGTTTCCTGACATTGATCATGAGACTTAAATCTCTTGATTTGGTGGTTATACATGATCTGCAGTGGATTAAGCCTTAATTGACCTGTCTTAAAGCCATTAGTAGAAAGGAGAGTGCACGTTTGTCTTTTCTCTTCCCCCTTTGTTCTTCTTTGCTCTGATTTTTGTTCAGTAGGGGAACTATCATTAAATATAGACATAGATGTTAAAGAAGCTAAATACCTCCTCCACCATGGGCATAGATTTCGTGTTGTTATTTCTTTATAGAAATGTTCTGAATGCCAGTTCAGTTACATTTTTATAACCTTACTTTCCCAATTTACCAGGTTGATGTACCGGTGCAGCAGAGCTACCTCTGGTATGGTTCGAGCACTGGTGATGCTGATCCCCAGGTAAGCAATCACTGCACTTAGATTTCAAATATAAGAGTTCAAGTTGAGGTCGAAAGAGCCTCTTGAAATGCCAGTTTTACAATTACGATCACTCTTTACAGGCTTCTGGTGCATATATTTTCCGGCCTAATGGGGCACCTCCAACTGTTGTTTCACGATCAGTAAGCCTCTTATGTTCAATATTGCCATCTCCTTGACATATCACAGGTCTATGACATTCTATTTTGTAGAATTTTCAAATTTAACATTTTGTTTGTTCTGCAGGTGCCCTTGAAGGTCACTCGTGGACCCCTAGTTGATGAGATTCACCAACAGTTTAATGAGTGGATCTACCAGGTCATCATTTTTCTATGAGTTCACTGCCATGGTTCTGGACTGGTTTTTGTTATTAGTGGCTGAAAATGCTAGTTTAAGGCATTGAAAGGCTAAAAATATGTCTATTTATGTCCATTTATTAGGTCACCAGACTTTACAAAGACAAGGAGCATGCTGAAATCGAATTCACAGTAAGGCACATCACCCTACTTTAAACCATATTTGTCTTTTCGTTTTGGTTACTAGTCTAAAATGTATTAGAACTGCATCTAACATTGAAAACAATGTCTTAGATGAATGTTTTCTACAGTTTATAAAGTAGAAATGGTGTCATCTCTCTTGATACTTGCCAAGCATTACTGAACAATTTTCTATTTTGAAGATCGGACCAATTCCCGTGGATGATAGTGTTGGAAAAGAGGTCATTACTCGGATGACAGCAAATATGGTCACAGACAAGGTGTTTTATACTGATTCTAATGGGAGAGACTTTCTAAAGCGGGTAACTTCTGCAACATTCCTTCTCTATGAATATATGATATTCTTTACTGAAAGAACATGAAGTTTTATTGGTTTCAATATCGACAAACTGGTTATCTTACATCATGGGGTTTCTACCTGCATTTTGGCTATTATAGTGCCAACCTGAAATGTATAATCATGGTTGTTTTTCAGGTTCGTGACTTCAGGGAAGATTGGAGCCTTACAGTTACTCAACCTGTAGCAGGAAACTTCTATCCAGTAATTTTCTCAATTCTAGCTTGGCTGACACTAAAATATATGAGTCAAAACTCTCAATGATTACTTAGCTTGAGGCTTGGCCAATCGGCCAAAATCTATGCAAAAAGTTGCGTGCTATCATGCTGCGAGTGTTAGTTAAATGTCAGGTAGCTTGAGCTTAGTTTAGATCTTCACTGTTTTCCAGCTGCATCAAAAAGACACAGAGTTTGAAGCGTCTGTGGTTGTTCCTTTGCCTCATTATGGTTTGACACATCATCCCCGATACCTTTGTTCCTTTTCACTGCAACTATCTACCATCTCTGCTTACTTATAATCGTTATAGGTTTTCATGGCACAGAACGAGATGGTTCTGATGTTTTGTTTTTATTATAAGCAATACTCCTATATTAAATGTGTTGAATCAATCTGTGTGATTTCTCCAGATTAACCTTGGGATTTATATTACGGATAAGGAATCTGAATTCAATGTCTTGGTTGATCGTGCCACTGGAGGATCCAGTATCAAAGATGGAGAAGTAGAATTGATGCTTCACAGGTTTCGTTTAGATTCTGCTTTTAAACATTCACACCTGGTATGCCATAGATATGCACCTGCTAAACTCACTTCTCTGATGCACTAGGCGGATCATCGAGGATGATTCCAGAGGAGTAGGTGAAGCCCTTGATGAAAGCGTGTGCGTAGGAAGTGCATGCCAGGGACTGACGGTACACTCTTTCCATAGCAACAGCATTTCATTCAACATTCATTCACGTCATCTGATGGAAATTGTGCCTATTATTCTTTCCTATCTTCAACGAACATTCTGAAACTGATAGCCATTGGCAAAACTCCAAATGCTGCTCATTCCCCCCGACTCATGCCATAATGCTTCTACCTGATACATATTCTCTTGATGGTATTGGCCCAGATTCGAGGGAATTACTATCTCAGCATCAACAAGATAGGGGAGGGTGCACGTTGGCGTCGGACGACTGGCCAAGAAGTTTACTCACCTCTTCTTTTAGCATTCACGCATGAGGTACACATATATACACACGACTTGATTCTGCCATGGAACATTTCCAACTGTTGTGGTATCATGATTGAATAAAATGATTGATCATTCAGAAAATGGAGACCTGGACGGCATCTCATTTAACAAAAGCAACTGCCATGGATCCAGGGTACAGCTTGCCGCTCAATGTTGCTTTAATTACTCTTCAGGTGAACAGTTTTAAACCCATTTCCAAACATGTTTTCTACTTGGAAAAATTGCTCTTTCTCTGAAAATACTAGTTTTGCAGGAACTGGATGATGGAAGTGTCCTCCTCCGTTTAGCACATCTGTATGAGGTATGTGACTCTAACCCACACTGCAGTTCTGATTTCCATTTGATTCTTGTAATGATCGGAGTCCAATACCACTTGACTTGTGATTCTTGTGGATGTTTCTATTAGGATGGTGAAGATGCTACGCATTCAGCTCTAGCAAAAGTTGAACTAAAGAAGATGTTCAATGGAAGAACGGTACCCGTCTAGCTTCTCCTTCTCATTCATGTTTCAACAAAAACCAGCCATTGATTTGTAGCTAACAGAAGATTCGAACTTCATTACTTTTTTCCAGATAAAGGAAGTGAAAGAAATGAGCTTAACAACAAACCAAGTCAAGTCAGAGATGAAGAAGTTGTCATGGAAGGTGGAAGGGGACGATGGGAAAGAACCCTCCCCTGTCAGAGGAGGCCCTGTCGATAATTCCACACTTGTCGTCGAGCTTGGTCCCATGGAGATCCGCACTTTCACGTTGAAATTTTAATCACCCTGGTTTCACACCTTCAAGTCATTTTTGAACAAACCCAAGCAAATAATGTAATTCCCATGAAATGCTTCTTAAAAGCATTTGGTAATAGGCAGGACATACAATAAGTAGGCTAATTTTCCATTAACTCCAATAAGCATTTCAGTAAAAAAAAAAAAAAAAAAGCCCAAGTCCAATAATGTAAGCAACCCTATTAAATACAATAAAGATGTTTTATATCCGGATTCAGTTAGATTTTAAATAGTAAAATTTTTATTTATCATAAATTTTGATATTTATTGTTCTAATTTAATTATAAAAAATAACTTTTAATATTAAATTTTAATCTGATATATATTATTTTCTAGTTATAAATTTTTTATGATCAACACAATACTTATGATTTTGACTTTATTTTTTTATGAATTAATTTAATTTATTAATTTAATTTATAATAATATACATTAAAATTTATTTTAAATTTAATTTAATTAGATATTTAACAAGTATAAATATTTGACAAATAGTGTATAAGATATTCGAATATTAGTTTGAGTAAAAAATTTTAAAATTTAATAAGGTATATATAAAATTCAAATATCTTTATCAAATAATATAAAGTATAACAGTACTTTACCCTTTGACATTTTTAATTTCAAGTTTTTTATGAAAATTTTGTAATTATATTAATTAATACTTGGTGGATTTTTTTAAAATTAATACTTTATGAATAACTTTATAAAAATATTTGTAAATATGATTAAATAGATTGATTTTAAATTTAAAGTATTTAATAAAAAAAGTTCAATAAGTATTTTATTAAAAAGTCCAAGCCCAACAATGTGATTTGGCCCAAATTAATCGAGCTTGTGAAAAATAAAAAATAAATTCTGAGACAGTTCTACTTATAATAGCGCGGGAATTTCCCGAGACGGTTTAACTGTTAATGAAGCCAATGCGATACCGCCACGCGTCTACTCGTCGATCACCGTCTCCAAAAATTTTTCCCTTCGCTGACAGTTGAAACCTGTTCCTTTTTTTTTTTTTCTTCCGAGTCAAAAAGACCTCTCATTTTCCCTCCTTCCAAACAGAAGAATGGCTTCTCAAAACCCTAATCAGAAAAGCTCTCTTTACCCGGAGGTGATCCAATCGAACCCCGATTTCCCCCAATACTCTTCTTCCAACAACCTTTACCCTTCCCTCGACATGCGTGATCTCGTCGAGAATCTTTTCCCGGACCCTCCTAACTACTCCGTTAACCGCCATAGTGGCCACACGGACTCTCCTCACGCGCCAACGGCCCCACCACAGGCTGTCGAGGAAGTTTTGATCAGGATCCCTGGCGCCATCCTCAACTTGATCGATAAATCTTATAGCGTCGAGCTCGCTTGCGGCGATTTCACTGTGATTCGTCTCTGGCAGGGCGAAAACATCGTCGCCATACTCGCGCGCGTCGCTGAGGAAATCCAATGGCCGTTGATGAAAGATGAGACCGCCGTTAAACTTGACGATGCTCATTATTTCTTCTCTCTTCAGTTAGATAAAGAAGCCCAAAACGATTCGAGTGACAGCGATGATGATGATAAAAAAGGAAAAAAGAAGACTTCCGGCGAGGGCTCTTGTTTGCTTAATTATGGTTTGACATTCGCTTCGAAAGGACAGGAATATCTGTTGAGAGAATTAGATGTTATATTGCAAAGTTATAGTTGTTTTACGGTGCAGAAAGTGGAGAAGAAAGGTGAGGAGGTGCTGGATGGGGCGGTGGCTGCCGCGAAGGAGATGTCGCCAGCAGATTTGAAGTCGGAGACCAAGAAGGAGGCGATGGAGGAGAAATGTGCGGCATATTGGACCACGCTGGCGCCTAATGTGGAGGATTATAGTGGGAGAGCGGCTAAGGTGATTGCGGCCGGATCAGGGCATTTGATCAAGGGGATATTATGGTGTGGAGATGTGACAATGGATAGGTTGAATAAAGGGAATGAAGTATTGAAAAAGAGAATGAGTCCGGCTGAGAAGAACGCTGAGATTAGCCCCGAGACATTGAAGAGGATAAAGAGGTTAGGAAATGAATGGTTTTGAATTATGAATTTAGTTTTGGTATATTTGCATTTGCCTTTTCTTTTCTTTCTTAAAAATATAATGCGTAGCTAATGAGGTAATAGTATGATTGGATTTTGAAACAAGTAGCTTTTCTGCATGTTGGGAGAACCACAAGGCTTTGTATTGTGATTTAAATAGCAGAGAGAGTAAATTAATTCCACCAATATGTAAACCAAAAAAAAAAAGTTATGCATGAATTTAATATTCAATTGCATTTACGGTGTGGTTAAGGAAGCAGAGCACAGCAATAACATTGGTATCGAGTATTGAAACAATGTTGAAACAATTCTGTTTTATAAGATGGGGAGAGAAAAGGGGAAATTTTTTTTTAATGCCTTTTGTGTAAAATCATGTGATATCCCTTTGTGGATTTTCTCCTTCAAGTACTATGCTTTAAACCAATGAAATTCTCAAATGAAGCTGGAACTGGAACTGAAATACAACTTTGTTCAAAACAATTTTACTGAATATGATTTTTTATGATTTAAGTTGACTAACATGGATAATCGTACTAAAAGTTTTTCTTTTTTGGTCAATGGTACTAAAGTTGAATCTTTCATTTCCTGTGGTTGTTTGTGTGTTAATTATGAAGCAAAAGTATCCTTGAGATTTTGATTTAACTATCCATACAGGGTTAAGAAGGTGACAAAAATGACACAGAAGGTAGCAAACGGGGTTCTCTCTGGGGTTGTCAAGGTTTCTGGATTAGTCACAAGCTCGGTTGCAAACTCAAAAGTGGGCAAGAAATTTTTTGGTCTCCTGCCTGGAGAAATTGTTCTTGCTTCCCTGGATGGATTTAGTATGTCGTTCATCTGTCGCCACTTCAATTTTTATGATTACATGCATCATTTTAGAATTTCATTCATCTTTGTTCAATTTTTTTTTAAAAAAAAATGCTTGATTGCTTATGTATGGATGCTAATTAATAAAGATGGCAACTTCATTGCATTTTACCTTCTTCTAGGCCTGTGCTAGATTTAGACTTCTCAAAAGGATTATTGCTCTTTTTTAGTATCTGGATATCAATAGATAAAGATGGAAAGTATGTTGCCTGGGTACGTCTTTCTAGGTCTGTGGTATATTAGTACAAGCTGAAGGATATTTGCATCTTGATATTAAGATTTTCTGCTCTTCAGGTGAAACTGAAGCTCTTGATTACATAGAGTCATTGGGACTTGGGCTCCATAGCCTATGCCTTATAGTTATCGGTGTAGGCTCCAGTTAGGCTCTTATTATACCACTTAACCTTGAAATATTCAAATGCCATGGGATTCCTATTCCATTACACCCAATTTTTGCTTGTATTACCCCTCATGAATTTTTCCTTTTATTAATCTCAGTAACCCAATCAGCTTATTAGCTAACTAGTTAGTCATGTGTTCATATTAGGGTCTATCTCTGTCCTGGTTGCATGGGTTGCCTAATGTGCTCTTTCGATTGGACTGACCATCCCTAGCCAATGTTTTGGTGTCTGGACTTCAGATTTTTAGTTAAGATAGATGAGGGATGGTTGGAACTTGTGTGTGTGTGTTTGTATTCAACAGTGAAGTTGAGAAATTGTTAGATTGGTTAGGTTACTAATTGATTTTATACTCTCTGAAGTCTGAACCATATTACAATCTAGAGGTCACTCTGGCTGAGTTTGACAAGTTGGTCAATTGGAGCCCCGTAGGTGATTAAACTTCTTGATATGCTGATGAATTAAGTCCCTATTGCCTTTGAGTGATGGAATTTGTATGAGTTTCCTTGTTGGTGAGCTATTTGGGACTCTGTTATCTCTCCACGGTCAACAAACTGTTGCCATTTTGTGCCATTCTAAACACAGGTTTAGTTTTGTTGATTTTCTTATGAAGCTAGCAACTTTTGTGGCAGTCAATGTTGGGCATTTGAGGGCCAAATGTAATGCTTCTAGTTGTTAGATATAACTTCTATTTGGTCATTTAATAGCAGCATTCACATCTCTTCTATTAATTTAACTGTATTGTCTGCTTTTACATTGAATTTATTGTATTATCATATTGTGAACAGATAGAATTTGTGATGCTGTTGAAGTAGCTGGGAAAAATGTGATGTCAACATCATCCACCGTGACAACTGAACTTGTTAACCACAAGTAAGTTCATTAGATTTGTTTGTTGTAATCATCGAAATCAAGCAATATACAAAGAAAGAGAAAACAAGGACTTCAATAATATCTTAAGGAACCAGCAACTGAAGTTTTTCTTTGGATATAAATGTGGTTCATGGGGTGCTGGTATCCATCAGACTCAGATACTGTACTTAATGTATGCTTGGCAATAACAATGGATTCCATACTCCTTACGCACCAAGTGACGAGCCTTTGCTCCCAACACTAACACACACAGTGCTATGCCCTTGCTTTGAGGACAACATCATTTGAAGTCTTTCCTCTTATTCTGACTCACCTTCCAAATTAAGAACCTCTTTTTCTGACTCACCTTCCAAATTAAGAAAGAGACATGAATTTAGAATTAATTCTTTCTGCAGATATGGAGAAAAAGCAGCAGAGGCCACAAATGAAGGGCTTGGTGCTGCAGGGCATGCGGTGGGGACAGCATGGGCCGCATTTAAACTCCGACAGGCACTAAATCCAAAAAGCGTTTTAAAACCTAGCAGACTAGCCAAGTCTGCTGCTAAGGCTGCAGCTGCAGAGTTGAAGGGAAAGAGCTCCAAGTGATTACTAAAGCTGTTCTTCAAATTTGTGAGTTGGAGAGATCTGGCTATAAACCTTATGCCCTCAAAGCTTCATGGATCATTCAGAGTTTTGTTGTTTGTTGTGCTATTACTACTTCCACCACATGTAAAAATCTTGTTTGTAACTGACTATTTCTTTATTCTTCATTTGTACATATTTCTTCATTAGGGACAAGGATTAGAAGGCTTTAGTTTGGATATAGTGAGGATAATTATGAAGATTAGGATCAGCAGGCTTCACCCTTGGGGCCTGCAGCTTATTTTTTAGTATCTTTTGGCCATTATGTGGTACTAACTAGATCAAAATTGTTTCCATCACCTGGTTATAATATTTCTCTTTATTATTTCTCATCCATTTTGAACTGATCGAAGCAGAACCAGACTTGTGTTGCCAATATCATCAGAAGCTTTAAATTTTCCATTACCAATGGCGATAACTGTTCTGATAGTGGAATTGCATACTCTTAAATGACAGTGATCTTAGTTTTCCGTTGATTTCTTTTTAAATTCCTTGTCTGCAAATTAGTTAAACATCATTATCTTCCTAGGTTTCCTCCCTTACCTTTTCTTTGGGGTTTGTATACAGGACAAACATCTGTGCTAGTTAGGTATGGAAATGGAAAGGCATCACAATATATTCCATCGTTGTTGCATCACTCAGGAATAGACACCACCTATCACAGAATGCTTATCCTGCTTTATTCTGATTCCTAATCAACATCAAGAAATAAGATCAAACATCCCCTGGAGACCATGCAAATTTTAGTTGGATCACCAGGATCTCATCTCCAACCCCCTGGTTTCAGCCATTTCCTTGGCACCAACTCTTGTCAACTCTGGACCCCCATAAACCCCATCACGGGCCACTTCCAACCACCCAAATGTAAATGGTGGACCCTCGAAAGCCCTCCAAAGCTAGCCATGCGCACAGAAACCTCCGCCATCTGGGATACACGTCCGGGGCTCTATGCCATTTAGCATGCAGCATGACTATCATGTCATGGGGGAACCAACGTGGAAGGAATTGGATTGTTGAATCTGATGATGTGTTTGTTTTTATATAATTGCTTTTCCTTTAAATCTGTACCACTAGCTCCCAATGGTGCCATAAACTTTTTCTCAAGTCCAAGTAAACGAATCAAATGCTCTGTCCATCGTAGACAAACTAGCCAATCGCTCCATGGTTATTGCCCCCCGTACCCCTTTTTGTTTCTACCTCTCCCGTTGATTCGTTGTCTGATTCTGACAACAAGTTTTCTCAACATATATATCTACTTTATGGGTAGTGAATTTGTACTACAAACCCCCAAGAAAATAAAAAGAAGATTCCAAATCAAGATGACACCCAGTTACCATCAAACAATCATATACCCAAGATCTTTCTTTTCTCTACCAACATTGTTGACTGGACCCCAAGAAGTTGTCCTTTGGAGGCTTGAAACTTTGCAACGTATACACCTGGCCTATCAAGTTTTATTAACTGGCCCTGACCAACCCCTCTCTTCCATAAAGGAAAAGAGAAAAACAACCTTTGAGATAAACTATGACAAAAATTTTATCTTCTTTTTTCATTGGAATGTACATAGAAAACGATTATCTTTGATATTATTATAAACAAGGTCTATCTTTTCCCCCTTTTTCTACATTATATGAAAAGATTGCATAGTAATAAAAAATACCCATCTCTGTTCTTTTTTTATTAGATGACCTTAGGAAATCAGAGTAGGCATAGGGAAAAACCATGACAGAGAACAAAGGAAGAGGGTAAAAACTGAAACCAGAGATGCCTGTACTACTGATGGAAAGTAAAGAGGATAAACAATGAAAAAGAAAGAGGTGCTTGCTTACGTTCTCTCAAGGGTTTTCTGAAGTAAGAAAAAGAGGAGGTTAGTGCCACCAGCTGGCTGCTTAGTGAAGACAAAGTAATGAAACATGGTATGTTATCCTGTTAGTTAGGTAAGTCAATGAGAATGGAACACCAAGTCATGCCATGCTGCTTTAAAGGTGAACCTAGACTGTTTGGCTTCAAGGTAGTGGCCTGTTTTAGGTCATGGCAGGGGGGGGGGGGGGGGGGTGTTGTTTATGGTTGGTGAGTTGGAGTCACAAAGGCTAACTTCCAGAGGAGGATGAAGGCTTACGAATCAAGCAAAAAAAACGTACTGCACGCCTCAATACCTTTTTGGGTTTTAAATATTCCTATTTTTAAGCCGCCCCCTCCTCGGATTCGCCCTTTATCTCCAATGGAATGATGGCCAATGGAATGCATCAACAACCCCCCACTTGCCTCAAAGTTATCTTACCAGCACAACAAAAAGATGCAAAATGTTTGTTTACACTTGCACTGTTTCATCCTACACCTTACCAAAACCATGTTGGAATGAATCAAGCTGATGATCGATAGAATTTAAGGGAACCTTGGTGATTCCGAGGTATAATCCTGTCAGAAGTTAAACAAAATCAATATACTTATTGGTTCTTCGCATGGTTTTTTTCCCTGCCGACAAAATGGGGCAAATCTTATCTCACAGAAAAACCAATTTTGAAAAAAACCCAGCCACTGTCAGGTTAACCATGAGTTCATGGTCCCCAATTTTCCAGCCATTGGCTGATTGCTTGACTCCACGGAATTGTCTGATGGTAGTGGTACTCTTCCTGTTCATGTGAATTTGATTGGATGCAGCTGTCACTGCTACTTGTTTTCAACCATGTTTCTTTCGAGACTTTGAAAGGTCTATTCCGTAAAATCTGGAGTTTTTGAGTACGCTTCATGGCAATTCAACCAAGAGAGAGTTCACGGCATTTAACTGTTTTACATAAATCTTATGAACATAAATTTAACCAACCTTGACTAAACTATAAGTTCTCTGCCAAGGGAAAGTTTGTTTTTTCTTTCTTGCTAAAGACCTGAGGCCTGATAGAACCAAAAACATTGCACGAGTCAGTACGAGAATATTTGAAGCTGACCTGAAATATTTTTTTCCTGTAGCTTTTGCCAGTACAGCACCGAAAAAGTTTCACTAACTTTCTGCATACGATTTTCAGACATCAGCTTAGTAGTTGAACAGTAGAATTTGGCAAAGGAAGAGTTGAAAAGGAGAAAAAAAAAAAAGAAAGGAGGAGATGTGGCAAAGTTATTGCGGATGAGGAATAAAACACCACAAACCTCCACTTCTGAAAATTGTAAGTCGTGGTGCGTTGCCTTCAAAAAGTGGAAAATGACACAAGAAGCAGTATATCAAAACACCCCACTTAAGAATAATCACACATTCTCTCTCTATCTCTTCTTTCTTCTCACACACATAATACACGTGCACTCGCGTGCGCACATAACGGATACACATGCACATAAGATATTGAATGAATGTGCATACACTGCTACTTCCACGGTTTCAAAAAATGGCAGAAAAAGCATTTGAAACCCCTCCTAGAAGTAGTTCTGAAAGTTCACCAATACTAGCCTCTCCAATGGCTACTCCTTTGAGAAAGGTGTTCAATAGAATTTCGGGTTTTGCTTCATCTTGGGGCAGGAAAACAGCTCCCCGGGGTGGTAGGATTTTCCATGGGGATGTGGAACAGGAAGAATTCCAGTACGCAAGTACTCAGTGTCTCTCATCATACTACAGTGTTTTTGTAGCTCGCCTTGCCATCATGGTTAGTATAAATTTTCATTTTTCCAACTCCCTACCAGAGAGCTCCATGTTCAGTTCTGTTGATCTCCATGCTGCTAGCCTAGTAATTTACTTTTCTTTCTCTTTTTCCTAACGTCTCTTTCAGGTCATGCTAGCTATTTTGATTGGGCTGCTAACCATTCTAACATGGCATTTCACAAGGATCTACACAACAAGATCACTAAACACCTTAGCTTTCGGTCTTCGTTATGAGCTTCTTCAGCGGCCTATCTTACGGATGTGGAACATCTTGAATTCTACCTCAGAAATAACAACTGCCCAGGTCAAGTTGTCAGAATATGTAATCAAGCGGTACAGCAAGCCCACCACTCAGGCAGAACAAGTTGAGGTTGATCCTTAAGTTATTTTCTGTCTGTCTGAACAGTGTTATCAACTGGTAAATTTAGTTTTGAAACTGAGTTTTGTTGGGAAATAAGATTCACTAACCTTTTCTTTTCTTCTCTTGCTTGATCTCTTTCACTCTTAGCAGCTGTATCAAATGATGAAAGATGTAACATGGGCACTATTTGCCAGCCGGAAGGCTCTCAATGCCATAACCATAAATTACAAAAATGGATTTGTCCAGGCATTCCATAGAGACCACAGGAGTAACAACACATTTTACATCTACTCTGATCTTGCAAATTATTCAATCAGTACCAGTGAGTCTTATAACACCAAACAGCTCACATCGCGACAAGGGTGGAACGACCAATTCTTTCATGGTAATTTTTCTGCGATCTGGTACCGCGAACCACTTGATCCTGTCACTGGAGAGAAGACAGGAAAGGCACTGCCAATTCCACCTGATGATCTTATCAACATAGCAGGCCCTTCACAAGTGCCTGACGGGGTAGCTTCATGGCATGTGGCAGTGAGCAAGTACACAGATTCACCGTTGCTTTCAGCAGCTCTTCCTGTGCGGGACGCTTCGAACAGAAGTATAGTGGCAGTTGTAGGTGTCACCACAGCACTTTATAGTGTAGGCCAGCTGATGAAAGAACTGGTTGAAGTGCACAGCGGGTACATATATTTGACCTCACAAGAGGGTTACTTACTGGCTACATCCACAAATGCTCCTCTGTTAAAAAATACAACAAAGGGGCCTAAGCTTATGATGGCTGTTGATTCAGAGGATCATGTGATACGAATGGGAGCCCAGTGGCTACAGAATGCCTATGGAAACAAGTTCCCTCCTGGTCATGTGGTTCATGTGGAGAAAGCCAATCTTGGCGGCCAGCATTATTACATTGATTCATTTTTTCTAAACCTAAAAAGACTACCTATGGTAAGTTTGGAAAACATTTCATTTTTTTTCCTAATAATGAAACTGGGCATTGGATCATTGGATACATGTCTAGACTTCAGACTTCCCGGTCTAGATAAAGATATCCCAGAGATGGTGCTGTTTAAAATAATTTCTTGTTGAGCACAAATGCAGAGGCAAGGAGTCCAAAGTTCCTCTTTTTATACATATTACTAATGTTATTACTGCTTGGACAGGCACTAAATTTGGTTAGAATTGGTGCAGGTTGGAGTCATCATCATTCCAAGAAAGTATATAATGGGGAAGGTTGATGAAAGAGCCTTGAAAACCTTGGTCATATTGATATCTGCATCTATATGTATCCTAGTCATTGGATGCGTCTGTATTTTGATACTGACAAATGGAGTATCAAAGGAAATGAAACTCAGAGCAGAGTTGATAAGCCATCTTGATGCCAGAAGAAGAGCAGAAGCATCAAGCAATTATAAAAGCCAATTCCTTGCAAATATGAGGTAACCAATTTCCATATCTAGAATCTAGAATCTTCCTCTGATCCCTCCATATTTGTTTAGTTATTTTTCCTTTAGAAACTCTGCTTAAAAGCTCACTAGCCTAGTCACTATATTCCATTTATCAGTTAAATTTGCCAGCCCCTTACGGATGTATTATGTTACAGTCATGAACTAAGGACGCCTATGGCTGCTGTTATTGGTTTGTTGGACATTCTTATCTGTGATGACTGTCTTACAAATGAACAGTATGCAATGGTTACCCAGATCCGTAAATGCTCAACGGCTCTACTCCGGCTTCTCAACAACATATTGGACTTGAGCAAGGTGAGACACAAGGAAAAACCAATTATGGAACTGGAAACACTGAGTTAATATAAACATCAGCAGTTGTTAAGATGAAAGACAATGCTTTTAGAATAAAAACATGAGCAGAGTTTTCATCCATAAGTTGTAACTTTTAGCCAACTGCACTTTTGACAGAGCTAATCAAGTTCAAAACTATAGAATTGATGGTCCTTTCGGCATCAATGAGTAAGACAATGCGTCATCACACAAAAATAAACGACTGTAAACTGTATGAGTTTTAACTGTCATAGTTTATCAGTTGTTACATGATTGGTGTAGCCCTGTGAGCTTAGTCTGTCAAGGAGATTTTACTTGTTCACTTGTTGAAGCAAGTTGAGAGGCTTGGAGCAGTTTTTTTTTTGAAAATTCATGATATATTGAAACAGAGGGAAGTAAAACTTTACCTCTAGAAAGAGTGCAAGAAAATTCTGATAGTGCACCTCTTGACCATGACAGTCAAAGCCCAAATTCATTGTTTTCCAAATATTGCATAGGTTGAATCTGGAAAACTGGTGTTAGAAGAAACTGAGTTTGACTTGGGACGGGAACTTGAAGGACTCGTTGATATGTTCTCTGTGCAGTGCATTAACCACAATGTGGAGACTGTTCTGGATCTCTCTGGTATGACTCAAACCTTCTGGGTGAGAGAGAACTATTTTTCTGAATCAGAACTGATGATCATCGATCTATGTTTATATGAATACAGACATAATCTAATACTTGTCCATTTTCTGTCAAATATTGTCAGATGACATTCCAAAATTAGTTAGAGGAGACTCTGCCAGAGTTGTTCAAGTTTTCGCAAACCTAATAAGCAATTCCATCAAGTTCACAACATGTAAGATGAACATTTACATTGCTTATGTCTGCAACTCTAGTTTTATATTGCAATCTGCTGGGCCCTTGATCATGGATTGGAACCAAGAAGAAGACTATATAAATATTTCTACTGGGGAAAGATAGAAAAAATCAAGAAAAATAACTTAAAAGAATCCCCTGTTAGGATTCAGGAAGGATGTAGGAGAGGGAATGACAAGGCACCCATAGTGCTTAGAACAACCAAAATAATCAACAAGCCAGATTTTCTCCATTGAAATGGGAAACAAAAGTTTAGATTAAAACCATTATTTAGTCACCTAAATAAGTCAAAGATTGGCTGGTTCTGTATGGTTTTGGACAAGATTGAGGCTGAAGATAATGGAAAGTCTCTTCTTTTCAGGTGGATTTCTTTTAAAACAGGGGTGCAACATAGGACCATATGATTGAGAGTTAATTTTTGGTTGTAAGTTATTATTTTGCTCTTAAGAGATTTCACCCCTGCTCTATATTCTAATTAACTCAGTACTTTCGTGGTCATGAACAAGAACATGTAAAATTGTTTTTAGACATGCAAACTTCCAATATCAGGTGGTAACATGGAAAGTAAGAGGTTTGATTTGATTTAGCAAGCTTTTGAATTACTTTCATTCTAACATCCGGCAGAGCAAAACTCAGACATATTTTCAAACACAGAGAAAGAGCAAGTATCATAGATAAGAAACTCAACAATATTTATGGATATGCAATGATGATGATGTGTTAGACTCCAACAGAATTTACCTTTAGAGCCTACTTGCATGATTAAATGTTTCAAATGGCTTTCAGCTGGTCATATCATCCTGCGCGGATGGTGTGAGAATTCCAATGTGTCTAGTGATTCTGGGAAGTTCTCTCCCGATCGGAAGAAATCACTGTCTGCACTAAGGACAAAGTTGAAGCAACATGGAAACCATATGAAGAAGGCCAGCAAGAGAGACAACAAAATGATTCTTTGGTTTGAAGTTGATGACACAGGCTGCGGTATGAACATTTGAAGTTTTTGAAACAGTGTGAAAATAAGTATACCTTGCAAACTTTTGTACCAATTTATCTTCCCTGATCTGCAGGAATTGATGCAAGCAAATGGGAATCTGTGTTTGAGAGCTTTGAGCAAGCTGATCCTTCAACAACTCGGACGTAAGTAATTTATGCAAGATGTGGACAAAATCCATGGCCAGATTAAGAAATGAAATTTACAGAGATTTTTACTCTAAAGATCTTTTTGGACTTTCAGGCATGGTGGCACAGGTCTTGGACTATGCATTGTGAAAACTTTGGTAAGTGAAGTGTTGATACAAAAACTCATATTACATTACATTACCATATAAATGTCAGAATATATTATACTGAGACCTTGTGGACAAATCCAAATGATGAATTGCATCTTTGCTTTGCTCATACTGTCCATGGCAGGTTCACAAGATGGGTGGAGAAATCAAGGTTGTGAAAAAGAATGGTCCAGGTACTCTAATGAGACTATTCTTGCTTCTCAGTACTCCTGCAGATGGCACAGAACAACATGGTCAAGTGGATTTTGCAAAGCACAGTGTAGCAGTGAGTAAAATTTGCTCTTCGGAGCAGCAAATTTTGTTGGTCACCTTCTAAGTTTGATTCTCATTTTGCATACACCAAAATGAAACTGTCATCTTTGTCCTGATAAGCACTCTGAAGGATTGCACATTAGAGTACACAAGATAAATAGTAATTCTGTCTAAACCTCATCCTAGAAAATAACAGTTAAGACTTTCAGCTTGCCTGAGCTGACAGTGTCACCCATGGAGGTTGCCAATTTATTTATGGTCAAAACATAGAATTATGGTCAGACGCTTGAAAAGCAGTGTAAGGTCAAAGCAACATTAACAGCTGACATGTTTAAAACATGAATGCAGGTGATCCTTGCACTAAACGGCAGCATGGGTAGATTGATTATGTCCCAGTGGTTGTCTAGAAATGGAGTACCCACTTTGGAAGCATCTGAGTGGAATGAACTGACACAAATCCTTCATGAACTGTTTCATGCCAGGACTCGTAATTGTGGTTTTGATTCTCATTATTCGCTAAATGAAACTCTGAGATCTAAAGTACACAGTATACAAGACATGAGGAACCCAGTTTACATTATAGTTGTTGATCTGGGGCTGCTTGACTTGAGCACAGATATATGGAAAGAACAGCTTAATTTTCTTGACAAATTCTCTGGCCAAGTGAAATTTGCATGGATGCTGAATCATGATACTTCCAATGCTATAAAGATGGAGCTCCGCAGGAAAGGACATATATTGATGGTTAACAAGCCATTATACAAGGCAAAAATGCTTCATATTTTGGAAGCTGTCATAAAGGAGAGATACGTTGAACTTCAAAAGAGAAGTACAAATGGAACAAAAGGTACAGCAAAAGCAGGTGATTCTCATGAATGTCTCGAGATCGATTCATCTCATTTTGAGACTTGCAGCTCCGATGATTCTGACAATTCTGAATCGGGTGGCACTAATTCTGTAAGTTCTGTGCATACTGGAGACGAAACAAGAGAAGGAACTGTGAAATCCAGTCCATCAAATTGCCAGACACTTAAGAACTGCCTAGTTGAATTCACGCATTTAGGTCCAGAAGTAAATGATCTTAGGGCAGAAGAAGATCAGTGCAATGCCAGGCCTAAGTTACATGATACCGAAGATGCCAAATCTGAAAGTTCCAATTCCCCAGAACAACATTCTGTCAGCAGCAGTACTAAAGATAGAGATGATTCATATACAAGTAAGGCAGCAAATGGACAGAAATCTCTTGAAGGCCTGCGGATACTGCTTGCAGAAGATACACCAGTTCTCCAAAGGGTAGCAACCATCATGCTGGAAAAAATGGGAGCTACAGTAATTGCTGTTGGGGATGGACTGCAGGCAGTAGACGCCCTGAACTGCATGCTCAACGGAGAAGAGTATAGAAGGGACTCCTCATTGCAAGAAAGGAGGAACAGACTACAGACAGAAATTAGTGATTCTCCTCCATATGATTTGATCTTAATGGATTGCCAAGTAAGAAATCACTAGGAAGATAATGCATACTTTATCCCTGCTTCATTCTGATCTACTCCATAGCATTCAATCATATTTGCCTCAAAATTATTATGTTACAGTGCTTAACTTTTCCATCTGCATGGATTAAACAGATGCCAAAGATGGACGGATATGAAGCGACAAAAGCAATCAGAAAATCAGAAGCAGGAACCGGTTGGCACATACCTATTGTTGCCTTGACAGCCCATGCAATGTCATCAGATGAAGCAAAATGCTTGGAGGTGGGCATGGATGCTTATCTAACAAAGCCAATTGACTACAAGTTGATGGTGTCCACCATTCTTTCACTCACCAAAAGATCAGCCTAATGCTCCCTGCCAAGCAAAGAGCTAACCAAAGAAAAAATGTCCTAGCTTGTTTCTTGGAAAAAAAACCAAGCTTTAACACGTGTTACTGTACCTAGGAGTATAACCAATTTTCCTGTCACAGTCTTCAGTGTGAGAGTGGTAATAGCCTAATGCATGGCTAGTTTCTTTAGTTAATAATGTAATATGACAATTTGTGTATAACTCAATGCCCAAGTATAAATCTAAGTAAATGTGTCTTATGGAGAAAGAATATATCAAAAGATTGCTTCTTTTTCTGAACGAGAAAAAGCCCAAAAAAGTAAAAAAATATGTATATATTAATAATGTAAAGATGAAAAAATAATTATAACATAAACCACTCATTACTAACAAAGACACAAAAAAGATTTTCATTAATAAAATATTTGAATAATGGATATTGATAGATGGTTATTTTTTTATTTTCTATAAATTTGTTAGCAAAATAAATATGTGATAAATAAATCATTAAATGTTAACATTTTCTCGAATTGAAAATTAAAAGTAAAATTTAAACATAATGCTCTTTGTAAACTCAATTTTATGAATAAAATTATTATCTTTTATATATGATTCTTCAAAAAAAATACCTTTTTTCATTCAAATACAAAAAAAACTTAAATTAAGTGGTTTAACGTAAATATTTTAATCTTTTTTTGTTTCTATTTATGGATTAAAAAGGAAAATTTACATAATGGTCCCTTTTTCTTTTTTATTTTTCAATTGTGGTCAAGAATGCATGTATCTTTAAAGCTTGCTTTCCTACTTTCTTCCATTTTTCTAACTTGTCGCTTAAGTTGACGCCAACTGAAAAGAAAAGCTTCAGCGACTCTGCTATAGCAAAAGCAAATCCAAGGAAATGGCGAGGTACGACAGAGCGATCACGGTGTTCTCGCCGGACGGTCATTTGTTCCAAGTGGAATATGCTCTAGAAGCCGTCCGCAAAGGCAACGCCGCCGTCGGAGTCCGTGGCACCGACATCGTCGTGCTCGGTGTCGAGAAAAAATCCACCGCCAAGCTCCAGGACTCTAGGTATTTGTTTTCTCTTTTTACATTACACTATCCCTCCATTTGAGATTTCCATTTTATCTCGCTCAAAAATGGTATCTTTCTACTTAATTGCACTTGAAAGTAATTTTAGGGTTAGGGTTAGGGGTTTATGATCTGGATTTGGAACTAACGGGGATGCAACAATTTTTAGCTTAAGCCTACCTCTATCATGTTTCCTCATTGTTCTCTAGATGGGGATTTTCCTAAAAATTGTTTTTTTTGCATAAGTTGAGGAACAGTGATTTTAGTTGGAGAATTTTTTGTCTTGATGATGTAGAAACTAGAAAATTTTACCAATTTTTATGATTAAAACATGCATTAAAGAAATCATTTGAGTTTTTGAATTTCCTCAAGGTGGGCAATTTTTGACCCTTTTACGGCTACTGTTGTGTAGAACGGTTAGGAAGATTGTGAACTTGGATGATCACATTGCGTTGGCATGTGCTGGACTCAAAGCAGATGCTCGCGTTCTCATAAATAGGGCTCGGATTGAATGTCAAAGCCACAGGCTGACTGTTGAAGATCCAGTTACTGTCGAGTATATCACTCGATTCATTGCAGGACTTCAACAGAAGTATACTCAAAGTGGAGGTGTTAGGCCGTTTGGTCTCTCAACGCTGATTGTGGGCTTTGATCCCTATACTGGTGTACCGTCACTTTATCAGACAGACCCATCAGGGACATTTTCTGCTTGGAAAGCTAATGCAACTGGGAGAAACTCTAACTCGATTAGAGAGTTTCTAGAGAAGAACTATAAGGAAACCTCTGGACAAGAAACCATTAAGCTTGCAATTCGTGCTTTGCTTGAGGTAAGTTTAACTGGCTAGTTCTTCGTTTGTTGACTTTTACTTTGTTTTCATGTCTTTGTTGTTCCATGATCTGTCTTCTTTCAATGTATGGTGAAAATTGTGCTGCTTCTAACTTCTTAGTTATTGAATCAACAGAAATATGGAGTAAATCTATCATTTACTTGTAGTCATTCCCTGCATGCAATATGCGTCCTGCCTTTTAAGATTATGCATGGACTGTTAAGCCTTACAGAAATGACATGGCTTATCAACCTGTGCCAGTGTGCCACTCGAAAATGGAAAACACCTGAATATAATTATGAAATGGAGCAAAAGAAACACAACTTGAACGTTAATGTTATATGTTTCCATAGAAAGTAATGATTTAATTAGTGCTTTGCTTTCAAGGAGCACAAGCATCTAGAGAAAAAGGTTTTGAGTATTCTTTGTGCCATACCATGTAATTCTTTCTTCCCAATGCATTGGTACTTGGAAGTATGATGGCAATAAAGATTTTAATTGTGAAATGATACACTTGTAGCTAGATTATACAACAATGCGACAATTAGTTAAACCACATAAACAGGAGGTACGCATATCATCAAGTTATTGGTGTATAGAAGAACAGCTTCATAGATTTAGTTGTCTGAGTAGGTTAAAGTTTACTTTTAACTACTACTCCTTTTAATATCAGATTGCATACGGTTGGTTATTTAGCTTACTAATATGGTAAAGATGCATGTTTTATGCCAAATAAGGGTGCCTGTCGTTATGCGTGTCTCTTGCATGCAGGTTGTTGAGAGTGGGGGAAAGAACATCGAAGTTGCTGTGATGACAAAGGAACATGGTCTGCGGCAGCTTGATGAGGCTGAAATTGATGCCATTGCAGCTGAGATTGAAGCAGAGAAGGCAGCAGCTGAGGCTGCAAAGAAGGCCCCTCCAAAAGAAACATGAAACAGCAAGTGTTGACATCCTTTTACTTTTCTATCCTTTTTTTTAGGGGGGGTTGTTTGGGGTTTTTTCTGGTTGACTTTTGATGTATTCAGCCCACTTTCACCCGTTTGAGCTTCATTATACACATCATGGAGTTATCATCCATTGTTGGTATTTTATTTGACTTTGGATATTTAAATTATGAATTTTCAACACTGTCCCAGACGTTGAAGCTATTTCTGCAAATGTCTTGATGTTCTGATACTAAAAAGAAAGTAAAATATCCGATTTGGTTAACATGCATGAGACTGGCAAAGATTGAGCAGTATGATTCTCTTTGCCTGGTTTGGCTTTGGTCTCGTATGAACTCCTCAAAGTAAAATGGGAATTTGTTGAGCCAAATGCCATGATTTAGCTGCATTTACCTGATTTAGATTGGGTTTGGGCTTGAAAATGTTACTCTGGGTCTCGCTCAGAGACGATGAGGGAAGACAGTGGCCCAAAATAACACGGAGATGAGGAAATGAATCCGCCCAAAAAGACGTGGAGATGAGGGAAAAATAAACATCAATATTATGGCCCATGCAGGTCTCGAACCTGCGACCTTCGCGTTATTAGCACGACGCTCTAACCAACTGAGCTAATAGGCCCGTTGATTAAAAGCGAGTAGAATACCAATGAAAGCTTCTACAACCTTGAAAAGACAGGAACCAAACGAAAATAATGGAGAGACGAACAAGCGAACCCTGGGGAAGTCAGTTGTTGCAGACCAGGCTCCGAGAATGAAAGAAGATTACGAGGTACTTGTTTCAATCTTTCTTGACCCTTTTGTTTTTTCAATTATAAAGTCATCTACTTTTCGATTGATACCGCCCTTGTTTCATCCTTGGTTGAGTCTCTTTCTTTCATTTGATCAAACCTTAATCCTTGAATCTTTGCTAGTTGTTTTGGGTTAATGAAAGTTTACTTATCCAAAGAAAAATAACGAGAATTCGATACCCTTTGTTGTTGTTGTCTTGTATTAACCTCTACCTCTTTAAATTTTATTTCATTTGAAATCTTCTTTGTGTTTATCGAACTGGGCAACAATTTTTCCTTCTTACAACTGCGTTTAATTGCAACTTTCAGGTAACTTTGTCTTTTTTGTATGTTGGTATATGTGGAAAATCAGTTACCATGTAATTTGATCAGATGCTGAAAAAAATTATAGGTTCTGGGCATTTGGGTTCTTAGTTTAGAAGGTGAAAATCATTAGCAATTCTTTATGCTGTGAAATTTCTGATGGGCAGAGTAGATTGGAAGTTTGCAAAGTAATTTTATGCATTTCAAATTCATTTCATTTTCTTGTCTGCTGGAATGATCATATGCATTCTTTTCATCTCTAACAAGAAGGCTAGTTTGCTTTTTGATTATGTGTTGACTTTGTGAGTCACATAAAGGAAATATCATAGGTGAGAACTTTTATTAAGTATGAATGATCCCATGGAAAAAAAAAAATCAAGCATAATGGATTTATGAACTTGATTTTGACTTCTGGGTTTCAATATCTTATTTGAGAGGCATAGCTGCATGAACATCTTATCTGGTGTTCAAAATACCAAATCGTTTCTTTGGAGTGTGATAATCCATCAACTAGACCTTGGTTGTGAAAGAGAAGAATATGCAAATAGCAAGTGAGATCCATATAGTTCAATAACTCAGGATTAGGTCTTAATCTAGTCTGGTTAATTCATTGGAAACAAAATCAACGTGCAAGTTTGTTGGTCTCCTTCACGTATTATTTTCACAGTCCTTATCAAAGTTGGAGAGTTTAGCTTTTCACCTGTTTTTGATCTCTCATACATAATAACCTATGCTAAATGGTGTAGGCTCAAGATTGTTAATCTCCTCCTTAACAGAAAGCTATTGACCTTCTTCATTCTCTTTCTTATCATATCAATTATTCCAGATTGAAGAGAAAAAGCAAGCTGCTGCTGATGTACTATTTCAATATTCAAAATTTGCAATGGCATGCATTGGAAACCAAGTCCGTCCCTGTGACCTGAGACTGCATTTGATGAAGGTAATTTGGAAAAAATGGGTTACAACTTACAAGTTTATCTCCTTTTGGCTGCGTGTGATACCATTCAGATAAATGATGCGAATGCTCTTTTCAACAAAAAAAAAATGATGTTAATGCTCCTGGCATGCTTCTGAAGAGTTCAATCCTCAAGGGCTAAATTACTTCCATAATTTATGCCGGGATAATTGACAGTAGTTTTTTCCCCTTCTTTTAGGAAATATCAGGGCTACCAACTTCTCTGAAAAGAGCTCCATCCCAAGCTGCTGCTTCTCCTGATGCAATGGGTGAGTCATCAAGCTCAGGTACAGCAAGAATTGATAAACCAGGCAGTTTACAGGCGATTCTGCTATAACTTGAGGCAGCATTGTGAGTGCTTGATATTCTGGATGCCTTTTTCATATCCAATTTGTATGTAAACAGTGTACTTATTGTACTAGATGCTTAAAGCGATGTAAGCTGTTCTGAAGATGCTACAGGAAAGTTTGTTTGATATGGGGTATTGTGCACCATGACTTCTCATTTATTAATTCCAGTTCTCAATTTCCCTTCCAAAGGTTCTATTCTATTGTTTCTTCTCTTTATCCTGCACCACAAACCATTCCTTGCTTGAAAATTGTGGTCTCACCAGATATTAGAATCATGACATCATTATCACCATCAAATTTCTAATCGTTTACGTGTTAGGCCAGATCAATCTCCTTATGGACAAAATGCAATGAAGTTCACGTGTTCTCATCTTTCTTTATCATTTTATGTATAAACCTCAATGAAATAATCATGATATCATCTTGAAAATGAAATTCTATTGCTGGCTTCGAGTGCATGTTATGAAATGACCTAAAAGATGGAATCTAATTAAAAAAAAAAAAAAGGACTGCTTGCAAGGAATTTTCTCCATCCTCATTGCTTTACCTGCCATTGTGACCTTGAAACCGTGTAGGTTCATTGGACCACAAAACACTTTCTAGAGTTAATAGCAACCATAATATTCCATGTTGGTCACAGAAGCACGTAAGACAACATCATCAGGGAGAGGGTTTTGTTTGTTTTTTCTTCTAGTTATCATGATCTACCAATCTCAATCAGACACTGAGGTTGTCATTCTTGGGGAAAAAAACTGTGGCCAAAATTTTCTGATGTAGAAGCAAAACAAGCTAGAGAAGTCTTGTGATCCAAGTTTGAGATTTTTACTCATATTTTTACCCTCCAAAGCCTCTTTGACTTAAGGCAAGTGGCTACAAGTTTCTGTCTTGTGAAAGAATAGTTGCTCTGCCGTTATCAGCCATGGGTATCCCTCTTCTGATCAATAATTTGTTCAGATTGGGTAGTTTTCTTGTCCTGTTCTAGTTAAAAAGAAACAAGAAAAAGGGCAGATGAACATGGACCATCATCAACAACAAACGGAGCCAGCAAACTTTTCCCCCACCCCCCTTGGGCCCCTAGCTAGCGTTACATATGGAATTGTACCGGCATCTGTTCGTTCTCTTGAATAGATAGGTAACTTCCCTTCTTTTCAAGGACATGTAACGGCTGATAAAGCTAAGTCCAGATTAATTATAGTTAGGCTATTTTGTCAGCATTTTACTGAAGTGTTGGATAAGGAGAGGGAGACATACAAAACAAAATAGCAGAGACAAGTTTTACGAAATCCGGTTTTGTTTTTTATATGCAGTCAGCAGCAGCTGGCACAATAATTGTTTGGTTGGTAGAACTGTGTAAGATGGTAAACAAAACTAGCAATGAATACCGAAGGCTGGCCACTCTCTCTCTCCGGCTCTCGCTTTCACTGCTTGGTTCTCGCTCTTCTTTTATGCATGACTGAGATAGGTTACCTACCTCCTTCGGCTCCCTGTTACTTTCTCCTATCCAAGGTTGTTCATTAATCCATATACCAAAGGAGAAGTTTCCTTTTTCTTCCCAACTGAAATAACATAAGTCAAGAAACATTCAATAATCCTAAAGAAATCTTAGCAAAGATTTGAATATGTGGACAAACATTCCTAAATTTTCATTGAACTACAGACAGAAAGTGTCAGGGGTGTTTCATAGTAAAACAAACAGATATACAAACCAGAAGGGGAACTAGAGAAACCTTTCATACACATAAACTAGTATTGGTTTTGCCATCAGATATATGAAGTTAAATTCTCACTTCAACTCCAACCTTCTGTAATCCAAAACGCCACCCGTCAAGCACAAAATCTCAGATGTTCTATTCCTACTGCCCCACAAGTGCACCCCTTGCTGTTCTGCAGTCCCAAGCTAGAGCAGAAGCAAATGATTTTTCTGTCTGTTGTCTCCTCTTTTCGAGGTGGGTGTGAAGAAGGAGGGCTTATCCGCAGCTCAAGATTCAACTCTGGGTACTTTTCTCCATCTGGGTTGTTGTGGTTTAGGTAAGGAAACTCAATATCGGTCTTCGCATCCTGTCTCAGAACTGCAGCAGACGAGCCCCTATCTGTGCTGTGAGTAGCAGCTTGTTCATTGATCGGTCGATGCGTCAAGGGGTCGATACCTCTGCTCAATAGCTTCCTCTTTATGTGGGTATTCCAGTGATTCTTGATCTCATTATCTGTTCTTCCTGGTAGCCTTGCTGCTATTATTGACCACCTTCACGTACCAGAAACAAAAGAGAAACACCCATTACAGTTTAACCGAGACAGCTAGCTAAGGCATGAAGAAGTAAATCAAATCAAAGATTCGGGAGAGACTTAACTTGTTACCAAGAAGGCTATGTAACTTGATGATGAGTTCATCTTCTTCATCAGTGAAATTACCCCTCTTGAGATCAGGACGCAAATAGTTAATCCATCGAAGACGGCAACTCTTTCCACAACGGAGAAGTCCAGCAGCTTTAGGGAGGGATCTCCAACAACCTTCTCCATGAGCTTGGATGTAAGCTATGAGAAGCTCATCTTCTTCTCTAGTCCAAGCTCCTTTGTTCATGTGACCTTTCTCACAACAAGGGGACCTGCCCATTTTCCGCTTCCTGCTTTGCAATACCAGACTTTGGCGCTGATTTTGGCAATGGCCTTCGTACATATAGCTCGGTGATGGCTAGGCAAAAGATGATGGGAGTAAAGGAGATGGATGTGGGTTTGGTGCAGTCCAGTTAAAGAAGCAGCAAACCAAGTCCTATATATAGGATTTCTAGTACGACAGGTCTAAGTCATTAACTGCTGCTAATGTAATTTGGTAAAACAGAAAGTTTTGTGGGCGAAGCTCCATCCCATCAATGGTCCTGTCTTGACACAAGCACATGCATGTACCCTTACACAACATAGTATTACAAATAATATATAGATAAAATATGTATAAAACATATGCATATTTAACGAAGTCTTATAACCCATGTTGCCCCTCATGACACGACATGCACGCATGCATATATTTTCCTATAAAGAACTTATAAAATATAAGAAAATTTAACTAAGTCACGTCATTTTTTAACTTTATATCTACTTAGACGAGATGATTTATTGATTTAAATGTCATCACTTTCAATCTTAATTCCTACCAAAGCTTTGGTCCATGTCATGTCAAATCGAGTTTGGTTTAATAAAATGTAAGCAAATATATATGGATTAATGCAGCGGAGGAATGCATTAAAATGGAAAATGAATGGCCACCTTTTGTCCCCTTTAGAGGATAAGAAGGGTTGAAGTAGGGGTTATGTGACTCAAGTAATTGCTTTGTAAGCTACTTAAGTCTCCGAGTTCTAATCAGCAACATCTGGCCACACACTCACGACTTGACTGAAAATGAAAAAGCCCATGACTTAAATTATTAGATTTAAATTAATTTTTGAGGTCAATGATTTTTTTTTAATTTCTTAATTAATTTTTTCATAAAATGACTATCACGTGACATCAAACTTAGTCAAAAAAACTTTTATATATATATATATATATGCACTCACAACCTTTGTCATTTGGGTTTTACTTGAGGCCCAATAAATAAGTTTGGGTTCTGAACATCAAACCTGGGCATAGCCCAAGTTCAATGGATCTTGTTAGGCAAAACTTTTATTAATTTATTACAAATTGTCACAAAAAAATATAATATATTTTTTCTCTTACATGGCTAAAAAAAGTGTTTATCCTTTATTTATCTCAAAAAAATTATATTTTAAAGTTTTTTATTATTATCAAAAAAGTATTTTTGTTCAATATAATGTGAAGCGTTGTATAATTATAAGACTTTAAAAAAACATATTCGATCTAATAATATTTTTATCAATAAATCCTCGATGGAGGCTTTTCAATCAAAAATATTTATGGAAGATATCTTTAAAAAATATTAAAAAAAATATTTTTTGATAATAAATAACATTATCAAGGAAATTTTTTTCGTCAAAAATTCTTATTTTGCACTATTAAGGTAATGTTGTTTTTTTTTTACTTGCAAAAATCTTCAATTTGTTTCTATAAAAGGTTTTTTTTCCTACTGAAGGCAAAATAATATATTTCAAAACATTGTAAAATTTAAAAAGATATTGATATTACATATTATTATATCCCAAATGATATTAAAATTTTCTCACCATAATAAAATCTTGTTTATCCATAGAAAAAAAAATATTGTAACAAACAATATTCGCAAAAATATTGATAATATATCCAATTCCACCTTAGGATTTTGGATTTGGTTTAGTCTCTAATTAGAGGGTATGAATGCAAATATTCTTACAATCACCGGGTCATAACTCTAAATATGCTGAACATTAAGGAAAAAAAAGGGAGAATATCTCTTTTCTTATTGGGCTTAAGTAAATTGTTGGAGAGTCCACCGGTTACCCAACGGCTAGTACGCAAAACGGTAACCTCAACGGTCGAAAATTTCAAATCTTTTCTCCCAAAGCCTCTCTAAATCACATCGATTCTCCCTCACACTTCTCTTCACTCTTCTCTCATTTCCATCTTCCTCCATCTTTGAAATCACTGCAAAAAGACAAAGAGAAAAGGAAAGAATTAAGGAAAATACCGTGTTTTCGAAGATGTTGCAGGATGTGTGGAATGCTCCTCCCGGATTCAGGCCGTCAAAATCGGCCCCTACTTCTCCAGCAAAGCCACTCGGGGTTTCGAGAACTCGGTCTGAGTCCTTTCATGCCATCCACAAAGTCCCAGTTGGTGATAGTCCGTATGTTAGGGCCAAGAATGTTCAAGTAAGCATCTTGGCTGTCTTTGAAATTGGTTGTAAAAGACTAAACGTGTTCTTTTGTTTTGTTTATTTGATTGGGAATTGATTGGTTTGGGTGTTTTTGTTTTGGTTTAGTTGGTGGATAAAGATCCCGAGAGGGCGATTCCTTTGTTCTGGGCAGCCATCAATGCTGGGGATAGAGTGGATAGCGCTTTGAAAGATATGGCCATTGTGATGAAGCAACAAAATAGAGCAGAGGAAGCCATTGAAGCTATCAAGTCGCTTCGTAGTAGATGCTCAGATCAAGCCCAGGAGTCTCTTGATAACATTCTGTTGGATTTGTTCAAGGTCATTTCACAAATGTGAACTTAAGAATTATGTCAAGTTGCTTTGGTCTTAACAGGTGGCTGACTTGTTTTAATTGGTTATTCTTCAGAGATGTGGAAGATTGGATGACCAAATAGCTTTGTTGAAGCACAAGTTGTATTTGATTCAACAAGGTCTGGCTTTCAATGGAAAGCGCACCAAGACAGCCCGGTCTCAAGGAAAGAAATTCCAGGTCTCTGTGGAACAAGAAGCAACTCGGTTGCTGGTAAGACTTTAGTCTTCCATCTTTGCTTGTTTTACCACTCACTGGATTGTATAAAAATTTCAATGGATACATAAATTTAAGCAATATTTTTTTACTTTTTTCCAGGGAAACTTGGGATGGGCATTGATGCAGCAGAACAACTACATGGAAGCAGAAGATGCTTATCGCCGGGCACTTTCGATTGCGTCTGATAATAACAAGATGTGTAATCTGGGAATTTGTTTGATGAAGCAAGGTAGAATTGGTGAGGCTAAAGAAACTTTGCGAAGAGTGAAACCAGCGGTTGCGGATGGACCAAGAGGCGTAGATTCCCATCTCAAGGCCTATGAGAGGGCACAGCAGATGCTCAAGGATCTTGAGTCTGAGATGATGAATAAGGGAGGGGACAGGATTGAACAGAGCCGTCTCTTCGACGCTTTCCTTGGTTCTTCATCAATTTGGCAGCCTCAGCCCTGCAAGGATCCTATCAGCTTGCCAGCAGCAAATGCAGTCAAACCACATGATGATTTTGCTGATGAGAATGTTAATTCGAATATAATGGCAAACCAGATGGCGATTCCACAGCAGACAAGCTCCAAATTAGTAGCTTTTCCATTTGGAAATTCTCTAAATATTGATGCACCACCGTTCTATTCATCAAAATTCGTGAAGGAGCCTATTGCAAAAGATCCATTTGGGAATCAATTGCACGAGACCCTTAAAAGAACAAGGTCCGGGAACTCTGCCAACTCCATGAGAGTGAATGAAATGGGAGACTACACAAAGCCTTTCTCTGCAGAACTGGAAAAACCAGAGATTAAGACAAGAAGGCTCTCTCCTTCATCTGGAGAGAAAGGAGACAAATTGACAGATTTATTACCTGATAGCGAAGACTTTGAAGAGGCTATCATTGCTGCAGTTCTTGGCCCAACAAATGAACCAGGGAAGGGGGTTGAAACCAGCAATCCAAAGATCTTTCCAAAGAAAATTGATAAGAGGCTCAAGGTTTTCCAAGACATTACTCTTTCTTTGAGTCCTAGAGCCTGACTTAACCTAGTCCCGTTTAACAGTCTTAACTAATTTAATTTCTTAAGTTGTACTCTTAGGTTGGAGATGAACTTGTTCTCCTTGACTCCTATTCCTGTAGAAGAAGGGGTAGCAGGTCTTAAGGTGGCAGTAGCTACCTAAGAATTATTTTATTCACATTTTCTTTATATGTATGCCTCTCGAATAAGGCAAATCCACATCCATCAAAATAATAAATTCAGTTCAGCACTGCCACAATTGAAAATGTTGTTTCCTCTATCCTGCTTCTTTTTCTCCTTTCTTTTCACTTATGAATTGGGAATTCCTGATACTGTCAATCACGCTTAGGATGGCCCCAAGGTTGTTGTCATGATCCTGCACTAGGATTGAGTTGCATGTTGAGGAAAAAGAGAAAAGGAACTCTTGTCAGATTGACAATGTCAATGCTGAAACTTGAGGTTTAAAACAACCAAAATATATTGTACCAAAAGAAAGAAAACAACACATATCTATGATTTTATTGACATTCTATGCACTTGTGTCATCGACATGTGTAAATTTAAATGAAGTATTGCAATACTGCATCTACAATTTCCTATTTGGAAACTTATTTCCATGGTCTTCGTGAGTCAAGTCAGTCAATTGAATTTCCTGTGAACTTCAAAATAGTAACTGAGGATTGCCACAGCTGCAGCAGCAACAACTCCCGCAGCTACCTTCAAAGCTAACCTGGAAGGTGAAATGAAGCCTAGCTCAGAGAGTTTCTTGTGGGACGCTGCATAATCTCTGAAGAATGCATCCTCATCCTGCCATTTAAAAGAGCATAAAAAAAAAAAAAAGCAAACCCAATCCCTTGTGAATGACAGATAATGCAACAATCAACCATGTGCATACCTTTGCGTAAAGCTCAACATAGCAGCGGAACTTAGGATCATCTACCAGAGCCTTGTCCGTGGGTAGTTTCAGTAGCTCTGAGTCTGACTCAATGTTCAGCAGCTCCCTGATTACAGGATAAACATTATTTATTCTACTTAAATCAATTCGATAATATATAAAAAGAAAAAGATAAATTGCCGAGGTTTACTTGAAGTATGAATTGTCAAACTTCAAAGGCTCCTTTGTCCAAGCACCATCAAAACCTGATCTTTCATGATGTGCTCTTCCCTGGAAATTCAAGAACAGAATATTCTGAATATGTTTCTTTTTAACTACTATACTTCTTTAAGAATTGTGGCTAGATTATTGAATTGCATAAAGAAAGTACCAATGTATGACCCCCAGATAGTGCCACGATGTCCTTGTCAGATAGTCCCATCCGGTAAAAGATGTCCCTCAAATGTCGTGCTCCTACAACAAAACAAGAATCAGAGAAGGCATAAATATATAGTTATTTAAGACTAAAACTAAACCAAAACAGTGAGAGATTACAAACCTTGATTGGCATCAGGAAGGCGCCCTTCTTCAGGAGATACCATTGAATCCTGATACATCAGAGAGTTAAATGAGGTTAACTAAGAAAGGATTTGAACCTGTTCTTTAAGTAGGGATCAGACCAACTACTGAAGCAAATGTTCGGGTGAGAGAACTAAGTACTAATAATTAATAATTAAGATGATTGGATGCTCAGGAACTCCGATCAATACACCTTTCTGCCTGGAACAAAGTCAATAGTAGGACCTCCTGTAACCTCAACTGCAACAACTCCAGCAAGCTGTAAGTCCAAAATTTTGAAAAGCTGATGAAGGGCTTGTGTTTATTGGGACATATCAAATGAATAATTACGTAAAATACATAACAAATACTAGACCTGGTAAAGGTCAGCATACGTAATCACCCGATGCCTGGCCTTTACTTCTTCTGATATCAGAAACAGAAGGAAAGATACGTATCAATAGGTTATGGATTAAAAGGAAACTCAATTTCTAAATGGATAGATCAGTATCTGGACTCTGACCACAAAGGTCAACGGCTATTTTCAAACCACTATTTGTACTGTGCTTTAACTCTTGATCATGTCTGATAGAGCCATCTGGTCCTCCTGTCTTCGTTTTAGCATCGTAAGTTCCAGCGTCATGCCACCTTCCAACAAAAAACAGCAAATTAAAATTATTAAGTAAGATTTAAAATCTTCATTTTCGTAACAGAAATTATGACTTACGCCAAACGAAGCATAATGGGCGCGCAGTTTTCGCTTGAGATGAGAGCGCGAAGGTCTCGGCGAGCCCTTTCAATCTCCTTCAAGTAATTCTTGTCGACTACCGGCGCCGCCATTAGAACAAAGCTACGTTCAAGGGAGACCTGTTGAAAGCTGTACGTCACAAAGCAAGGAAGAAGAAGAGAAAGAACGCAAGAGAAAACGGAAAGGTATGGCTAAAGGAAGCTTTGGGTTCTCGAGTTTATAGCCGCGGGGGATTCGATGAGAAGAATCAAAACCAAAGGATTGATTGAGGAGTTGGTTTTGGCGAGCGAAATGAGAAGCAAAGGATTTCTTTCCTTGCTTTCAATGGTGGTGATAGAGGGAAAAAGTGAAGCACTTCGAAAATGGAAGACGGGTGGCCCAGGAGCGCGTGTGAAGGAAAAGCTAATATTTTTGGACTTTGGGCTTTCAGAACTCTCGGGAAATGGATCCGACGACCCGGTTTTGAAGTGCCTTTCTAGAATCAGATTTTATTGTTGATCTGGGCCCACTTTTTTGAATCTGTCTGCTGGGGCCCAAATATCTGAAAAGGCCAGAGGTCGGTTTGGTAATCCAACATAATTACTGAGAGAAAATTGTTTTTGCGTAAAATATTTGATAGTAAAATTTAATATCAAAACAAACAAATACTTAATTGTAGAACTAAATTTGACAACCTTAATTCTAGAAATAAGTTAATTTTAAGAGTTTATTTCCTTATAAAAGAGTACTCTACTTAATTGAACTTCAAGTATTAGAGATTTCGAGGTAATACAGTAAATACACCTGTTGATATGAGAGTGGGTTTAAATTTAAGATTGTTGTGTTTCATGTATTAATTAAGTCAATACATTTAAGATACAATAATTATGTCTAAAATCCATTAAATCGGCTTAATCTGTTTAACTCATTTAGTTAAACGAATTCTTATATTGACTTGTATAATTTGACTCGTATAACTTATTTATGAACTAATTTAAGATAAATTTAAACACCTTAAATAATATTTAAATGAAATGTTAATTGCATCATGTCGTATAAACTTAATTAGACTTATGTAATAAATGTGTTAGTTATGTTATGTCGTATAACGTATTTAATAAATATACGTGTTTGAGATCTTTAATATGTTTAATTAATCATGTCATATTTATTTTTATTTATATAACTACTACAATATTAAATTTACACGATACAAGTGAAACATGTGCATACAAATTGTCATACTTGTAAAGTCTGTGAAGATTGGATTTCAATTTGTCTATCCATCAAAGTCAAGACACAACCAAAGTTAAGTAAAGATTTTAGGTAGATTTTCACCACTTGTAGGACACTAATTTATTATGTTGCATTTGCCCAAATTATATATATAGCATTTCCTTTTAGTGCGAGGCATGATACTATGATGGGAGCATACAAAGGTTAGTTAGAGTCCACATGTGAGTTGATTATGGTTATAATAAGAATGCCAGCTAGGTATGTGATTCCTTTTGAAAAACAACAGACATTCAGATTTGATCTCGATGATGAACTTCATATCGTTTTTCATATGCATCCCATCACCTACTCATCATTGTCATAAACAAAAAGGTTATATCAAATCCATTGTTCTAATGATTTGATTGAGATAAGAGCAAGTTTACAAGCAAAAAATAATCTTGAACTTTGATTTTGTACAGTACTATTCCTTGATCCTGGAAGATGGTTGAGTAGCAATGGTAATCTTAGGATTGGTGTGAACTGTGAAGACTTGGGGTGAAGTCAAGCCCTGGTACTTCCTACTGCAGTTTAGTTTGCTGAAGAGGACAAACAGGACACCCTGGAGACAAGTTGCTTACTTTTGTTTTTTGTAAGAAGGATGTAATTCAAAAAAAGAGTGCCAAGGGCAATGTTGCCCCAGGGGATGATATTTATTTTATGGCAAGTTTATCCTGAAATGTTCTCTGGTGTGGTCTCGATTCCACTGTCACGGTTCCCCAAAAAGGCAAGCAATTGAATATACGAATTGCCATCATTTCCCAATGCAAGTCCGACTCCTGGTATGCGTATTCTTCTTCCTGGGTAAGCAGTAGTAGTAGCAGCTAGTAGTATAAGACAAGCATGCATGCAAGATTTTGCTGCAATTCTTTCATGGCAACTAGCACCATTGCTTCCCCCATCTGCTTTGAAACCAGATAAATGTTTATAGATACAAGGGAAATGGGGAAAGACAAAAAAATCCCATTTGTTTTCAAGAGATTCAAGTTAACTACACTCTACTTTTTCCTTCTTTGTTCTTTCTGAACTAAAGCAGAACGTTTGTTATGTTCTTAATCAAGCATTCATAAGTCATAAGCCCAACTTATGTGATTTGAATCCAACTTGCCTTTCCATTTGCCTGATATCCAAATTAAGCTTTGCCAATGGCCGTTGAAATGTGGAGTTACGAGAACACCCTCAAGATGTTTCCAAATCTAGGCATCCACCCCCGCACAGCTTCTGCGGGCTAACATCAGCTTGGTGGCAGGTTTGGGTTCTCCGCTTTGCATGATCAAGCGGCATGTTGCAGTAATTTAAAAACAGGAAAAGTACATTCCAGGAGGGTAATTTCGTCATTAAGGTGGAATATAAAAACAATTTTCTGGCTCTCTGCCCAAAGCTGGTTGTCTTTGGTACCTCTCAAAATTGCCATCTCTACTCTCTCTCTCCACCACCACCATCTCCATCACTGAGTAAACAAACGAAGTACAGACATTTTCATGTTCAAAGCCACCTCCATCACTGACTAAACAAACGAAGTACAGACATTTTCATGTTCAAAGAAGCGAAAGTGTTAACTTGGGAGAAAACAATTTAGGAAAAGGAGGTTTCTTTGCTGCGAAAGATAGGTTCTTGAAGATGAAAGACCCGCCATTGGTGAAAGCTGCAGCGGTAAAAGCAACAGATCTTTCGACAAAGTAAATAACCCAGAAGTCACTTTCTTTCTGTAAAGCAGTTTTCTTTTTACTGTTTGGTTAAGTTTCCATCAAAGTTTAGAAAGAAGAAAGAGAACAGAAAAAAAGAGAGAGTTGATCTTTAGTAGAGAGGTGAGCAAGGAAAAATGGGGTGTTGGTACTCGAGGATTGATAGAGAAGAGACTGTTTCACGTTGCAAGGCGAGAAAGAGATACATGAAACAATTGGTTAACGCTAGACAAGCTCTTGCCGCTTCGCATTCTATGTATCTTCGCTCTTTACGAGGCACTGGCTCGGCTCTCCTTCAATTTTCCAACAACGAAACTTCTCTCCACCTCCACCACCATGTCCCTCAGCCGCCTCAACCTCCAGCACCGCCGCCGCCGCCGCCGCCAATGAGTCCTGGTTCAGACACTTGGACATCTGGTACAACGGCCTCCCCTGCTCTGCCTCCGCCGCCTCCTCCACCTCCATCCAGTAGCTGGGACTTCTGGGATCCATTCGGTCCGGCTACTGCGTCACGGTCAGCCACAGAGGAGGAATGGGAGGCTGCTACGTCGGCATCTGAGGTGGCGGTCACCGCTACAGCCACCGCAACCGGGGCTGCGAGCGTGGCGGGGCCACCTTCTGTGGTGAGTGGATTCTCGAAAGATACCGGAAGCGAGCTGGCTATGGTGGTTTCGAGGAATAGTAAAGAACTGGTGGAGATTGTGAAAGAGGTCGATGAGTATTTTCTTAAAGCTGCCGATGCTGGTAGCCAGCTCTCGGTACTGTTAGAAGTTTCAAATTCCAACTTTTCTACCCAAAGTAAAGGAGGTATATCTCTGCCATTCTTTCAATTTTATTTGTCAAAAAACTTCCATTTTTTGA